CCGCATATATTTCTCTATACGTTGACAACCGTAGCTGAGACGACCGGCGCACCCGGCGTGCGGAAATCGACTTTATTGTTCACCCCGAACCTCGCGCTTAGCTCCGCGAGCTGACAATATCTCGCGCCGACATGAGCAACCCCCTGAATATCACACTCCTGCGCATCACTGGACGCAGGATACGATCGCCTCGCTCTTCCTCCGGGTGCTCCACGAGGTGCCCCAAGTCCTGGACAAATGCGACCTGGGCGTCGCGACGGCTCCCTCCCTGTGCTGGTCGGCGCTGCTGGCGGTCCTGCACGGACGGATTATGGAGGTCCGGCGGCCGGGCGAGATCGATTCTCTCGTGGATCTGTGCCGCAAGGACACGAAGGTGCCGGTGCTGACCATCGAGCCTCGCGGGGCGCTCCTGGCCGGCCTGGCGCAGCGTGTCGAGCCCAGCGCGCGATGCGTCGGTCGGCTGGAGTACGCGGGCGCGTGGATCACGGTCGGCAGCGCAAGGGCGCTCCACGACGCGGCGAAGTGCCTGCCCACGACAAACCCGAAGAAGAGGCGGCAGAGCCAGATTCCCTCGAGGCTGGAACGCTCGAGGGCGCTGAAAGCCATGCTGGACGCGAACGCGGGCTCGCAGGCGGAGATCGAGGTCGTGGAGCTCCGGCCGAAGGGTCTATTCACCGTGGACGAGACCCACGGCGACCTCGACGTAGAGCAGGAGCTGTTCGCCGGGATTCTGGCGACCCCGCAGGTGCTGCGCCACCTCAAGCGCCTCGACCTGTCCGCCGCGGACCTCTGGCACGGCACGATCGCGAGCGTCGCGGAGGCCCTCGGCGACGCAGGTGCTCTCGAATGCGTCATCGTGCCGCACGGGGACCTTCGCGGCGGGGACGGGGCCGCGGTCGCGCGGCTGGTGCGCCGGTGCGGCACGCTGCGAACGCTCGACTGCCGGACCGGGCTCGCCGACGAAGCCGGCGCCGCGGCGATCGCGCGCGCCGCCGCGGAGAGGGGCAGCGTGCGCTTTCTCACCATGAGGGGGCAGCCCTGCGGCGACGCCATCGCCCGCGCGCTGGCCGAGTCCGGAGGAGGCAGCCTGGAGTACCTCGACCTCACCGACATGGGCCTGACGTCAGGGGGGGCGTCGGACCTCGCTGCGGCGTACAAGACCCCCAACAGGCTCTCAACCCTGAACGTCGTCGGAAACAAGCTCGACGGAGAAGCTGCGCGGGCCCTCGCTGCGCTCGTGAGCGCGAGCAGCGCGCTGACTGTCCTCGCTCTGAAGCACAACGCGATCGGGCCCGAGGGCGGCGCGCTGCTCTTCGGAGCGGTCGCCGGAAACAGCGCGCTGCCGCTGGCGATCGTCGACGCGTCCTGGTGCGGCATCGGCGACGCCGGCGCTGCCGCGGTGGGCCAGATGCTGTCCAGCAGCTCGGCGATCAAGTTCCTGGCCCTGGAGCACAACGGCATCGGCGACGCTGGCGCACAGGAGCTCGCGCGCGGCCTCGCGGCGAACTCCTCGCTGACGCGGCTGGCGGTGTCGGACGTGGGCATCCAGTCGGCGGGTCTCAGCGCGATCGCGGGCGCGATCGCGACGCACCGGTCGCTGAAGAGCGTCAAGCTGATCGCGGGCAAGGCCGACAGGAGCGACGACGCGACGTGCGTGCCCATCCGCAGGATGCTGGGCGAGAACGACACGCTCCTGGAGCTCCACTTCCGCGCCCAGGTGGCGGAGCGCGGCTGGCACGCTCTGTTCGTCGGCCTCGGGAAGAACAAGTCACTGGCGATGCTGAGTCTGTCTCCGGAGAAGGACGACGGCCCGACGGGCCGGCAGTTCATGCCCTACGCAGCTGGGCCCGGGGACAACGGCATCCCCGTGCTCAGCGGCGTCCTGTACGAAAACACCCCCCTGGCGAGCCTCAACCTGACGGCGTGCAACCTTGGGATCGAGGGAGTGGACGCCCTGGCTGACGGGCTGGGCTTCAACTACAACCTCGTCGAGCTGCTGCTGCCGGAGAACGGCTTTGGGTCGGTTGGGGCCGGCAAGCTCGCACGGGCGCTGGTGAACAACACCGGGCTGCGCAGGCTCGACGTCGGCAACTGCAAAATCGGGCCGCACGGGTACGGCTCGCTGACGCGGGTCGTGAGGGAGCGCCCGGGGAAGTTCGCGCTCGGGGTGTCGCAGGGCTGGAAGATGCCGCCGGGGGTGTTCGGAGACCCCCCCGACTCGACCCGCGTGGTGGTGTTCAGCAGCTGCGAGCGCTTCGAGGAGTTCGAGGAGCTGTGCGTCGAGGAGCTGTGCATCGAGTACGTCGACTCCGACGAAGACGCCTACTGACGATCCGGGAACGGAACGTCGCACCTGCGCGTCGTCACGGGCATGCCTGCGGACGTGCGCACGGTGCGGGTCGAGAGCCCCGCGCGCGCGACGGGGATGTCAGCAGGAGGCCATGCATGCAGAGCGCGGCTGCGCCGTCACCCCGTGTGAGCGCCAGCCACGTCCGACTCCGTGTGCGTTCGCAAACAGAGCGCGATGCCGCCATGTCGTGCACGGTGTGTCCATGTCGCGACGCGCGTGGCGCCGTCAGCCACCCGGATCGCCGCGCGACGCGACGCGTGCAGGTGCCCCTCGTCCTCCCGAGCGTGCCCCCCTTCGAGAGCGGTAGCCGCCCGACTGCCCACACACCAACTGCGTGCCTTGGGAACGGTGTCCCGCTCACTCAGGCGCGGCGCAGCGATCGGAGCGCCTGCGCGCGATCAGCGTTGATCACTGTGGTGGCAGGCAGCGCCGTTGGTCCGGGGCGCACGTCTGCTGGCGGTGCACCGGCGCGCACCAGGTGAGCGCGGTGCGAGGAGGCCGCTGTCGTCGCGGGCCAAGGAAGCACTGCGGCTTGCCATATATCGTGCCGCGGACACGACGTGCCGAGGAGCGGGGACGAAACGTGAAGCACGCACCCATCCCCCCCCTCAACGCAGCATCATGATGTTGATACACAAGAGCGGACAGGTTTTGGCTCAGACTGAGCCCGTGAGCAGCTTGCTCGAGGCATGCCTGCGTGTGCCAGAGGCTCGCGGGCGCCCGGGACCGGAGCGTGCTGGCCCAACGTGATCATGGTCGGCAGCGTGCTGGAGCGGCTCACACAGAGCGGGGACCTGCCGTGATGAAAGACATAGCCCGACCCTCTTCTGACCGCAACAATACCTGCCAGCATGTTCCTCAGTACGGGCGCAGCGCACAAGCGGAGAAACAGCACGGAACCACCAGCCGCTTGCCAGCCGACTGCCAAAACGTGCCTCCAGGCGTCGAGTGCGCGGCCGGCTGCTGTCTCTCGCTCCGGAAATGTCATCTCGCATACCATGCCTACCATCGACCATTCGCGCTCCGGCCCCTCCGCCCGCCAGCTCGCCGCACCGGCACCCCGGAGCCAGCGCCCCTACCAACTCAGTGCCGCCCGCAGCGCGCGCAGACAGCTGCCCGCACGCGCCCGTGCCTCGCGCACCATCGAGAACGACTCCACCTACGCCCCCGCCGCGCCCGGCACCCGCTCGGAAGAAAACGCGAATCAGTCGACCCATGGTTCCAGCTCAGTGAGGAAAACACTGTTTGCCGTGCCAGACACGGCGCCAACGCACGCACATCGACCTGGTTTAGTCGCTCACTGGCCGCAACCTACTCCCGCGCCCGCCCTCGAGCCCCGCGCCGCTCTCCGCGCTGCACCACGGCACATCCCTCCTGAGCACAGTGGGCACTCTGCAGATACGCGCGTGCGGGCTGTTACGTGCGGCGAGCTGCATGGTGTGCGCATGTTGGCATCGTCGGCATACCAGAAGTCAAGGAGAATGACATCCACCTTGTCTGGCCACGCCGTCATGGCGTTGCAATGCACGGCAAGACTTTGGGAGCATCGATGTGCCGACCGGAGGACAGGGGTCGTCGTTGACTTGATGTACGCCGGCGTGACATGATTCTGGGCTGCGAGGATGGTCCGGCTACACGCCGCTGGTCGCGCATGGCGCGGGGCGGCGGGAAGGGGCGAGCAGTGATCCAAGAACGCACCCGCGCCACACGAGGGGATGAAACCACGGCTTCTGCCCTGCGCTCGTGTCTTTGATAGGTCCGGAGAGGGAATGAGAGATGAGCTCGAATCAGGGCGCTCGTGCAAGCGACATGGACGGGCTCCCAGGCAGGTTTTCACGTCACCCTCTGCCGCAGCATTGCCTGCCCGATCACTGCGCTCGCGCTCATGCAGAGCGTGAGCGTCTGCGGGCAGCACTGCTCCTGTTTCGACGACCCGCGCCGGCCATCTGCATCTTGAATGTCAGCGCTGCCCCCATTGGCAGACAGCACGTCCGAGAGGTTGAGCTCGACTGACTGGAGCGTCTGGGGCTAGCTGCGCGTGCAGGTCGAGGGCCGGGGGGGCGCCGACGGAGAGCTACGGTCAAGACGCGCTGCTGCGCATTGCGCTGCAGCGTCCCAAACACACAACGGCTGGGGCGCGACAGGGAGCACGGCTGAGTAGCACGCATCAGTCTGCGTCATATTGCACTCCAGGGCGTCGCTCCGGGCTGCTCCAGGGCGATCCAGGGAACGGCGGAGGTGGAAGTGCGGTGTTGCTGTGCGTTACGGCGCGGGGGAGGTGCGCAGATGCCCCCCCTTGCGCGTTGATGCGAGCGCACGATTGTTGTCGTGTGGGCGATCATCGCTGGGCGAGATACCCGGCTCAGGTCGTCGGCGGCGACCGACCGCGCGATTGACTGTTGGCGCGATTGCCGTGTTGGTTGATGACATCTGGCGCGGGCCCGCGGATGTGCCTGCAGGTCGGCGAGCTGTCGCCACATCGATGGAGCCAGCGAGCACGCGCGATCGTCTAAGCGAGACGAGGGGAGCAACTGACGTTGGTAGCATGAGTCAGGCGGCTGCTGGGATCCTCGGAGCGCTGTCGGCGGCTGTTGGACGGCGCTGGCGTTGTATCGTGCACAGAGACGCGATAAGAGAACGGCGAAACGCAATGGCGACGTCGCAAGGTGTTTCATCGACGAGCAACGAGGTGAGATGCATCCCCGACGCGTATTTCGTGACGCCTGAGGGCGGGCGGACGATTGCTGATGCGCTGGGTGTATCGAAATAATCACTCAGCGCCAACAGAGGACTTGTTGCGATCGGGCGGTGCACGTTTGCGGCCCGGAACCGACGTTGTTGCTGCGTGGCCGACACTCCGCGCGGACGGGCCTCCTTGACCCCACAACGGGCGCCTGACGCTCATCGTGGTCCTCTCGTCGCCTGCGCAGGCCGCAACGGCGTCGCTCTTCCTGCGGGTGCTCGACGAGGTGCCTCGGCTCCTGGAGCACTGTTCCCAACCAGTCCTCGAACGGATCCCCGCCCTGTGCTGGTCGGCGCTCCTTTCGACGCTGCGATACGGCCGCGGACACAAGCACAGGCCCCCCCCGCCGCTCAACGTCATCTACGAGCACAACTTGGCGCCCGTGCCCGCCCCCGTGCTCAGCGTCTTCCCGCACGGCACGCTCGTGCGTGGCCTCGCGGCGCGCGTCAGCGCGGACACGGACTACATCGGCCGACTGCGATTCGCTGGAGCGCAGTTCCCCGTCACCGCCGCCGGGGCGCTCTGCAACGCGGCGACGAAGGCCCGGGTGGCCAGCGCTGACATGCCGTCTGCACTGGACCGGGAGGCGGCGCTGATGCGCATGATCGACGCGTCCTTCGGCTCCGTCTCCGCTCCGCTCCGCGTCGTCGCTCTCGATGCTGGCGACCTCGCGCTGGCCACGACGTGCGACGTGATGATGCCTCATTTGTTTCAGCGGGGTCTCGGGGAGCGTGTCGCCCTCCTGCGCGGCCTGCTGCGCGCCCCGGCGGTCATCAGCAGCCTCGAGGACCTCGATCTGGGGCAGCTCATGGTCGTCTCCGAGACGGTCCGTCGAATCTTCGACAATCTCGCGGGTGGCGCCAGGAAGCTGCGCCACTTGTGCGTCGAGGGGCTGGACATGCGTGGGGCGGCCGCGGAGGCGCTCGCGGGGCTCGTGCGGGGCTCCGCGACGCTCAGGAAGCTCGACTGCAGCGCGTGCGTGTGGGATCGGGGCGGCGCTGCGTCTGTCGCCCGCGCCGTGGTGGACGGAGGAACGGTTGAGGTGCTGGACATGAGCGCGACGCCGCACGGCGACGCCATCGCCGGAGAGCTGGCCAGGCGCGGCGGCGGCGCGGTGAGGCAGCTGAAGTTGTCGACGACTGGACTGACGCCGGCGGGGGCGGCTGACCTGACGTCAGGGCTGTCGTCAACGGCGGTCACGAGCCTCTTCCTCGGGGGCAACAAGCTCGCGAGCGCAGGCGCCCGGCATATGGCGGCGCTGGTTCGTTCGAGCGACTCGCTCGCCACGCTGATCCTGTCGGACAACGCCATCGGGCCGCACGGGGCCGCGGAGCTGTTTGATGCTGTGGCCGACAGCAAGTCCCTCGAGATGCTGATCCTGGAGCACAGCGAGATCGGCGACGGCGGCGCAGCGGCGGCGGGGCGGATGCTGGCGCGCAACGGGAAGTTGGCCATGCTCGACGTGACCCACAACGGCATCGGAGACGTTGGCGCGCAACAGCTGGCACAGGGCTTGGCGAAGAATCACGCCCTCGGGTGTCTGTCGCTCAAGGACGAGACGATCGGGTCGGATGGCGTCGCTGCGGTGGCCCGCGCGGCCCTGCAGGGCGGCTCGCTCGCCGTCGTCGAGCTGATGGCTGGCGGCGTGACCGATGCTGCTGCGGGGTGTCTCCGCGACATGCTGGCCGGCATACGCCTGCAGGGGCTGGTGTTCCAGGCGGACCTGACGCCACGGGGATGGAAGATGTTCGCCGAGGGCGTCGCGCGCAGCAAGGCGCTGCATTTTTTGTACCTCTCGCCCGACAGCGACACCGGCAGGACGTGCAACCTGGGCAGCGACGGCGCTGCCGCCCTCGGGTGGGCCCTGAGGGGCCACCATAGTCTGGTCAGTCTCGACCTGTCCTCGTGCGGGATCGGGCCAAATGGCGTGGGGGCCATGGGTCAAAGCTTGTGGAGCAACCGCGGGCTGGAGCGGCTGCTGCTCGCCGGCAACGACATCGGCACGTTCGGAGCGGTGTATTTGGCGTACGCGGTGGCGCAGATCCGCTCCCTGCACACCCTCGACATCTCCAACAGCAGGGTCGGTCCGCAGGGGCTCAATCACGTCAGTCGCATGCTGCGCGAGTGTCCGAAGGACTTCAGCCTGATCGTGTCGCGGAACCACAAGTTCTTGGCAGTAGAGCTCAGGGGGGCGACTCCGCGTCTGAGGATCCTCGTCAGCGACGTCATGGAGGCGGACCTGCCGGGCGACGACGAGGACGAGTCCTCGGAAGAGGAGGAACGGGGCGGGTGGTGGCCCCTCGCCTGAGGGCCCGTGGTGGGCTTGGCCGAGGCGAGGCGCGGCGCTGTGTCGGAGCAGCGGTGTGTGCTGCGCCGAGCGTGCAGCACATGGCACATTGGTGCCTAAGGCAAGCAAGGCATGCGATCCACGTTTCGTTCTTCCGCGTCGGAGGGCGGGCTGTTCGTCGGAGTGTCGAGCTCGGGCAGGGCGTGGTCGCAGAGGCCTCCGGCAAAGGTGGCTGCGGTGGAGACGTTTGCGCGGGCGCGGCAGAACGAACAAGGCTATTCGATCGCGTCAGAGCCGTCCATGTAGTCGTACATTGTGAGACGACGCTTCTGAAGCGCCGCAGGGACGATTCGTGCGCAATTCCATGCCAGGTGTTGGCGGAGGCTCGGCCGGCAGCTTGGTGTGTATTCAGCGCCGCTGGAGCAGGTATGCGGGATCGCGGCGAATCGCGACACTGCGTCCTGGTCCCGCTGCACGTGCCGCGCAGTACTCGCTTGTCGCAATGTTGCGGCGCAGCGCACGGGACGTGGATGCCTCATTGCAGAATCATCGACGTCTGACGTCGATGTCCTGAATAATTCAGGAACAACGGGCGTTCTAAGATGCCGTGCAGACATGAGCTGACGATACTGAAGCGGCGCGACCGCAACGAGACGCGGTTGACAGTGCGGGTGGAGCAACGCGGCAGCAGGAGCTGTCCCGTCGGTCAGGTGCCTGTGTTCGTCGACGTCAGGTTCTCAGGAGGTCCCTGGAGCGCCGTGGGCGCTGGATGGGTCGCGCAAGCAATGTGCTGTGCAGATCATTACTGGAGAGGGCCAAGCAGGCATGGAGGCGTCACAAGGGTCCGATGACAGCGGCCATGAGGTGAGCACAGATCTTGGACCAAGGTTGTTGGTTGCTTTCCGCCGTGGATGCTCACCCCGACATCTGACCGAGCTCGGCTCTTGACACATTGGATGCTATGGATGGACACATCGCGGGGCGGTCGGTGTCGAGAGCTTGGCTCTGGCGCTCCGTTCTCGACACTGTTGCCATCATGCTGCACCAGGGCGCATCTCTGCCAGTCGAAGCTCACCATGCCCGAGGAACGCCAAGGACCGACCTTGCAACTATTTCTCTCGATACGCAGGGTGCGGTGGCCTCCCTGTTCCTGAGGGTGCTCAGCGAGGTGCCCGAGCTTCAGAGCTGCGTGAGCGTCGCGACCACTGCCTCGCTGTGCTGGCCGGCGCTGCTGGCGGTGCTGCAATGTCGCACGGCGTCCACGAGCCCGGCCGGCAAGCGCTCTTGCTGCGCTCTGTGCGCGGAGAGGGTCGTCGGCGTGCCAGTGCTGCGTGTCGACCCTCGCGGGGCGCTGCTGGCGGGCCTGGCGCGGCGGGTCGAGCCGGACGCGCGCTTCGTGGGTCGATTGAAGTACGCCGGGGCGCGGTTCGCGGTGGGCAGCGCAAGAGCGCTTCATGCAGCGGCGGACCGCCTGGGAGACTTCGATGCGAGTTCTGAGCCTCTCGGGGTGCTGAGAGCCATGTTGGAAGCGGACGCGGGCTCTGAGGCGGAGATCGAGCTGGTGGACTTGAAGGCGCCCGTGATGGACTGGGATGCGACGGATTCGCAGGTCAGCGAAGCCCAGGGGGTCATCGCGGAAATCTTGCGGTCTCCACAGTCGATTCGTCACCTCAGGCATCTGTCGCTGGACGAAATGGCGCACTTCGCGGCACTGTGCGAAGTCGGGCTGAGGTACCTGGAGCGCGTCCATCTGTCAGCGGCGCTGACGCCGGCAGAGGTCGCGGATCTTGCGGCAGCACGCCCCGACAGACTGACGGCACTGCGCATGCGTACGGAGGACAATGCGCTCGATCAGGAGGTCGGAAGGTCCCTCGCCGCGCTCATCACCTCGTGCAGCACGTTGAGCAAGCTTTCGATCACCGGGAACGAAGACGCGGGGCATGGGTCCGAAGCTGCGGTGCTCGTTTTCGATGCACTCGCGTCGCACGACACGAGGTGGCAGAAGATGATCCACCTCGTCGAATGTGGGATCGGCGACGTCGGCGCTGAGGCGGCGGGGTGGATGCTGGCGCGCACTTCGACGATCGCGTGCCTGGACCTCGTGCACAACATCATCGGGGACGCTGGCGCACAGGGGCTGGCACGCGGCCTGGCTGGCAGCTCTTCACTGTCGCACCTGTCTCTGTCCGACACCAGCATTGAGACGGCGGGGCTGGCAGCGCTCGCGAGTGCGATCGCAGTCAACAAGTCGGTGCGGACGTTGAAGCTGTTCGCGGGCGAAGCAGACGACTCCGCGGTGGATGCTATCGAAAGCATGCTGCGGGACAACGCGACGCTCGGTGATCTGCACTTCCGGGCGGACATGACGGCCCGCGGCTGGGGCGCTCTCTTCGCGGGGCTGGCGTGCAACGAGGCGCTGCGGGGGCTGAGCCTCGCGCCCGAGTCAAGGTCTGGGCCAGGGGGGTGGAACGAATTCGGGCCGTGCAGTCCCAGGCCAGGAGACAGCGGCGTCGCTGGCCTCACGAGCGCTCTGCGAACCAATCGTCACTTGGAGTATCTGAACCTTAAGTCATGCAAGATTGGCTCACGTGGTGCGGAGTCCATCGCCGAGGGGCTGCGGTTCAACCAGGGGCTGCGGGAGCTGGTGCTACGGAAGAACGATCTGCAGGCCAGCGGGGGGCGAATGCTCGCGTTCGCGCTGCAGGACAACAAAGTGCTGCGCAAGCTCGACATCGGGCTGTGCAAGGTCGGGGCGGATGCGGTCCGCACTATCGGGGAATGCGCAGCAGGGCGCCCGGAGACCTTGCTGCTGGGGCTAGCGGAGACGCCCGGAGGGCACAGGCTGTTTGACAGCCCCCCGGGCGGGAGTGTGTGCTTCTTCTGCAGCTGCGAGGGCTATGAGACCGCGGCATTGAGAATGGATTCCGATCAGTCCGTCAGCATGGGGTTCGAGTCGTCCGACGTGGATTCCGTCGAGGAATTCTTCTTCGGAGGCTAGCGGAGCGACTGATGAGGCGATGGCGCCGTTGGGGATCGCGGAGAGGTGTCGCAGCGTGCACGTTGCTGGCATTTGGACAGAAAGGAGCCCTCGAGGAGTCTCCAACGAGCGACATCACGCCTCGCATGCCCAACAAGGCCTGGCAACCCTGTGAGAGCAGCAGCGTCACCTGCACACAGAGTCATGCCTCATGCTAATTCCTCACGGTGACCCGCCCACCGAGGCACGACGCAGCGCTCGCGCGCAGGCGCTCCGATCGCTGCTTCGCGTCAGGTGCGACCGCTGCTGTCGGCGGGTCGCGCCGTTGATTCCGTGCGCATGTCTGCAGTGCAAAGCAGGTGAGCCCCGTTCGAGGGGGGGGTTGCGAAGACTCCACGCAGTCCCACGTCTCGCTCGTGTCTCGCCGCGGGCGAGGCGTTCCGAGACGCGAGGTTGGAACGTGCGGGACGGATCCAAGTCCTCTTCGCGTGGAGAGCGCCGACAAGAGCGGACACTTGGCTCAGACTGAGCCCGTGAGCAGCTCGCTCTCGTCAGACATGATGAGGCACGCCTGCGTGTGCCAGAGGCTCGCGGGCGCCCGGGACCGGAGCGTGCTGGCCCAACATCATCATGGTCGGCAGCGTGTTGGTGAAGTGCTGGTGCGGCTCACACAGAGCGAGGACCTGCCGTGATGAAAGACATAGCCCAACCCTCTTCTGACCGCAACAATACCTGCCAGCGTGTTCCTCAGCGCGGGCGCAGCGCACAAGCGGAGAAACAGCACGGAACCACCAGCCGCTTGCCAGCCGACTGCCAAAACGTGCCTCCAGGCGTCGAGTGCGTGGCCGGCTGCTGTCTCTCGCTCCCTCAACGCCATCTCGCATACCATGCCTACCATCGACCATTCGCGCTCCGGCCCCTCCGCCCGCCAGCTCGCCGCACCGGCACCCCGGAGCCAGCGCCCCTGCCAACTTCGTGCCGCCCGCAGCGCGCGCAAACAGCTGCCCGCCCGCGCCCGTGCCTCGCGCACCATCGAGAACGACTCCACCTACGCCCCCGCCGCGCCCGGCACCCGCTCGGAAGAAAACGCGAATCAGTCGACCTATGGTTTCAGCTCAGTGAGGAAAACACTGTTTGCCGTGCCAGACACGGCGCCAACGCACGCGCATCGACCTGGTTCAGTCGGTCACTGGCCGCAACCTACTCCCGCGCCCGCCCTCGAGCCCCGCACCATCGTCATTGCGCTGCACCACGGCACATCCCTCCTGAGCACAGTGGGCACTCTGCAGATACGCGCGTGCGGGCTGTTTGGGGCGGCGGGCTGCATGGCGTGCGCATGTTGACGCCGTGAGTGTGTCGCGGCGGAAGTCACATGGCGTGCACGTCCGACTCCCGCGCTGTGAACGCGTGGGATGTAGTCTGCGAGGACGTGCGCGAGGATGAGTGGCGGACGAGGTTGGTCTGATGCGGTCCCCGCACGTATAGCCAGCGAACAACGACGGGCAGATGTGGTCGGGCCGCACGATGCACTGGCGCGGCGGCGCGGGGGGACGGAAGTTGCAGCGGCCTTCGGTGCTTGCTGTGTCGCGTGCGGCTGGAGTCCGAGGACGTTCACCTGGTCAGCAAGATGATCATCTACGTCGCTAGATGGTGGGAGCCCCGCACCTGTCGATTGCGTGTCCTGGCCGTGCAGACGTCGTGGGTGCATTGCAACCAGTGCCGGCGCGCACGCTCCACGACAGCGACGTTCGCGACGCTCCGTGCGCCATCACCTGCCATCCTGCGCACCGCCACATGCCTAGCACCTTCTCCCTTCCTCGACGTGCGTTGGCACAACTCTGTGCCAAAGATGATGATCTCCGTCTCTGGCAGTCTCACCCCGCCGCACAGCGTCCTCGCTGTACCACCCGCAGAACACGTGATCCGAGTGCGGCGCGGCCGCGCGACGCGCAGGCGCCAGCCGCCCATCGACCGCGGCTGGGTCTCCTGGGACGCGCGGAGCAGTGCGCGCGGGGCGAGGTGCCAGCAAGGCGTGCTGGAGGGGTCGTGGAGCAGCGTGGGCGCGGGTATGCCGCCGGCGTTCTCGGCGGGCCCGGCGCTCTGTGGTGCCGCGCGCGGCGCCGCCCGACCGGCCTGTGCTCAGGGGGGGATCTGAAGAGGTGCGACGGGGGTGTCCGGCGGGCCGGTTTGCGGGACGGCGGTGCGATATGTTGGCGCTGGTTGGACTGGTGACGCCACTCAGGCCGCATGGGATCGGAACCCGCTCCACCAGCAACAGCGAGCAGCAAGTGACAACCGCCGACAGACAGTGCGTGCGAGGCAGTGCTGAGGGTGGTCGATCGAAGGCGAGGCACGCGCAGGTACGTCTCTGGCGTTCTTTGCGCTTGAGTGTCAGTCGAACACGGCGTGCGCGGCGACGTGCAGCGAGAATGCAGGACACCTGTTCGATTGTCCCTCGTTCGAGATTTCCAACGCACGGATGGCGCCCTCACGACGCAGGACTCGAGAGGGAACGCGGACGTAACGACGATGAACAGGGAGCAGGCTGGCACTGCTGGCGAGGACCGCACGGGCGGCTCGCGTCGTTCGGAGATGCCGTGGGAGGACAGTGGGCTCACCCGCGTGCTGCGGGGGGCGCCCTTGCTCGTGTTGCTGGACAAGCTGCCGGACAAGGACAAGGCGAGCCTCACGGCGACGTGCTGGGGCGCGCTCGAGACGATGCTGCGGGACACTCGGGCGGTGCTCAAGGTGCACCCGGACGACCCTGTGTTGGCCGGTTTGGCGCGGCGGGTGAGGGATGGGCCGTGCTGCGGGTCGGTGACGCTGTGCGGCATCCAGATGCCGGCCACGGACGCGGGCGCGCTGCTGGGCGCGACGCAGCGCCTCGGCATCGAGCTGCCTCCGAGCGTCGCAGAGCCCTTTCCGGAGACTGAGGGCACTTTCGACGTCCACGACTACGCGCCCAACAGAGAGAAGAAGCGTGCGTGTATCGACCTGATGAGGGCGCTGTCGAGGGAGCCCATCGGGGTGCACGTCACGGGGCTGACTGTGCCCACGCTGTGGAACGGACCGACGGTGGCAGCGGATGCGACGGCGGTGGCGGAGATCCTGCAGACGCGGACGATTAAAGATAACCTGCGGTCCCTGAAGCTGGCGGTGGGGAAGAAGGACAGCTTCGGGCGGAACTCGGCTCTACCCGATGTTGTCGTCGGCATGCTGCATGGCGCCCTGCGCGGTCTCTCGGCGCTGCAGCACCTGGAGCTGTTCAACACACCGCCCGCCTGGGCATGCTCGATCGGCCAGTACAGCGACCTGACGACGCTCGCCCTGCGGGAGCCTTTGCAAGCACTGGTGTTTGACCCGGCCGAGTGCGAGGCGTTCTTGGACGATCTGGAGCGTGCCAAGAACCTGCGCACCCTCGATCTGGCGCTCAGGCTCCCTGACGGCGCAGAAATGCGCCCGCGCGCTGTGCCACGGGGGCTCGAGGTGCTGCGCATGACGTACGAGCACCCTCTGCGTTGGTGGGAGGCCACGGGCCTGCGCTCGGTGGAGCTGACGCTGTCGCAGATGCGCACCACACCACAGGACGACGCCGCCAACTGGTTGCTGCTCGCGGAGCTGATCGACCGCAGCAAGGGGCTGCGGCGGCTGGCGATCGAATTCGCTACCATCCCCGGCGTGCAACCCGTGCTCGCGGTGATGTCGGCCCTGGAGCGGAGTGCGGTGGAGGATCTCGTGTACGCTTGTGCGCGTTACACGGTCGGGGGGGTTTCCGAGGATCTGACGGCCGGGTTCGTGTCCCTGGTGCACAACGCCGCCGCGCTGCGTGCGCTGGAGCTGGTGGGGGCGCCCTCCAACGAGTTGTTCGGCTTCGACCTAGCAGTGGTCGTGACGGCCCTGCAGGGCAGCAAGACGCTGCGCAAGCTGCGCCTCGACTGGGACCACGGCCCGAACGATGCGGATCAAGGCACGGAGGAAATCGGCGCAGCGCTGCGTGGCCTGCTCGGCCGCAACACGTCGCTGGTCGAGCTGCACCTGTCCTCGCTCGCGTGGACGCCGGAAGGCTTCCGCGAGCTCCTCGGCGGCCTGGGCGCGAACAGGACGCTTCAGGTGCTGCGGATTTGCTGCGAGTATCTCTCGTCGTTGGAGGACGGAGACGTTTGCGAGCTAGTGGACGCGCTGTACGGCGAAGGCCGTCACGAAGGCCGCCAGCTGCACACGCTCGAGGTTTCTACGCCGTGCGCCACGGACTACAGCGTCCGTGCGTGCATCGCACCTGTGCTGGCAGACGAGCGGTCGTGCAAGCTGCGGAGGCTGGGTCTCGATCTGATCAAGGCGAAAGACGATGGGATGGAAGCGATCGCGCGGGCGCTGCGGCATAACCGCTGGCTTGAGTCGCTGACGCTTTGCGTGGACTCTGATTACGTCACCCCGGGTGGGCCTGGGTGGCTCAGCTTGACGGGATCGCTGGCGGACAACACGACGCTGCGACACCTGGAGATCAAGACTTCCAACCTCGACGCGTGCCGCATCCGGCTGGTCGGGAAGGTGTTGCACGCGCAGCAGTTCGCGCTCGCACAGCGGTAAACGGCCGATCGCGGGCGCGCAGTGCGCTGAGTGCGGCGCGGCGCGCGGAAGCGCGCCTGTGCGCAGTGTCGGCGTCGGAGGGCGCGAGAGATGAGATGGAATGAGGTGCCAGCAGCCACAGGCCGCATGCAACGGAAGGACGCACAATTGCATCGCCGAGCGGCGCCGCATGATGTGAGCCCTAGAGCTCCGCTCGCTCGTTCGTGACCGTCGCGCAGGCACGGGTCTGCTCCGCTCCGAACTGTTCCAGCGTGGCTCGTAGCTCGTCTGCGTCTCCAGGACCGTCGGTGTGTGTCTTGCGGCAGACCACGCGGAATGAGTGCACGTGCCATCTCGCCTGCTGGCCGTTCGCACGCACCGCGCTGTCCAGCGGGCTCGCCCCGATCCGCGTCGCCTCCTCGCTGTCAACTGGCATCCCTGAGATGCCGCAGCTGCCATGATGTTGTCGTTTTGCCGTCGAGGCTCGCGCGCCGACGCGCGCCGTGTCTCCACGCCCCCGCTCGTTCCGCTGCGTATGGCTACGTGGAGCGCGATCTGCGCGAGCCTGGATCAGTCCCCGGGGGTACTAATTCACTTGCCTGATGTCAGGGCGTGCGCTCTCTCTCTCCGCCGTGGCGCTTCCTCGAGCAGCGCCGCCGTTTCGTTCGTGCAGTCGATGAGTCGCGGACGGGATCCACCGCATACTTGCCAAGTTCCAGCGTCTTGCGACGTCGCGTGTCCGTGAGGGAAAAGCAACCGCCGCACCACCGCCAGCGACCCTTGCGTGCCACTGCACCGGCGCATTCAGGCGCGGCACCGGGGCGGAATAAGGCTGTGCGGATCGGAGTCACGCGGGGGGCGGTGATCGGCGTCGTTCGTCGCCCCTACAGCCGTCAGCGCCGGGCTCACTGGTCGCTGCTTGGAATGAGTGAAGCTCGGCGGTGGAGCCGAACAGGTTCGCAGCGGCTGGCTGGGAGAAGTCATGGCCGAGGTGGTGTATCCTGAGTGTTTCGACGACTTGTTCATCGTGGAGGAGACGCAGAAACGCGATGCAGAGGAGCCAGCGCAAGGTGCGCGAGCTCCCCGCGGCCTCACGCGCGCCACACTTTCGCCGCTCGCATGTCCACAGCATCACGCAATCTCTCAAGACCAGCACGCGTCCATTTCTCAGACTTTCGTCGCCCGCACGCCCCCGCAGACCCGACATTCCCCCTCCTAGAGCTCCCTGGTCCAGCCTTCGACGCCGTCCTGCGCTTTCTGTGGTACCGCGACAAGATCCGGCTCGGCGCGACCTCCTCCGCGGTCATGGCGCGCGTCCTGGGCAGCGGGTCGCGCCACCGCTGGCACGGACGGTCCAGCGCATCCATCGACGTACTGCGCCGCATCGCGGCGGCGGCGCGCACGGCCCCGCTGACGCCCGCAGCGGCGGGCGAGGTCGCGCTGCACGGCGCCGCGGTGCGCCTCACCGATGTGCAGCCGTTCTGCGACGTCCTCGACGGAGCGTCGCCGGCCGCGGGCGTTGCGCCGCGGCCGTCAATCGCACAAGAGCTCGCGACGCACGGGCTGGCGGACCGCCTGGTGCGACTCGACGTGCGCGGCAGCAAGATCACGCACCTCCCGGAGGATCTCCGCGGCCTGTTGGAGCTCGACGTGTCCGGGTGCAACCGCCTGGCGGCGGACTTCTTGCCGGAGACGTCTGGGGCGTGCGTCAGGGTGCTGGCCGCGGAGCGCTCGGCGCTGCACGCGGTCCCCGCGCACGTGGCCCCCACCGAGCTGCTCGTCGCCGGGTGCCAGCACCTCTCGCCGGACGCCGTGGTGCCGCCTGAGTCATCAAAACACCTCCGGAAACTCGACGCGACGGGCTCGAACGTCTTCCGCGTCCCCGAGGGCCTGCGCGCGCTCGAGCACCTCCGCCTGTCGCGCTGCTGGAAGCTCGCGGCCGTCGACTTCCTCCCGCGCTCGTCCACTGACAACATCGTGGTCCTTGACGTCAGCGAGACGCCCGTGCAGCGCCTCCCCGAGGGCCTGTCGCGCCTCGCGGACCTCAGTCTCGCCCTCTGCGACGACCTCGCGCCGGATTCCTACCTCCCGGCCTCGTCGCGCGCCGCCGTGCGTTGCCTGAATCTCGACGGCTCCACCGCCGCGTGCGTGCCCGGCGACATGCCGGCGCTGGAGCAGATCGACGCGGTGGGCTGTCGGGACCTCAGGACGGACACGTGGCTCGCGGAGTCGAGCGTGCGGTGCGTGAGGACCATCGCCGCGACGATGTCGACGATCGCCCGCGTGCCGCCGGGGGCGGCGGCGCTGGAGCGGCTCACCGTGGACAACTGCGCGGGGCTGGACCCGGAGCGCTGGCTGCCGGAGAGCAGCGCGCGCAGGATCAATGTGCTGTCCGCCAACGAGTCGCCCATCGCGCGCCTGCCGCCAAATATGGAATGTCTCGAGGAGGTGCGGACACGCGCCTATATATATATATATATATATGTGGGCGCCCTGCGCGGCGTTTCCGAACTCCCCTTCAGCGCGCTCGTCGCCTCCGTCCGTCGTCGCGGCGTGTTCGGCATGTTGCTGCGACGAAGACAACGGCCTGTCTTGCAGACACGGGGCGATCGCGCGTCGGCTCAATTTCGCGCGCGCACGCTCCCCCCTGCGCGCAGCTCCACGTCCAGTACTGCGAGAACCTGACTCAGGACGACTGGTTCCTCCCGGAGAGCAGCGCGAGCAACATCAGGATGCTGTTCGCCACGGAGTCGGCGGTGCGGCGGCTGCCGCCGGGGATGCGCAGGCTGGAGCACCTGGACGTGACGAACTGCTGGGACCTCGACGAGGACGGCGACTGGCTCCCGGCGTCCAGTCGAGGCAGTCTGCAACACGTGTACTTGCCTTATGTCCCCGAGTCAGGGCTAGTCTGACCCGAGACGAGGGGGAAATCCTGTGACGCTGGATCGCTGCGCGGATACCGGAGGCCCGGCGCAGGTGCCGACGCACGGGGGGGACGTTGCCGCAACGCGCTGCAGGCCCGCCACGAGCGTCTGTGCGAAGGCTCGAAACGCGATGATTTTGGAACGCGGGATGGGCGCCAGGTCCTCCTGTGTGTCGGCCTGGTCGTAAAACGGCGCCGTTTGCGTGTCTGTTGCGCAGCCTGTGGGCGGAGGAGCCTCACGGCACTGCATCGCTCACGCGGCGCAGCACAAGACACGCGCCGCGAGGTTCTCCACGCATGACTGGTCCCTCGGCCGCCAAGGGCGGCGCCTCATCCTCGACTCAGGCCGAAGACATCAGCGCGAGAGTTGGGCGGTTGTGTGCAGAGTGCCTGATGGTGGCCCGTGCGTCGTAACCATGGATTTTTTCCGATTTCCGACGATTGTCAAAGGCTACCAGCGATGTGATCTATCTCGTGGTGGCAGTATGCGCGGTCTGACTCCTGCGAGTGCCTCGGTAGGCAGCGGGAGAGCATGCATCCCTTCACACTTTGGCCCTCCCGCAGCGCGCGCAGACGGGCGCGCGCGCGGGTCCGCGCCCCGAAAATCATCGAGACGGACACTATCTTCCGTCTGCGACCACGCAACGCGCCCTTGAGCCCCTCTGTGAGAACCTCACTTCGAGCCAGTGTAGTCGGCCTTCTCCTCAGTTCGGCAAAACGACTCGATTGCGACGCAGTCAGACCTTGAACGCGCGCCGAATCCTCGTCAGGAGTCGCTCCGTGTACGTAACATGCGAGTGCGTTCGCTGTCGAGGACACTTCAGGTGGGTGCGCGCGGCGATGCGGAGGTCACGCCTGAGTGCATGAAAACACTCCTTTACACTCCCGGCCCGAGCCGGTCAAGGTCACATTGGCCCCGTCTGGCCCGGAAACAAGACATACGGGACCACATCCGCACCCCAGTGCCACCGTTCGATCAACTGCGGCCCTGTCCCAGCCTCGGACGCAGGGCGACCCGTCGCAACTGCTCCATGCGCCAAGCGCCGCGTCCATCCCGCGAAGTACTGCCGCGGGGACGATCCAGCATGTCGTTCCGGTAGAGTACGACCCGCTGCGCCGAACTTCCTGGCGCGAGGCCGCGTCCCGCGGGGCGCGCGAGACGTCCTCAGGGCGAGACAACTACTCTTCGGGCGGAGTGGGGCGCGCGACGGCATGCTGCGGCTTCCCTCCGTCCTCATCGCTCTCCTCCCGCTCCTGCTCGCGCTGGTCGCGCGACGGTGTGGTTGTCGCGCCGAGTTCGCGCAGCAGGGCCACTTCCAAGGTCAGCGTCCCGCCACAGCTCCGCCGCACGAGAACACGGCGCCTCCCGTCCTGCTGGAACGCCGCTCATATGGGGCGGTCTGATCTCTCGGACGGGAATTACGCGCTCAGAAAGACCAGCACGGCGCCGCCGGCGCTCCTCAGGGCATATACATGTGTGTCGCAGCGCCCACCGTCCGATTCGCGCTCCCCGCGGCCCCGCAGCGCGCACGAGGGACATCGCCGCGGAGACGCACCGCGTGGTGCAGTTCCTGCCCGTCTTCTGGATCAACCTGCGCGCCAGCGAGGACCGCCGCGCCTTCCAGCACCAGCAGCTCTTCAACGTGCGTCAGACGCGGGTAGAAGCCGTGGAGCCCACGTGGGAGCCGTACAGCCGCTTCGTCGTGCACAGCCCCGCCAGGTGCGTCACCCGCGCGCAGCGCACACACCGATTGGTATGAAACTGAAAGTCTGACTGCGCGAGGCGACGTTGAGCGCGTGAACCGCTGCTCGGCTGCCCGTTGACGGCGGAACGATGCTAGTGGCGTACGCGGCGCCCTGTCTGACCGAGTCAGCCGAACAGGCGCGCCCCGATCCTGCCACTGCCGCCTGCGCACCTTCGCAGTCATGATTTCGCGAGCGAGAGCCCAAGCGGCGGCCGGGTGTGGTCCCGGGAGGAGGTGAGAGGCCTGCCGCAGTGGGGCGGGCCGGGGGCGTCCGGTCCGGCCGGCGCGCTCGCTCGGACACGCGTGGCAGCGCTGCTGTCGCACCTGAGGGCGGTTCGCGCCGCCTACGACAGCGGGGAGCCGCTCGCGATGATCATGGAGGACGCCGCGGACTTCAAGCACGCGCCGATATGGACCAAGGTGCGCCGCTCCGACCGCCAGCCGCAGTCAGTCACCCACGTGGTGTTGCGGCGCGATAGTGAGACACGTGCCGTTCCCCGCCCGCGCAGACGCTGCCCGAGATCCTGAGTGCGGCTCCCGACGGCTGCGAGGCGCTGTTGCTGCACAACGCGCACGCCTTCGTGTCGGAGGTGTTTGCGCCCGCGGGCACGCTGTACGTGCCCGCCGCCAGCCAGTTGTCGTACGGCGCGATGGCGTACGTCCTCACGCGCAGCGCGATGCACGCGCTGCTCACGGCCGCGCACGGGACGGACTTCGAGAGCCGCGACGAGGCGTCGGCGCTGGTGTACCTCCCCACCAAGTAAGCGTAAACCCTTTGATATACTTTCATGGTTCTTTCTTCGCGCTAGTGCTGCCGCCCGCCGCTCCGCCCTCGCCGCCGCACTCTTCGCCCCTTTCACAGCCACTCATTCTCTCACAATATCTAATTGTCGAAGCAACCATTCAATCACTGCAGGTGGTACGCGCCCGCGGACTTCGTGATGGACAACGCGGGCGACGGCGCGTACGTCTACATGCGGCCCCTCCTCGACCGCCTCCCCGTCCCCTCCACCGTCGACCCCTCACACCCCCCCCTCTCCTCCAGCTACGCCATCAAGGGGACCGCGCACGTCGCCCTCTACTTCGCGCTGCGCTGGGAGCTCCACAGGCGCGCAGGGGGCTCGAACGCGCTCACCGCAGAGCAGGCGGCGAGCCTGGACGCGCGCGAGGTCGTCCGCGCGTGCGTGCCGCCGCTGTCGGTCGTGCAGCTGCAGCCGCGGTCCGTGGCGCGGGTGCTGCGGGCGGTGTCGCGGGAGCTGGGGATCGACCCGCCGCTGGAGTTCCGGGAAGACATGCTCGCGGACCACCCGCACGGGGACCCGCGCGTCAACATGGACCCGGCATGACGCACGGCGACAACCCGCATTTCATTAACACACTCACATTCTTTGCGGCGCTCTCGGAGACGCCTGCGCGCGCAGGCTTCCACGCCGTGCCCGTCGGGCTCGCGCGCGACCTATTGTTACACCGAACACGGCCTCACGATGGCCTCACGATGCGTCCGCCTTGGCCCGTAGGGCCCCGCAGATGACGTGCGTCACTTCGCGGTATCTCTCCGTCACCTCCCGCGCCGCCCCGCGCGCGAACAGCGGCCTCTCGAACACCTCGCGCGCCCCCTCCGTCGCCAGCAGCTCCCGCACGCGCCGCTGCACCGCCTCGAGGGACTGACGTGAAAAGTCCTCCATCAGTATCATCCTGTCAGCGTTCAGCACCCCCGGCTCCGGCGCACCGCGCGCGCCGCCGTAAATCGGCACCGCCCCGGACAGCACTGCGTGGAACGCCTTCTCCGTCACGTACCCTGCGCGCTCCCACGTCTCCGGAGCCACCGCAAACAGGTAGCCTTGCAAGTACGGCAGCTTGCACGCCGGGGACCGCCCCGCGCGCGTCGCCGTGACGCTCAGCCCCCGGACCTCCTCCGCGCAGCCGCCGATCGCCGTCGGCGAGAACTCCCCCCCGAGCCCGTCCGAACCCCCCCCCATGCGCATCGCGTCGAACGCGGCGCACTGCGGGTCGCGCGCGGTCGGCGGTGGCTGCGCAGCGAGCGTGTGCTCCGGCGACGGGTGGTTGCGCGCCAGCACGGACGCGCAGTCCACGGGAACCACTCGGTCGAGGTGGTTTTTCAGACTCCATCTCTCGACTGAGTACGCGCTGCTAGAGACGAACGCCGCCCGGCGCGCGCGGCAGTCGAAGCTCCCCGGGCCGCGCGTTGAGAACGCGTCGACGAACCGCATCGCGCGCGCGTACCACGCCCACCGCTGCAGGTGGCGCAGCGCAGGGTGCGAGGACTGCGGGCGCAACGCGTCGTCGGAGCCGTTGAACGGCCAGTAGAGGCCCTCCCACAGCCACAGCGGAAATCTGCGCACAGGGCAGGAACAGCGGCTCCCGTCTGTCTCACGCGCTGCACGCAGGGCGTACTGACTGCGTGTGCAGAGTGCAGTCGGGGGGGTGTCGTGCCTGACTTTCTCGGGCGCGTGGCAGGCCTGATCGGTGCACTCTCTGCGCTTCTGATGCAGCGGGCGCGAGCCTAGTCCGTCCGACGACGCGCCGTAGAACGTCATCGCAGCGTCAATGTGTCGCAGCGTGGACTCCTGGCCGTACCACCGGTAGTGCGGGCGCGCCCACACGTCCTCGCCGCTGAACAGAATGCGAACTCCTGCGGTGCAGCGTGGGAGCGCTCGACGGCCGGTGCTGTGCGGGGCACACGGGCGCCGCTGGCTCGCTGCTGGCCGTGTGCTGCATCCTACCGCGTTGCGTCCTACACTCATGATCGTGCCGTGCTGCTCGAGGAAGAGCCGTGCGGTCCTGAGAGGTCAGAGTCTTGCGGCAGGGCACCAGGCGGATCATCTTTGCCAGGGTGTCGGTGAGCGCCCCAGTCGCGTCGAGACCTGCCGCCGAACCAAGGCGCCCCGGACCGACACATCTCCTGGCCTGTCCACGGGCCTCCGCCTCGATCCAGCGACAAAGTCCCGACCAGACCAGAGCGCTTACCGACACAGCTCAGCAAAAATGATCCACGTGCTTCCCTGCCGCAAGACTCTGGCCTCTCGGGTACGTCTCGCCCGGCCCTCCCTCGATCCACATGACCGCTCTGCGCAGACGGACGCGGCGGCGCGGCGTTGCGTGTCCGAGCGCACCTCGGGCGCGCTGCACCTTGGCAGCAAACTCCTCCGGGGGACAAAACACGGAGAACACCGACACGTCCTCGTCGGGCCGCGGACCGTCGGGCGCGCCCGCGGGCCGTCCGGGGAACTCCGGGCGGCACGACGGGCAGAACGTCGCCCACATGTCCTCGAGAAAGTTTGCATCCCGCGACAAATCGCCACTCTGGTTCCGGCCCCTGCGGCGGTCCGACGGCGCGCTCGTGGCGGGTCTGGGGGCTCCGGATGGACGGCTTGCGGGGCGTGGGGGTGTTTGGCGCGAGGCGTGCGCACGAGGTGGTGCAGCGAGGCGCTCTTGCCTGCCCTGGTCGTCGACGAAGCCGTCCCAGAAGCAGTGGAAGCCGATTCTCAACGGTGCGCGCGTGTCGACGTCCGGACAGACGTTCTCCACCAGGAGCGACCGCAGTCCGGACAGAATGGAGTGGAAGGCCTGCCCGCCTGGTGCGGGGCGCGTGGGCTCCGACGCGGCGCCATTGACTAGAGTTCCGAGAGCGAGCACGATGTAGAGTACCGGGAATGTCAAAAGCGACGCTCGTAAGCTCGGTGGGCGCGTCATCCGCGCAACGACTTTGCGCGGTCCTGTTGGCCAGCGCTCACCGCGCGGTTGGGGCGGGCACCGCTACGTCACTGTGCCCTCCATGTCTGTCGTCGCTTGTACATATCACCGATCATCTGCGTCTCGCGATCACGGCAGCAAGACCGCAAACGACGGGCCCGCAGCACCAGGCAGGGTGCAATCGCCAGCGCCACGGCGCCGCTGCCGCCCGCCTTGCACCACAGCCGCAAACGGAGCGAGAAACGCACAGCGGCTCGTGCTTGTAGTCCTTGTGCGTACAACTGGCCAGCCTGGACCTCTAGAGCGCCCCATGCAGACGGAGCCCAGTTGCCCCCCCCCTCGACTGCAAATAGGGCTCACTCTCGTCATATACTCAAGGGAGGCACACACGCAACTCTCCGTCCGTCCGCGGGCGCCCACCGGCCCCGCGCCACCACCCCGTCGCAGCCAGACCCGACCACTAACCCCCCCGCATCGCACCACGCTCACACGTCCGATCCCGCCCCCCCGAGGCGCGCAGCACTGCCATCGATCACTGCCGACGTGTCGCGCCCCGCCGCGGGCCGTAACCCTCCACCACTCCACTGCCCCGCTTCGCCACGCAGGCCGCGAGCCCACGCGAGCACGGGCGGCCGCACGCGCCCGCGACCGAGCGCCCCCGCACGCGGCCGACGAGACGGTAACAGGATGCTGGCGTGGCGTGTTGTGCGGCGCCGCTCGGAGCGCCACGCGACGGCGGCGGGCCGCAAGCGGCGCGCGGCAGGTGGGTGACGTGGCCGAGGCGCGCGCGGGCCCTGCGCGGGGCGCGTCGCCGCGCTGCCGCGGCCCGCGGCCCCTGACGCAGCGCGGGGGGTAAGAGGGCACTCCCCCGCGCTCCGCGACGCCTACATTGAGTCGGCCGGCCGTTGCACCACTCCAGGCGTCGTTGCTGGCTCGTATCAAGCTTCCGCGGGTACTTCCATCGCTTCTATTGCGTTAGCTGGCGCGCAAGCGGCTGTTGAGATGGCAGCGCGTGATGAGCGGCGCCCCGCGGCTCGTGCCGCGTCCCGGCGTCGCCACGCGTGCCGCGGGCCGCTGATGCTTCTCGTCGTTCTTGCCATGCTCTGCGTGAGCCCCGCGGCCGCGCGGATCCCCGGAGGCGGCCTCCGGAGCCTGCTTCAGCCTCCGCCAATGGGTGGCATGAACGGGGGCGGGCCGAACGCTCCGGCGTACACGCAGCCGTCCGGGAGCCAGTCGAGCAGCTCCTGCGCGGTGACGAGCGGGTCGTGCGCGGAGGACGGCAGCTCGAACAGCTTCGACGGTGGGAATCTGGCGTGGAGCAACGGGCGGTTCCAGGGCTCGCTCCTCACGAACCAGTGCCCGCACTACACCTACTCGAACGGAAGGGTGAGGAACACACCGCATTCGTCTCGCGGAAGCTGGTCGCGCCGCCCTCGGGACGCGGGGCGCGGGTGCCGCGTGTGCGCCCCGGCCACGCACGGGCGCACCGCGGGGGCGCGTGGCCGCACAAATATCGGATTTTGTCCGTACTCCTAGGACTAACAGTGCTCAGCAAGTGGGATGACGCATCTGAATCGAGCGGAGACTCTCAGCTGAGCGCCCAGCGCTGCTCACCCCACCTCTGCTCTGCAGCCCAGCGCGTCCTGTCAAACGCACCAGATCCCGGACCCGAGTTTCGCCAACGGAGCCTCCGGCGCGCCCCTCCTCGGCGTCGTCGGGTACAGCTACGTGTCGGCAACGACCGGAGGAATGCCCATCTACGGTGAGGCCCACTCCCGCCGCTGTGGACCTTTGACTTCGACTCTGACAGTCACGCGCAGCCAAGCCAGACGACCTGCAAACGGACGCTCGGCCCCTGCATCAATGCGCGTCGCCTCCCAGACTCACGCGCGCCACCCGCGCCGTCGCGCTCCAGGCAAACCTTTGGTGTTCTCAACGGCCGCTTGCTCGCTCGTTGCGTCCCGCAGGTCCGTTTGAGGCCGGGTTCAGCGAGGGCCAGGCGTGCACGAACGGCCGCGGCTCGTGCCCCGCCGGCATGGACGTCCCGACGTGCGAGGCGAAGCTTGTGCACGAGTGCGGGCAGAGCAACGTCGCGCAGGGCATGCTCCCGGACTCGTGCGGCGCGCACGCGTCGCCGTACCACGTGCGTACACCCCGTGGGCTCGTCGCAGGGCAGCCGCGTGCCCCGTTGTGTTGATATTTCGCCGCCGACGCAACTGTCAAGTTAAGTTACGGAGTCTGTGTTTCGCGCGTTGCAGTTCCACCACGGGATGGACTGCCTGGACCGCTCGTCGACGGGCCACTCGTCGCTCGTGGGCGTCGCGCTCGACGGGTTCGGGATCTACGCGAAGAACGAGGACACGAACGCCAAGCCGACCGACCTGGACGCGTGCGGCGGGCACATCGGAGTCGCGCCGTCGCCGGACGGCTCCACGAACGGCACGTTCTACCACTACCACATCCAGGAGCAGGGGCCCTTCACGCTGGGCTGCTACAGCGGCGGACAGGTGCGCAACACGGCGTTGTCGTCACTGGCATTGGTCAGTCATGAATCAAGCAAGAATCGTACTCTTCAGCACTTGCATGCCTGCGTACGCGGCGTGCGTGGCTCGCGCTGCGATGCTGGATCTCAGCGGGAGCAGAGCTCACTGATTCGCGATCGTGGGTGCGCCGTTGCAGCCCAAAACAGTGTCGGAGTGCAAGGCGCTGCAGACTGAGGCGTGCGACGGCACGCGCGGCACCTACACGACCTCGGAGGGCAGCATCGAGTACGACCTGTGGTGCCCATGCTACGAGTCGGGCCAGGCCCCGCGCCTCGAGGGCGGCGCGCAGCCCAGCAGCACCTCCGCCACCACCGCCCCGCCCTCCGGCGCCACGCAGGCGCCCGCAACGAACGCTCCGGGCAGCACGCAGGCCCCGCAGGCCACCACGCCGCCCCCCGCGCCGACGCAGGCCCCGCCGCAGCAGGCAACAATCTCCGTCAGCTTCACGGCCACCTTCAACTCCGCCAGCGACGACGGGTCCCTCAACGACGACGAACGCAGCCGGATCGTCGCGGCGGTGCTCGTTTCGATGGGCTCTCCGTCCGGCGCCGAGGTCGTGTCGTCGTCGTTCACGCGCATCTCGAAGCGCCGCAGCCTGCGCGGGCTGGGGTCGTACAGCGTGGACGTGGAGGTGCGGACGAACAGCGTCGCGAGCGCGACGGTGGCGGCGGACGCGACGACGGACGCGAGCCTGCTGGCGGCGTTCCTGGCGCAGGGCGTGCAGGCGTCGGCGGTGTCGTCGACGCGCGCGAGTGCGAGCGCGGCGAGCACGGGCGGCGGCGGGTCGGCGGCGGGCGCGGCGGGGATGTCGGCGCTCGCGGTGGTCGCCGCGGGCGTGGCTCTCCTGCTGCCGTGATTCCGGAACATGCGGCGAGCATTTTTTCGTGGTTTGTTGCGCTCGACAGTTGGGAATTGAAGACTGGCGTTGGGTTTTTGATTTGAGGCATATTCATTCATGCGCGAAGGGTCTAGATTCCTTCGCATGTGACTCGCGACTCGGAGCTCGTGCTGCGCGGCAGCCGCCTGCGCTTCAACAGCAGCAGGTTCGTGCAGTCCGTGTCGTGGTCAGTGGCACATCGTCATCAGCTGCGATGCGCCTGGAGACCGAAACGGCGCCGGGATGTGTCGGCGCGCGACCGGGAGGCTGGGCTGGATGGTGTCGGCGGCACCGCGGCGTTTCACGCCCCTGGGGCGCCAGACTGGCAGTCTGACGCGTGCTGACCTGGTCTGACCAAGCGCCACGCCGGGTCTGCGCAGGAGCGTCGGCGGCGCTGCGAGGCGCGGGCAGTGCGCCGTTTGTGGAGCCTGCGATCGTTGGGTCGAGCGCAAGAGCTGTTGGGAGTGCGGCGGACGACGGGCGGAGGAGACGTGAGGGCGCAGCGGGGCAAGGCACGGCCGGGGCGGGCGCAGCGAGGGGCTCGGGACGTAGCTGGGCGCCATGGCGGACCCATTCTCGGAGAAGGACGAGGTGGACCCGAAGATCGTGCTAGCTAGGAAGGTGCGGCGCGCGCACCGGCGCCGAAGCTCCCGTCAACTCAGCCACGGGCGCTCTCTTGCGGCACTCGCCCAGCGGGGGCCGCGGCGCATCCGCACAGGGCTGCCTGCGTCCATGATCTTCGTTTCCGATGCACAGCGTGTGCTTTGGGCCCACACGGAACACGCACTGGCCCGCTCAGCGCCCTGGGAGGCTGCGCTGGCGCGAGACGCGCTGGAGCGCCTCCTCGGCGCCGCACCGCCCCTCACCGCGCTCGCACCGGCAGCCTCGAGCTCCCAAGTCGCGAACCGGAGGCGAAACCTGCGCCTCAGGCCTACGTACGCGCTGCGGGACCTCCCCGGCCTTTCCGCGCGCCACAGCCGCGGCCTCGCGCCGCTGACCCGCGGCCCGCGCCCGTTGCCGCGCCACGCAGAGGTTCTTGTTGAAGCACAAGGACATCGAGGGCGTCGACCGGAAGAAGGAGCTGGAGGAGGCGGTCAAGATTTGCGAGGATGGTGCCCGCACGCACCTCTACTCGCACCTGTGCAAGACGCTGGGGCTCAAGGAGGACGCCGCGAAGGTCAAGGGTATGTCAACGATCCGTGCAGCGCTCCTGGCCGCACAGCCGCTCCGCTGCGCGCGGCGCCCGCGCCCTGGCGCGGTGTTCCGTTGCACTTGTCATCAGCGGGCGGCGTGTCGCGTGGGTGTCCGCAGCGATGAAGGAGGCGAACAAGAAGAAGGAGGAGGAGATCGAGGAGAAGAAGAAGGAGGCGGAGGAGCGCGGCGGCGACACCGACATGCGCGACGTGCATCTCGCCCGCGCCGACTACCTGGCGAGCATCGGAGACCTCAAGGCAAGTCTCTCAGCCCCGCCACGCCGCCTATCTCCATAGCCGCCGCCTCTCCTCCTCCACGCGCGCGCACCGCACGCCAGCCACCCGCCCCTGCCCTGCGCGAAAACACGCACGCGCGCGACGCCGCCTCCGCCCCGGCTGCGCCGCGCAGGGGGCGATCGAGGCGTACAAGGTTCCGTCGATGAAGTCCATGTCCCTCGGGCAGCGCCTCGACAGCGTCTTCGCGGTGCTGCGCCTCGCGATCGCCTACGACGACTGGCGCCTGGTGCGCGAGAAGCTGGACGACGCGCGCGCGCTGTTCGAGCAGGGCGCGGACTGGGAGCGCAAGAACCGCCTGAAGGTCTACGAGGCCGTGTACCTGCTCGCCGTCCGGCGCTACAAGCAGGCGTGCGCGCTCTTCCTGGACGCCGTCGCGACGTTCACGACGACCGAGCTCATGACGTACCGGTCGTGCATCCGGTACACCGTGCTCACCGCGCTCATCTCGCTCCCGCGGCCGGAGCTCCGCGCCAAGGTCGTGGACTCCCCCGAGGTCCTGTCGGTCATCGAGCACCTGAGTCCCCTGGGGGACTTGCTCAGCTCGTTCTACGGGTGCAAGTACGCCGACTTCTTCGTGGCGCTCGACAAGGTCACGCGCACGCTCGTCACCGACACGCTCCTCCACACGCACCACCGTTGGTACCTGCGCGAGATCCGCGTCAAGGCATTCCGGCAGTATCTGGAGCCGTTCAAGAGCGTGCGGCTGGGGAGCATGGCCGCGGCGTTCGGGCTGCCGGAGGACGACGTGGACCGCGAGCTCGCGGACCTGATCGTCGCGGGGCGCGTGGCGTGCAAGATTGACCGCGTGGCGGGGGTCGTGGAGACGTCGCGGCCCGACACGCAGAACGCGCTCTACCAGCGGTGCATCCGGCAGGGCGACGCGCTGCTGAACCGCGTGCAGAAGCTCTCCAAGGTCATCGACCTGGAGTGACCGCGGCCGGCGCTGCGCGTGTGACGATGACGTTCGGCAGAGCAGTCGGCGACGGGCGTGCGTGCCGGTGCGTGCGGCGCAGTTCGCGCCGATTGCCGGGCGCTGGGCCCGAACTTGCCGCACGTTCGCGACAGCACCGGAGCAGGCGCGTATCGCGGTTGACAACATGCCCGACAACACTGCAGTCTCACAGCGACGTGCGCCGCGCCGCGGTGCGCGCCTCACTTCTTGCCGGCGAGCTCGGACTCGGACGGCCGCTCCACCACCTCCCACTCGCCGTCGCCGCCCGCGATCCCCAGCCAGGAGCTCGCGCCAGTAGCCGCGGTGCCCCACACGCGAGTCACCGCCTCGAGGTGGCTCTCGGCGCCCGCGTCCGGGTCCAGCTGCTCGCTCCACGGCCGCACCGCGCTGTCCTCGGAGACGCGCGCCGCCGGTCGTCGCGCAGAGGCGTCGTCGGCCGTGCCGTCGGCGTCACTGCTGCCTTCTGCCGCGGCCGCTGCCGCCACCGCCGCGGGCGCGCGCGGGCTCACGTCCGAGTCCTCCGCCGCGGCGAACTCCTGCGTGCAGCGTCCGCCCTCCGCGGCGCCCTCCGAGCCCTCGGACGCGCCGGAGATGCGGATCTCTCGATTGTTGTTCCCTCCGTCCATCCCTCCTCTCTCGCCGCGCGGATCGACGTGCTCCCACTCCGCGCACGCGCCCTTCCCGCACTCCGTCGCGCACTCCGTCGCGCCGCCGCCGCACTCGCCGACCCGGACGCGGTGCGCGGCCAGCGCGTCGCCCGCGCCGCGCCACGCGTCCCGCGCGGCCGCGACCGCCGCGCCCGCGACGTTCCGCCCCGCGAGCACCGCGCACGCGGCCAGGCACTTCGCGCGCCCCTCGTACCTCGACACCAGCGGCCGGAGCTCCCCCGCGCCCCGCATCGCGCGGCCGAGGGTCTCGCGCAGCTGGTCACATGCGTCCGCAGCCAGCGCGGCATGGTCCGCAGCGAGCGCCTCCCACACCTGGAGCGCGCGCGCGAGGCCGAGCTCGCAGAAGCACCGCGCGCGGAGCAGCAGCGGCGCGAGCGGCGCCAGCGGGGGGCGGCCCCGGTGCCTGCAATAGCACCAACGGTTGGTCGGCTCGGTGCGCGCAGGGGCGCACTAGGCGACGCGGGGCACGGTGTGGGCGCGGAGACGATCGAGAGGAAGGCGGTCGGTGCGTTTCGGGGGTGTGTTGGGCCGGGGCGGCTGCGCGCGCCTGCAGTAGAGGACCCAGGAGGTGGCGCTGAGGGCCGCCGCTGTGCCGAGGAAGGGCACGGTCCAGCCTCCGGAGGAGGTGGCTTGGGTCGCCCTGCGGATGGTGCGCGGGGCGCGTGTTTTGGCGGGGCGGAGCGGCGGGCGGGGTGCCGTGGCGACGCGCGGGCAGTGAGCAGGCTGGGAATCGTGCTGGGGCGAATATGCGATGCGGTCGTCGCTTTCTGAGCGTCTTTCCGCGAGTATCAGTGTCGTTTTGGCCGGGTCGAGTGAGCGCAAGGCGGCGCGCCCACGGAAAACTGGAGATTCACGGCGTGTTGCAACGCCTCGTCCTTTTCAGGCGAGCGCGGGCCGTAAGTCCGTTCCGCCGGACAGACCGCGGCGCTCATCAAAGTTCAAATCGAACTCGACCGACTGAATCGATCGAGGTGGCGCGTCAGTGCGAGGCGCCGGCGTTCGGGGGCTGTGAAGCGACAGCTCCTCGATAGACGCGCCGAGGCCCTTCTCTCACCTCTCCTCGTCCATGATGCGATCTCAACAGCACCCCATCACACACCTTTGCCTCAGCCGCCGCGTACGTGCACGGAAAAGCCCCCGCGAAACTCCCCGCGCGCAGAGATCGCGGCCTGCGCCTGGCAAGACACACAGCCCAGCCCCCCCCCCGGCCCGCCGCAGGGCGGCCACGCGTCCCTGTGCGGCCGCGCCGCCGCGGCCAGGCCCTACGCGAGCCCCGGGAGCCAAGCACACCGGAGCCGCGTCCGCCTGCGGGCCCACCCGTGTATTCTTGTTCTTCCGCATCGTTACGTCCCGGCGCGTGGCAAGCCGTGCGCGCCGCACGACGCGCCGCCGGCCGCGAGCGCTCCGCGCAGAGCTAGCTGGCTGCGCTGGAGCGAGCTCGCGGGGCCCCACCGGCGCGCGCCTGGGCCGACGAATGGCGTGTGTGCTGGCGGCGCAGGTGCGACGGGGGCGCGTGGGGTCGCGCGGTGCGGCGCGGTGCTGGGTGCGCGGTGAGCGGGCAGTGCGTGGTTCGCCTATGTCACATCATTGCGCTGATGCGTGGCGTGCACTTGCCCCGGGGGAGCTGCGAGGAGGCGCGCAGCTATCGCGTCGCTCGCAGGCCTCGCGACAAGTGCCTCCGGCGCGCCGCCTTAGGCCTGGCCGGCCTCGGCAGCCTTCTTCTTCCACAGGTGGTCGATCGCGGAGTCCGACTCGCCCTGCACGCATCGCAGCGGTGCGCTACTCAGCGCAGAGCCCGACGCGCTGGCGGGGGCCGCGCGAGGACGGTTCGGGGCCGCGGGGTCCCCAGCAATACACAGAGCGGCCCGGGAGCAGGCGGGGGCCGGCGGCGGGCGCGCGGGGCGCGGCAGGGGGCTGCGGGGGTGCGCACCGCGAAGCGAACCTTGCCCTGAAGCGCCAGAGTGGTGAACTCGCCGTTGTACACGCCCGTCTCGTCGAGGTGGCCGATGTTGATCTGGACGGACGCGTGGTCCTTGGCCGTGATCAGCTTGTTGGTCCACGCGCTGCGGGAGAGGGTGCGGCGGGAGGGAGGCGGTGGGCGGGGCGTCTGCGGGGCGGGCTGGCGCGGGGCGCGCGCCGCACGTGCGGGCACGGGGCGTCAGGCGATCGTGTGGGGCGCGGGGCGCGTGGATGCCGCGCTGGAGGGGCGTGCTGTGGGGTGCAGACGCCTGAGGCGAGCCTCCCGGGCCCGCCGGGGATGCGTCGGGCGTGCGCGTGCGGGGGCGGAGGTGCGAAGTAGGAGGTGTTGCGGCGGGGAGGTGCGGGCCCTGCCATGCGGCGGCAGGCAGGCCTGGCGCAGCGGGAGCCGTCGGCTCGCACTCGGGCCTGGAGCGGCACCCGCCCGCTGGCGGCACGGCGTCGCGCGTGGCGACTGGCGTGTATTCGGCAGATGCGCTGGGCGACGCCGGAGACGCAAACACGAAGACGTGCGCGCTCACCACTTGCGCGGGATGTACAGGTCGATAACTTCGCCAGCGTCGTTGATCATCTTGGCCGCTCGACTACCACGTGGAAGAGGGCGAGGCGCGCCACCGCGGGCGCCACAGAAGCGCGCGAGCGTTCCCGCAGGGCGCGCGACGTACGTCAGCGACGCAGTCCGACTCGGCGTGCGCCTCGTTGGACCGGTCCCGCCGCGGCCCAGCGCACTCTCGGGAGCGGGGACGATTCAGGGCACCGCCTCCGTCCGCTTGAATGCGCTGAGTCGCCAAGATGATGCGCGTGGTGCGCCCCCTGCCCAACTCGCCTCCTCCGTTCAACTCCACGCCGCGTGCAGGCCTCGTTCGCCGCGGAGCACCCCCCGCCCCGCAGCACGCCCTCGTCCGCCACATCGTCGCGCGCCCCGCGTCGCGCGCGCGTCCCGACGCGCGACGCCATTGCGCTCTTCGTCACCGCACTGGCACGGTTTCGGTCGCCGCGTGCAGAAGAAGGCCCTGCCGGACGCGTCCATCTTGAAGCGTAGAGACTACGAGGCCAAGCTCGAGAAGCTCGCCCGGGATGAGAAGGCGAGCCTCCCGGCCCCGCCAGCGCGCTCCGAACCTCGTTCAACGCGCCACGCCCTCGCCTTGCCGGCCCGGCGGCCGCGCAGAGGGACTTGCGGCCCGAGCGACGCCCCGCGCGGCACAGGCCTGCTCCGTACCTTGCTCCCCGCGCCTGCCGGGGCCCTCGCGCGGCCCGCGCCGTTCGTGCGGGCGCGACACATGTGCCGCGCGAGGCCCTGCACGTCCCGGGGCCGCCAGGCCGCCCCCGTGACGCGCGCGCGCCCCGCGCGGTGGCGTCCGTGCAGGAAATGAAGCAGAAGGAGCGCATGGCGCACTGGGAGGTGCGCACGGGGCAGCGCCAGCAGCGCACCCAGCACGCCATGGCCGCAGAAGAGATGCAGTGGCAGCGCGAGGAGGTGCTCGAGCGCCGGCGCCAGGCGCTCAAGGCCAAGTTCGAGCGGTGAGGACCTCGCACGCCGCGAGCGACCGCGCCCCGCGCCGCCGGAACCACGTGCACGCCGCCCGACGCACCACGCACCGTCTGGCGTCCACCGGCGCCTCCCGCAGCGCTGCCACTGCACTGCAGCGTCGTCGCCTGACGCTGCGCCCGTCCGCGGAACGCCCGCGCCCGCCGCAGGGAGGAGGCGCAGTACAAGCAGGAGATGTGGTCGCTGAAGGAGTCGCCCGAGATGCGGCGCGAGCGGCTCGCGCGGCGCGCGCGCGAGCTCGGGGAGCGGCGCGAGCGCAGCCGGCAGGCGATGGCCGAGGAGCTGCTCGCGCGGGCGTTCCGCGACAGCTGCGACCCGCTGCGCGACCGCGACTCGCACACCAAGATGATGCGCGCGTATACGGCGCGCGTGGAGCAGGTGGCGGAGGCGCAGGCGAAGGAGGAGGCGCGGAGGGCGGAGGAGGCGGCGTGGGCGGCGCAGTGGGAGGCGAACCGGCTCGAGAAGGAGGCGCGATACCAGCGGGACAAGGAGGAGGAGCTTGAGCGCAACCGGTCGCAGCTGGGCGTGCTGGCGTCGCAGGTGGCGGAGCGCGTGCAGCTGCGCGACCGTGACCGCGACGAGCTGGACGCCGAGCGCCGCGCGATGCACGAGGAGTGGGCGCGGCAGGAGCAGGCCGAGCGCGACCGCATCGAGGCGCTGGCGGAGGCGAACCGGGAGCGCATCCGCGACGTGCTGGAGTTCAACGCGGAGAAGCTGGCGCGCGACGCGGCGATCCGGCAGGCGGAGGCGGACGAGGAGGAGCGGCTGCTGCGGGACGCGCTCGCGGCGGAGCGGGCCGCGGAGGCGCGGGAGAAGGCCGAGAAGGAGCGCAAGCGCAAGGAGACGCAGGTGGGGGGCGGCGGGGGTGTTTCGGGCGCCGGGGCGCCTTGTGCGTGCGTGCGGCCTCGTGGGGGCGTGCGTGGCTGACGCGAATCGGGCACATGTTTGAATGTATGGAAGAAGTCGCGCGCCGGTGTGTGTGCAGGCGTACCGGCGGGAGATCGAGGAGCAGATGGCGCAGGAGGCGGAGGACCTGCGCGAGGACGAGCTGCGCGCCGAGGCCGAGGCGGCGGCGATCCGCGCCAAGGAGGACGCGGCACGGGCCAAGCTGGAGGCCGCGCGACAGGCGCTCATGTCCGAGGTGCTCGCGGTGCGCCAGGACCAGGTCGACGAGCACCTCGCCGAGCAGCGCGCGGCCTACGAGGCCAAAATGGCCGAACGGTGCGCCCCCCGCCTCGCACCGTGCACGCGACGCGGCGTCGCCACCCGCCCGCGCGCGCCCCCGCGCTGCGCCAGAGCCGCGGGGCCGCGGCTGTCGTGCGCGCAGGCAGCGGCTCGACGCGGAGATGGACGAGCTCGCGGCGCGGGAGGGCGACGCGCGGTACCGGCAGCAGCTGTCGCGCCTGGCCAACCGGCTCGACCTGGAGGCGCAGGTCAACTTCAAGAAGGAGCGCAACGCGCTGGCGGCGGAGCTGGAGGCCGCGGCGCGCGCCCACGCGGTCAAGGCGGAGAAGGAGTACCTCGAGATGGTCGAGAAGGTCAGCAAAGTGGAGCCCAACGTGTGGCACGGGCGGCGGGCGCACAAGTGGTTCTCGTGACGCGCGGAGCGCCGCGGGACGTGCGTGTGAGCCGCGCGGGCGTTTCTGTGCGCGCTGGCGCGCTCGGACGCGGCGTCGCGGAGTCGCAGCGTTTGTTTGCGCCAGCGGGCTGCCGACCCACACGCACACGCACACGCACACGCACACGCACACGCACACGCACACGCACACGCGCGCGCCTGGTGGGGCTGGCGGCGGTGCGACGTGCACGAGCGCGTCGGCGTCGCGGCTGGCGGGCGTCGGTCGGCACTCGCGCGGCTCGCCGCGTCGTCGTCGTGGTCGCTGCATGTCGTCAGCTCTCTGTTTGCATTTTCAGTTTCCTTTTCGCAACGACAGGCTGGAGCCTGACCCGGCACGTGGCGGCTCGCGCGAGCGCTCCTGGCCCGACGCCGCGCTGTGCCGGACGACGGCGCATCCGCACTGCGCACCACCGCGGGTGCGTCGCTTCGCTGTGCGTGTACTGGCGACCAGCGGTGAGCAAGATCGCTGAGCGCGCGGCTGCGCGGGCGTTCGGGGCGCTGTCTGCGAGCTCGATGCGTGTGATCAGTTCAGAGGATGCGTACGAGGCAAGGTTCGGCGCTATCGAGGGATCTGGTGGCGCGTTTCGCAGCGAGGGGTTGCAACTTATATGAGGTCCGCAATGCGCTAATAGAACGAATTTGCGGCGCCTCTCATGCATCGACATGAAGAACAATGAACTCAGAAGCACTGCGAAAGGAGCGAAACGCCGGGGCAACGAATGCGTCGTGCGCGATGGCGCGCTGTTGACCGCAGTGCGCCGAAGGGTCGTTACCCGGCCGGGCGAGCGGCGTGCGGGTCCCGCGCGAGCCGCGCCGCCCGCGCGTGCGGTTGTACGGGCAACGGTCCTCCTTTTCCGCGCCGCTCCGAGGGAAGCCGTTTCTCGGAGATCGGCACCAGTGCCAGTGCCAGCCCGACCAGTGCCCCAGCTGCTAGGCGCGGCGCGTTCATGGCCGTGCGCCGCTCGCGGGCCGGCGCTATCGCGACAACGAGGTACCATCGTCCTCAAACGTCCAACCTCGGTTGTGGAAGCGCTAGAACAAGAGAGACGCGCGTAACGAGCGTCTCGTTGGCTGCGAGTGAACCCGCCGACGCCTGCTGCGACGCGACCGCCCGGATTCGTCCGGCGTCGTTGGATTCTCGACGTCCCCTCGTGCTCCCGGAGCACGCGAATCCGCCCGCGAGCCCCCGCACGGGCCCCAGGCCGCCTGCTGCAGCAAGGATCGCAGCAGCCCCGGCGCCGCCGTTACGCGAAACGACGCGTCGTCCTCGCGCCGCCATGAACGACGATATGCGCGTCTATGACAACCTGAGCGTCCTGGACTTCACGGAGAAGGTGCGCGGCCCTCGACCCACCAATCCCGTAACGAAGTCAGTACCGTGGCCCTTCGGCGCCACCACGCCCGCCCCGACAGCCTCGAGCGCCTCCCCATAATCTCGGCCGCGCGCAGCGGCGCCCCGCAGCGCCCGCAGTGCCCCCGCCGCGCCGCGCCGAGGCAGCGCCGAGCCCCCGCTAGGATCGCGGCGTGCGGACTCGGTCGCGCGGCACCCACGCCCGCGGACGGCGCGCCCCTCCGGACTTGTACGTTCAACGCAAGCGCGCCCCACCACCGCGCCGCTCGCGCGCGCCCCCGCGACGCCCCTGGTGACGAGGATGCCCGCCCCAACTGCCCTCTGCAGGCTCGCCCGTCCAAGGCGGCCTCGGTCCCCGACGCCATCCTCGCCGACCGCGTGCGCACCCTGCGCCAGGCCCTCGGCGTCGGGAGCGTCCAGAGCTCCCGCGACCTCCGCAAGACGGTCCTGCTGCGCTCGGCTGCCGAGGCGGCCGCCACCAGCAAAGCCCGCGGGCAGGACCCCCTCGACGCGCGCTCGACCGTGTCGTCCGACGGGGACAGCCCCCGCTGCTCGGAGCCCGCGATGCGACGGACCATCCGCCTCCCCAGCACCGGCATGACCCTCGCGATCGACCCCTCTGTCGTCTGAGACGAAGACACGAAACGAGGACTGATCCCACACAAGATGTGTGGGACCGCGCCCACCGCACCTCCCGGGCCCTCGCGCCCGCGGCGACGTCCGGCCCCCGCGACGTCGCGCTCCTGCCTCCGCCGGGGACGCTCGTTCGTCCCCGAACCCCGGGGCCCGCCACCCCCCCCGCCCCCCCTCCCTAGCGACAACTCGGCACGCGCGCACAATTCGCGCTGCGCGCGCGCCGACGCTGCAGCCGGGCCCGTCGAGAACGGGGCCCATCCCCCGCTACCGCCCCCGCGGCGGTGCACGACGCGAGGCCCATCACCCTCGCCACCGCGACGGAGCTGACCCACTTTCGGCCAACTCCCGTCCGCCCGTGCACCGGCCCGAGCCCCCCCGCCCCCCCTCCCTGCCGCTCCTTCCTGCCCCCCTCCTTCTCCCTCTCCCGATGATGACCGTTTTTCTCCCGCGCGGCCCCTCTACGCGGCCGCGCTGCATGGCGACGCCTGACACAGCACCGGACCCCGCGCGCCTCTCCGCCTCGAGACGCGCGCACGCCCGCGTTGTTTTTCCACTTGCCGCCCGCGGATTCACACCGACGACGACTGAGATAGTCTCCGCGACACATCGCTCCGCACGGCTGCCGCTTCGCACCGGCACGTGCTCGACCCCCCCCCGGGCCTCTCTCAGCCCCCGCGCAGCCATTCAACTCCCTCCCCCACCGAATCCCCCGAATCACCCGATCTCTCATTCGCCCAGCTTTGCACCCTCCTCCGCCCCCCACCCCCCTCTGCATGCCACACGGCTTTTGCCCAACATTGCCCAGCGCGGCCGCCGTCGCGCGGCTCCTGCTACCTCTCATTCCGGGTACCGCGCACCCACGTGGCACGGAACGACAGTCTCGCACCCGCCCACGCGGCCGCCGCCTCGCTGGACCACCACCACCACCACCCTGCCTACTCAAACCTGCATGTATACCTGCTGCATTTCCAACGCGCACCCGCCCACGTGGCGCGCGACACACACACACACACACACACACACGGGGCACACACACACACACACACACACACACACACACGGGACGCACGGGGCGTCCCACCTCACGCAATGTCCCCCCGGGCCACTCGCCCAGCAGCTGCCCGCGACTACGCGCGTCCCAGCCTGCCGAGCGCCAATCCCAGGACTGTACCGTCCGCGCCACGCGCCACACGGCGACAGGACGCCGCCCCCGCACGACACCTGCGGGGCGCAACTCCCCCCCCCTCCCGCTTCCCCTTTTGATCGCCAACTGAGACGAAGACGCAACATACACCCGGGCGTGGCCTCGGCGTCCCGACGACGCATACCACGTCAGCGGTCCACCAACCGCCCGGCAACACCCCCCCCCCCCTGGTTCGCTGACCCACCGACAACCCACCTACCCCTTCCCTCCCGAGATCCTTTCTTGCCCAGTTCTTTGACAACTCAGCGCAACCCCCCCCTTGTCCCCTCCCTCCTCTTGACGCTGGCGACGCTCTTGGCCGCCCCTCGGGGCCCAGCAGCCCCCGGCCGGCCTGGAGACGGCCCGCACGACCCAGCCGGCCCGGGCTGCCGCGGCGGAAAGTTCCCGCGGCGGTCCGGGTCGGTGGAGTGCGCGGTCCCGTTCGTCCACCCATGTCCCATGGTCCTGGTCGCGCAGACGTGCTTGCGTACCCTCCGCGTCGCCGGCCCACCCTGCGTGGGTCCGGGCGCGCACCCTAGCGACGACGCCTCGAAATCGCAGTGTTCTGCCCGGGGCCCTCGCTGTCGTGCTTCTGGTGCTCCAGGACCCAAACCCACCTGATGTAGAAAGTTTGAATGTCAACGAAGAACGACGACAAAGCGCTCTCCCACCGCTGCCCCCGAAGCAGCGCGCGGACGACGGAGCCTCCCGAGCGGGATCCGCCGGCCCCGTCTCCGCGTTGCAGGGGCGCGAAGAGCCCACCCGCCGATCCCGCGCGATCGGCGCGGGCACAGTCGTGTAACATCGCAGTTCCCTTCCCCGTCTCAACCGCCGTCGTCCGCCGTACCATTTCGGTCGCTCAGGCATCCTCGCGGCGAGGGTGCTTGTAGGTCAGCGAAGTACTATCCTCGCGGCGAGGGTGCTCGTACGTCAGCGAAGTACTAGCGAAGTAAAAAGTATGAATCATAGCAGTGTAGAGATGTTGGAGGGGGGAGTTGCATCTGCGCGGGGGCGCAGCTCGTGCAAGCGCGGCCGAGTCAGGGTCCTGCTCTTTTTGTCTGAGGGCAAGGCGACTGCGACGAGCGAGAGCGGGGGGGGGCTTCGCCCTATCCCGCGGTTATCTTCACAAGCACGTCACATCCGAAACTCGGGTCCTGGCGCGCGCGGACCGCACGCCTCCGTGTGCGGTCCTTCCTGCGCACAACGCAGCGCCCACACGCCAAGCTGCGCGCCCGGCCAAGCTGCCCCCTCAGACACACCACAGCACAGCAGCGGGCGCGCTCGCACGCCGCCGCGTCGCTCGGACGCGACGTCACGCGCCCTCAACCCCGACGACCTGCACGCCCACCGTCCTCGTGCGCGGCCCGTCCAGCTCCACGAGAATCACGCTCTGCCACGTGCCGATCACGAGGTCGCCGCCCACGACCGGGATGCTCGCGGTGTTGCCCAGCATCATGCTCAGCAGGTGCGAGTGCGCGTTGATCGGCTCCTGCGCACGCCACGCCTCGTTGCCGCCCGGCCAGTCCGGGGGGCCGTCCCGCAGGTGGATGTCGTTGTGCAGGTACGGGTGCGTCGGGGGCGCCATTCTGCGTGCAGGTGTGACAGGGCGCGCTCTAGAGCCTCGACGGGGCGCGCGTTTGATGGCACGATGCGTTCGCTCGTCGTTGCAGCGCGTTCGGTAGAGGAGGCTCCGCGGATGGTGTGGTGTATGCGGGTTGGTGGGGGGGGGTGAGGGGTTGAGCGCACTTGAGGCACCACTGGCGCACGTCGTCGATGAGCCGGTCCTCCATCTCGTTGATCGTCACGGCCGTCGTGGTGTGCCGCGACACGACGTGCACCGTGCCATGCGCAACCGCCGCCTCCTTCACCGCCTCGCGAATCTGCGGGGCGGACCTCGCGCGGAGCAAGGTCACGGGCTGGTGGCGCGAAGAGTGAGCAGCCGCCGCCGCCGCTGGGCGCTGTTGGAGTCATTGTGCGGCGATACCTGCCGGCAGAGCACTGCACGGTCGCGAAGCTCCGCGAGAGGCCCGCGCGGTACGCGGGCGGCGGGTGTGCTTGCCTGGGGCGTGATGTCGAAGAGCGCGATGCCGAACTTGGTCTCCAGCTCGACCTGCTTGTACAGGAACGTGGTCGGGCCAGAAGCAACCACGCTTTCGGACGATGCCCTCACGTCCGACATTCGATGCCGGCTTGACGCACGGCGCGTGGTCGGAGAGTGAGCGAAGCGTCCGTTGCGGGGGCCCGCAGGCCGAGAGGCCGCGCAGGTAGCACGCCGCGGGGCCCTGAGCTCGCTGCACGCGGCGCTGGGCGCCGCCATGGCGCACGTCGCGCTCATGACGGGACGTCGAGCGCGCAGGCTCACGGACAACGGCGTAATTCCCGCTTGCGTGCGAGAGACGGCGCAATGTGGCCGGGTCGCGGTAGAACAGCGCCGGGGTCATCCGCGGGGGCCAGTTGCAGCGTGTCAGACGGCGCGACGCCCCGGCGGACGACCGCGGCGCACGCCCGCGCACGCGTCCGCCAGGACTCCGGGCCAGGCTGGTCGGCCGACAGCACCTGCCGGAACGGCACGTACACTGCATCGTGTGTCTTGCACTGCATCTCGCACGGCGACGCAGGGCGTCGTGCGCGCAGCGTTTGCGCCGCCCGCCGGGAGCGGCGCGGGGCTGCGTTCCGCGGGGCGAGCTGCGGCCGCGGGACGTCGCGTGGCATTGCGCGGGGGCGTTGCACGTCGCGTGACGCGCGGGGTCGCGCGGTGCCCCGCACGGCGCGTGTGCGTGCTGTGCACCACTCCGGGGCGCGGCCGGGGGTCGCTCGGGGTCGCAGGCGGTCCGCTGCGCGGCGCAGGGTGCGGGCACCAGTGATGTCTGAGGGCGAGGGGAGTGACACATGGTTGTGTGGGGCGCTGTTGTGGGCAGTCCCGCGCTCTTGGGCCAGCCCTCGCGCGCAGGACGCTGCGTACACGGTAGTAGCTCGTGGTCGTGCCAGATTGTTCGTTGACGGTGTTTGAGGGGGGTATTCCGGAGAGAGACGGTCGTGAAGGCTCGATTGCCGCTTCGCCGGCGCCTGGGAGTCGTGCGAGGACGTGCTCTGCGGAGGAATTCGCCCGACTTCATTCTCTCTCGAGCGCGCGAGAGGTTGGCCGGCACGGGGCAGCGGTGGCGGACGGGCCGGCCCAGTGGATGTCGGCTCGAGCCATCCATCTCTAGTGGACGAGGCACGGAGAGTTAGGAAGGAAACCGGTCAGCGCGCACGGGTCCTCGTCCGAAATGATGCCAGCCGACCCCGCCGCGCGGCCCTGCGCGTGCACGGCTCGCGTCGGGCGACCACGGCTGAACCCCACCACCGCGACGCCGCAGCGCGCCCAGCCTGCTGCGACGTGCCGCCCTGGCCGGCCCGCTCGCCACTGCCAGACTAGCACGACCACATGCGCCCTCAGGGTACGTCTCAGCCCACACCCCCACGCCCCCACCCGCACCTCGTGCTGCCAGAGCTGCCTCCTCGCCGCCCCCGCCCCCCCCGGACCCCCCAGCGCCGTCCCAGCGCGCTCTCCCGCCCAAACCAGTCCCCAACATCCCGCCGCGATCACCCACGCCCCCGCAGGGCGCGCCGGGCGACGGCGCGAGCCACGCGCAGTCCCTGCACGCGTCCGACGCCCTCTTGCGCGCCGAGGCCGCGCTCCGCCGCGCGCCCCTGGCCGCGATCTCCATCGAGGACCTCAAGCGCGGCATCGACCCCTCGGCGATCGAGAAGGAGGGCTTCGCGGGCGTCAGGGACCGCGTCAAACGCTTCGTCGACTCCATGTACTACGGAGACGTCTTTCCCCCGGTGGGCTCGCTGCGGATCTCGTACGCGCGGCTCCTGGAGCTGATGCACCAGCGCGTGGTCAAGCGCATCTACCTCTTCGCGGACGGCAAGTACGCGATGGTCGAGGTGCCGGTGCCGGGGTGGGCGTCGAGCTACGACGCTGGGCAACTCTTCGAGCGCGGCAACCCCGACGTGATGTACGTGCCGGAGCAGGAGGAGTGGGCGATGGAGAAGTGGCGGTACTACTGCGAGCTCCCGGGCGACGTGTGGGAGTCGGGGGAGCTCATGAGGTGTGCCCGCGCTCGCCGGCCGTTGCGTGTGTGCCCGCGCTGCCTCGCGTTGCTCTGCGCCGACGCCCGGCGCGCCGCCCGCTCCGTGCCCGCAGCCTCGTGAAGCGCGAGATGATGGTCCACCGCGACGCCCGCGGCCGCGTCCCGTACGAGAACCTGCGCCGGCAGGGCGAGGTGACAACGGAGCTGTGCGTGGTGGACCCGTCCGCGAACTCGGTCTTCCTCTCGAACTTCTCCGGCCAGCTCGTCCCTATCTTCGGCATCGTCGCGCTCCGCGGCCTGGTCGCGGTCGGCGACGGCGTGCTGCGCGCGCTGGGCATTGAGGGGAAGAAGGACCGGCAGACGGAGCAGGCGGAGATGATGACCAAGTCGCGGGCCAAGTCGTTCAATGTGGACGAGGAGGAGGCGGGCAAGAAGGGCAAGGAGGGCCTCCGCGGGACGCTCGAGAGCATGGCGGGGAAGAAGAAGGCGCGCCGCACCACGGGCGTGACCTTCGCGGACGTGGCGGGCGTCGACCACGTCATGGGCGACGTCGAGGAGGTCCTGCGGATGATCATGCGCACCGACGAGTCCTACGAGAAGGCCGGCGCCAAGCCGTTCAAGGGCATCCTTCTCCAGGTGCGGACACCCCCCCGGGGGGTGTCGCCGCCGGGCGCCCACGCACGCGGGGCGCCGCGGGCTCGCTCGGGGCGGCGCGGCGCGCGACGCGTGTTTGTGTGCGGTGCCCGAGGATTAGTGCCTTTTTTCGCAACTTGTGTTTTGACTGAGGTCTGCCGGGGCCGCCTGGCAGTCGCTGCAGAACCATCTTGGCTGTGGTTATGAGGGCCGCGCACGCGCACACACGCGCACGCACACACACGCACCAGCTCGAGCACACAAGCCCTTCGGACGTGCCCCACGATCGCCTCCCACCCCGCACGCCCCCGTCCGCAGGGCCCGCCCGGCACGGGCAAGACGCTCCTCGCCAAGGCCATGGCGGGGGAGTCCGGCGTGCCGTTCTACAGCGCGAACGGCGCGGAGTTCGTGGAGATGTTCCAGGGTGTGGCGGCGGCGCGCATCCGCAACCTGTTCAAGCAGGCCCGGAAGCACCGCGACCGCGGCGCCATCGTCTTCATCGACGAGATCGACGCCATCGGTGCGACCCCGCACGCACACGCACGCAGCGGCGCGCGCCCGGCGTGTCGCGAGCCACCGCACGCGCCGCGTGCATCGATCGATGCGGGCCGTTTCGGCGCGACACGAGGTCCGGCGTCCCCGTCCTCGCGCGCGCGCAGGCAAGGCGCGCGGGTCCGGGATCCAGGGCGACGCGGGGACGCAGGAGCGGGAGCAGGGTCTGATGCAGCTGCTGGTCGAAATGGACGGGTTCCGCGCGAACGACCGCGTGCTGGTGATCGCGGCGACGAACCGCGTGGACGTCCTCGACGACGCGCTCCTGCGCCCCGGCCGCTTCGACCGCGTGATATACATGGGCAACCCGCGCGCGGCGGACCGCGAGCAGATCCTGCGCGTGCACACGCGCGAGTCGAAGCGCGAGAACCGCCGCGCGAAGCGGTTCGGCGACGGCAGCGACGCCGCGATGGACGAGATGCTGCGCCGGACCGCGCAGCTCACCGCGGGCTTCTCGGGCGCGCAGCTGGCCAACCTGCTGAACGAGGCCGCGATCTGCTCGGTGCGGCGGGCCGCGCGGGAGAAGCGCGCGGCGGCCGCGAGCGGCAACGGCGCGGGCGCGGCGGGGTCGGACGACGCGCACACAATCCAGATGGAGGACATCTTGGAGGCGCTGGACAAGATCAGGCTGGGACTCCCCCAGAGCCCTATTGCGGACTCCCCCGCGAAGGCGCGGCTGGCGCGCGTGCAGGCGGCGCGCGCGGTCGGGTTCGCGCTGTGCCCGGGGTTCCCGGAGCCGCAGAACGTGTCGATCAGGCCCCGGGGGGGGTCCGTGGGGCGTATTCTCTTCTCGCCCGCGACCTCGATGGGATCCGAGCCGACGGGGATCCCGAAGCTCGACAGCCTGCGCGAGACGCGCCTCATGGTGCGTCACCGCGCCCCCCCGTGGTGCAACACCACTCCCGGCACCCACCACTCACACGCCCCCCCTCCGCTTCCCTCGCGCGCAGGGCGACTTCGAGTACCTCGCGAGGCTCCTCGTCCCCCTGTACGCCGGCCGCGCCGCCGAGGAGGTCCTGTACGGCCCGGACTTCTCCTCGATGGCCACGGCGCAGGAGGTGTCGGTGGCCAGCGACATCGCGGACTACCTGGCCGCGTCCTCGACGCTCCACCCGGACTTCAAGGACAGCCCCGTGCGCGCCGGCATGCTCCTCGGCGGCGAGGCGGACCCCGCCACGCGCGGCCTCGCCACCGTGTTCGAACGGCGCGCCGTGGCGCTGCAGACCGAGGCGTTCGCGGCGGCGCGCAAGATGATCTTCGAGCGCCGCGCCGCGATCGAGAAGATCGCGGCCGAGCTGCTCTCGAGCCGCAACGAGGCGATCGACGGCGCCGCGCTCGTCGACGTCCTGACAGACACCCCCCTCGACGCGGTGCCGCTCGACGAGGCGAAGCGCACCGAGGCGGCCGTCGCGGCCGCGCGCCGGGCGGCGGGGGCGATCTCTGTGCCCGACGACGTCGCGGAGGCCGTCACGGGCGTCGTTGCGGCCGCGGGCGAGGAGCGGGCGGCGGCGCGCAAGGCGGCCACGGACCGGCTGCTGCCGGAGCTGTGGCAGCCGATTGCGACGCGGTCGGGGCGCGGGCTGATGGAGCACATGGGGCTGCGGGACGAGGCGAAGCGCGCGGAGGCGACGGCGGCGTTCGCGACGCAAGAGGGCGCGCAGTTCCCTCCGCCGCCCGGGGGAGTGGACGAGCTGAGGTGGCAGGGGTCGGACTACGCGGACTGGGTCGGGCCGCTGCCGGAGGAGATCGAGGCAGGGGGTGTGTGAGCGCTGCGCACGCCCGCGTCGTGCACGCTTGAACCGGCCGCGCATCGCGCTTGCGAGCTGCGCCTGTATCTGTCGCTGCGTGGGCCGGGTCGAGGGGAGGGAACCGCCGGGGCGTGTTCGTGTTGGTGCGGCGGCGGCGGAGGCAGCGGGCAGCTTGCGTCGTCGGACGCTGGGCTGTTGACCGTCGTGGTTGAGCACCAGGCGGGGGAGCGGAACGTCGCGAAACTGCGCACCCGGCGACGCGGCCGGCACCGCCTCGTGTCGAGAGCTTTAAATTGGTGGCTGTCTCTCGGCTGGAGGCATCGCGCGAGGGCGGGGGCTCTCCTCGGGCGCGAGGCCCCTGTCGCACGTGGCGCGCGGCCCCCGCATTCCGCGCCGTGAGGGTCGACGAGGCAGCTGATGGTTTTCGCGCGCGCTTTATCGTTCACGCGATCTCCCGGGCGCGTCGTCCCGCCAGCGCGCTGGCCGTGCGCCGCGTTCCGGTCCAAGATGCGACCTGCAGTAAGGCGTCGGGGTGTGAAGGAGGCCCGGCGCGCGCTTCGTAGGCCCCGCGCGGCCGCGCGCGTCGATACAATCGACTGCGGGAAAGACAACCTCGTCAACCATCACCAGCAGTCTCATTCTTCGGCGCCCACGACCTCGCCCTCCCGCCTAGTGGCTCAACTGCTCGCAGCAAGGCGCCCCGCGGCCCCACCGTTCGTCCCGGCCGCACCGCGCCCCGCCCGCCGCCCCAGCGCACAGCCCAGCTCCCGAACTCCACAGCGAGCGCGCCCGGCGGGCTCTCGACGGCCCTCTACGCGGCAGCCGCCGCAAAGCAGGCACCCTTGAGCAGCCACAGCAGACCTCCAACCGCAGGCGACATGACGGCTCTCTGCGGCACGGCGCCGGCCGCCCGCCATGCTCACATGTCGGGCTGCGCAGCGGGGCTGCGGCGCTCGCAGCTCGGCGCCGGCGCAGGCCACGCGGCGGGGTCGCTACCCCTGCGGCGGGTACCCCGGCCCGCGCGGCCGGCGTGGCGCGCCAAGCCCGTCCAGGCCGTCGCGGTGCCGCTCGGCGGCGGGCTCACGGGCAACGGCGACCGCTACTACCGGGGCAAGCAGGCCGCGAAGCGGAATTTCGCCGCCAAGGTCGCCTCTCTCTTGACAGGACTAGCAAAGGCGGCGCTCGCAGCCGGCGCAGTGGCCGCCGCGGCCTGGACGTGCTCGACGTACCCCGCGGTGTCCGCGCTGGTGGCGTTCCAGCTCTTCTCGGCCGTCGGGACCGCCGCGGCGCTCGTCGCGAAGCTCGTCCTCTCCGTCGTGGGCCTCATGTACGCGGGCGTCATCACGTTCGGCGTGGCGAACCGGCTCCCGCTCCCGTGGTTCGTGCTCTTCTCGCCGCCCTCGATGCTCGTCCTCGCCTACCTCACCGTGAAGGAGACGTGGAGAGGTGCGCCGCGCACCAAGCTCTCGCTATCTTGCGTCGCACGCTGTCCCCGCGCGCTGCGCCGGCGCCCGCGCGCCGCGGCCGCGCGCGGCGCCCGATCGGGCCGCGGAAACCGCGCGCGCGCGGCGCCGGCGCCCCGAAGGCGCGGTGCGTCTGCGCGGACCAGATCTTGCTGGCGGGCGAGCCCGGGGCGCCGGCGGTTGGTCGAGCGCGGCGCGTGCGGCGCCGCGGCGCCGCGACGGCCCGGTTCAGGACTCGAGGCGCCCGAGTGGGCGCCGGGCGCCGCGTTGCGGGGCGCGCGGGGCGCTGCGGAGGCGATAGCCGTCCCGCGGGGATGGACCGGGGCCTCCCGGCGCGCCCCGGGCGCGACGAGGCGGCTTTCGCGCGCGGTTGCGCCCTTCGTGCCCGGAATCGATCCCGCGGGCGCGGCGCGCCCCGTTTCGGCGCGGCCGCACGACGCGGGACGCAGGTGCTGTGCTCTCCGCCTGTAGCGGTCGCCGACGCGTGCCGCTCCCGCGCCGACGCGCCGCAGGTCTCAGGCAGGACATCATCGCGGACGTCAAGCAGGCCATGGAGGAGGCGGACGAGTGACGGACGCCGCAGCTCCCACCACTGGCAGTTAGTCGCCGTCGTTGGAACCTAGAGCCGCCCCGCACGCCTGCGTGCCCTGCCAGGACCTCAACAGAGAGCCCTCTCGCGCGACGCGTTGCCCTCGTCGCGCGCAAATTGCACCCATCAGTGAAGACCCCAGCAAAGCGCTCGACACACAGCACCCAACCAACCCCCTATGTGACGCGCACCACGCCGACGCACATCAGCGGGCACGGGCGCCGCTGTCTCCTGCTTACACGCGCGGCCGCGTCCGTCGTCTCACTCCGCGCCGCCCCCGGTGGTCCTGGCCCGCTTGCGCGCCCCCGCCGCCTCCCGCGCCTCGCGCTTCGTCCCCTTCGTCTTCTTCATCGCTATCTCCCCCACGTCCTGCTGCGGCATGTACACCTTGCCCACCTGCGCGCAGCCCACGCACCGCCCTCGTCAACCACCACACACACACAACTCGCACAGCCGAACAAGGCGCCGCGCAACGCAGACCGCGGGCCGCGCGCGCCCGTCCCCGCACGCACCTTCCCGAGCATGCTGTCGAACCCGGCGTTCTTGATCTTGCTGCGGCCCTTTTCCTTGTGGCGCTTGGACGCCTCCTTCATGCGCTCCGGGTCCGCCACGCGCACGCGCCGCACGACCAGATCGACCGACGGCCCGGCCTCGGTCAGCGCGACGCGCGGCACGCGCGTCCCGGACTTCTTCAGAGCGATGGCGTACTGCCGGAGCATGATCCTGCCGTCGGCGGCGCAGCAGCAGATGACGTGGTCGAGGCCCTTGAGGTTGACCGAGGGGACCTCGGGGCCGCGGAGGAGGTCGCAGAGGAGCGACTTGGCGGTCGCGAGCGCCGAGTCAGACTCGAACTCCGAGCCCAGGAAGCACATACACGCCTTGTTGCCAGACTGCGGTCAGGGGGGGGTGTTTTGTTTTTTTTCGCGTCAAGGTGGTGGGGAGGGGGGTGATGCAGAGCTGTCCAGCCGGACGAGCGCGCGCGCGCCAGATGGACAGATGCGACGGTGCCGCGCGGCGTCGCGCGCGTGCGCAGGGCACGGGTTGGCGGTGGCGTTGCGCACCTGCAGGGCGGCGGCGGCGCCGCGGAACGAGTCCATGGAGCGGTACCCGGTCACTCCGAGTTCGATCATGTCGAGCAGGCGGTAATCGAACATGCGCCCGAGCGTGATGTTGTGGGGCCGCTTCTTGGAGTGGCTCCCGAGGAGGAACAGGGAGCAGTCGTTGCGGTCGCTGAGGTGCTCGAGCGGCTCCTCGCCGCCGGGCTCGAACGGCGAGATCTCGTTGTTGCGCTGCATGACGCGTTTGTCGAGGCCTTTCAGGCGCCCGAAGTCGCGCATGAGGTCCTTGACGACCTGCGAGGTCTTGCGGCCCTTGACGAGGAGGAGCTTCTTGGTGTTCTCGTCGATCTGCGGCGGCGGACGGCGCGGGGCGGGCGCGTGGGGGCGCGGCGGACGACGCGTGCGGGGGGGGCGGGCGCTGCGACGGCGGGCGGGCCGCGTGTGACGCGTCCGGCCGCCGTGTGCGTCGCGAGGTGGGTGAGGAGCGGGGCACGACGGCGGTTCGGATCCCCGGGGCGCAAGAGACGGAGCGGCGCCCGCCAGAGGGCCGGCGACGACACACACAGGCACTGCACACCTTCGGAGCGCGACTCTCAAGGTACCGCTTTCCCTTCTTGGTCTTCGCGACGCGCATGGTCGACTTGCTGGACGCCACCATCGCGGCCGCGCCACGGCCGCGCGACGGCGAGGACCGTGCTGCTGGCGCCACCTGGGCGGCTGGCCCCTGGCGCGCGCGTCGAGCGGCTGGCCCTCTAGACCACGGCGGAACAGGGCCGGGGGGTCGCAAGAGGTCGGGCGTGGGCCTTGACGGGGGGTGTTTTGCGCCGCTGACGGGCCCCGGAGCGGAGGGGAACAGCGGGGAGTAAGCGGTCCGGCGGTCGCGTGCAGCGGTGAGTTTCTCTGTTTCCGCGGCCCCGCTCGTTCGCAGTTGGACGCGCGAGCGTTCGGGTCGCGCGAAGAGCCAGCGGGAGCGCCCGGCGGCGCGGCGGGGGCCTTGACGTGGGTGAGAGGGGTGCTCGTGGACGCCCGCAGCGGGTCGTCATTGCGGGTTCGCGGTCGCGTGCGCGCGCAGCGCATTGAGAGCATTGTTGTGCCGCGTGGCACACATCGTCTGCGGCACCAGCGTCCCACAGACTCGACGTCATAGCTGGTGAGCGCCCTCTCCGCAAATGCAGCGCCCCGGCATTGCCTCGCGCGCGTTTCGCCGGCCCGCCCCACCCTTGGCGACCGCGAGCTTGCACCGCCGCGGCGGTGCGCGGCCTGAGCGCGGGCGGGCGGCGGGCCAAACATGGGCATGCCTTGCCTGGGAGCGACTGCCCCCCTGCGACCGAACGGAAGCGCGAGAATGGCATTGTTGCCGGAGCGTTCGATATCGCGGCATTCACTGGGCCCGCTCCGCTCCTCTCGCGCTCCGCTGCGACCCCGGGCGAGCCGTCTTCGCACTCGGCCCTGCAGCAGCTCGCCTCGCGCTCCCCGCGGCAGCGCGCGGGGCCCTCCGCGACGCGGGCGGCACGATTTACACGCGCAACGCTACATTCGCCCGCGACGCCCCCCCGGGCGCACGGCGCAGCGGGCTACGCCCCCCTCACGCTCGTCTTCCAGCTGCAGGCCCCGCCGTGCGCCACCCGGCCTCACCGCGCCGCCCTCTTTCCCCCGCGCACGCCTCCCCCGGAACTCACCCGTCACCCTCGCGCGCGTCTCCGCAGGTTCACTCGACCGCACGGCACGCGGGCGCCTCCCCCATTGATAGCGGCACACCTGCAGCCCACTCTCGGCCCCCGGCCACCCAGCCTCGGCGAAACCAGGGCACGATGGCGGCGGCGTACACCGAGCAGATGTACACCCACGCCTCGGAGCCCCGCGCCGTGCAGCAGCGCGCGCCCCAGGCCCGGTTCCGCGAGCCCCAGGACAACCCGGCCAACGCGGGCGTCAACATCATGTTCGACCGCCGCGTGGTCCGCGGGAACACCTACGCCGCGCAGATCGTCCCCGCGGACGTCGGGAGCACGATGCAGAAGACGGGCGGCTCCAAGGCCGGCGGCACGAAGCGACGCACCGTGCAGCCGCGCATGCCTGGCACGCCCGATCCCGTCGAGGGCCGGCGGCACATGGACATCCAGACCGACGCGTACCTCGAAGAGCTGACGGATATCGTCCCCGAGGAGGACGTGAGCACGCAGACGGAGGCGTTTATCGACCGGTGCGGCCCCCACACATGCCTAGCGCTGCCTCGCGCCCGCCCCCGCCGCCCGCGCGCCCCGAACCGCCCCGCGCGCTCCCCGCCCGCTCCGCTCCCCTCCCACCCGCCTCCCCGGCCGCCCCGCGGGCCTGCCCCGCCGCCCCTGCCCCACGCCCGCCTCACCCATCGCGAGCCCCCGTGGCGCGCCCCGCAGGCCCCCGACGCCGCTGTTCATGCCGGAGAAGTCGGGGATCGACGTGGACACGCAGATAGAGCCCGGCGACCTGTTCGACTTCGACTTCGAGGTGGAGCCCGTGCTGGAGGTGGTGGTGGGCAAGGTGCTGGAGCAGAGCCTTCTGGAGGTGCAGGAGGAGGAGGAGCTCGCGGCGATGCGCGCGCACCAGGAGCACTTCGAGCAAGTGCGCAACGCGGAGCTCATCGCGACGCAGCGGATGGAGGAGGCGGAGAAGCGGAAGCTGGCGGAGAAGGAGCGGCGGCTGGCGCAGGAGCGCGAGCGCGTGGCGCGCGAGAAGGCCGTGCGCGAGAAGGTCGCGGCGTGCGCGTTCGCGCGCGGGTACCTGCGCGGGATGGTGAATTCGGCGTTCAGCAAGCTGAAGGAGGACGGCGTGTTCTACGACCCGGTCGAGCGCGAGGTGCAGAGCGCGTTCCTGCCCTGGCTCATGGAGCGCACCGCGCAGCAGGTGGGCCTGCAGCAGGCGGCGTCGCTGGCCACGCAGCGCATCGTGGCCAACGCGCTGGCGGGGCTGTTCCGCGACCGCATCAACGCGGACAACGACATCATCCTCGAGCAGCGCCGCCGCGAGGAGGAGGAGCGCCGCCTCGCCGCGGAGGCCCTCGAGCGCGACCGCCGGCAGCGCGAGCTGCTCAAGCAGTTTGGCGAGTACATTCTGCACGAGATGGACGACAAGCCGATCCCGGACGCGATCGCCGCGGAGCAGCGCGAGAAGCTCGAGGCCGCGGAGGCCGCGGACGAGGAGAAGCGGTGGGAGCGGCAGAAGCAGCAGACGGCGCGCTCGGTGCGCCAGAACGTGCTGGTCGAGCTGGAGCTGGACGGGCTCGCGGAGGACGACCCGGCGGTGGAGGAGCAGATGGACCTCATCGAGGGGCGCGTGCAGGCGGCGGTGGACGCGCTGGAGCGCGCGGGGCCGCGCGAGGTGGAGAACGGCGACGTGGTGCTGGCGGTGCTGACGCGCGTCGAGGCGCTGGAGGAGGCGGCGGCGAAGGCGGCGGACGAGGCCGAGGCGGGCAAGGGCGCGGACGGCGAGGCCGGGGAGGCCGCGGCGGTGCCGGAGGAGGACCAGCCGTACGTGGCGCTGGCGGGGCTGCGCGCGCGGCTCCTCGAGCACCTGACGGAGTTCTACCCGGAGGACGCCGCGCGGTGCCTGGACCCGAACTACGTGGAGCCGGAGGAGGAAGGGGAGGGCGGGGAGGGCGAGGGACAGGACTAGTGGCGGGGGCCGTGCCCGTCGTAGCTGAGTCAAGACGTGACCGTTGTGTGAAGGATACTGCGACGCGCGAGGGACCAGCGGTGGCCTGCGGAGCCATGCGCCGCGATCGTGCCGTCTCTGTGCGAGTCCGAGTGTCGTTGATGTCGCTGTTGCAGGTGTTGGAATGCGCAGAAGGGACAATCATTATTATAACACGCCGAGGGACTGCTGCAGCGCGGCGAGCTCCTCCGACCCGGCCGCGAGCCCGAGGAAGCCCAGCGGCACCGCCTGCGCCGCCCCGCTCTCACCGCCCTCCGCCTCCACCGCCCTATCTCCGCCGTCACCTCCACAATCATGATTTCCATATCTCCCGTGCTCCGCAACCCGCCCGACTGCCGCGACGTCCGCGAACGCCGCCTCCGCCGCTCCGCCGCCCGTCCGGCCCGCCACCGCGCTCCCCCCGCCCAGCAGTCGCACCTTCAATCGCGCGGCAGCAGCATCGATCAGTTGATCGCTCGCGGGCGCACCCGCGGCCCCGCGCCCTCGCGCCCACGGCACCTCGCCGACGTGGCACGGGCGCCAGCCGTCCACGGCCTCCCACGCGCCGCCTGTATCCGGACACCCCCCCAGGGGGGTCTCCCTGACTCCGCCCAACAGCTCCCGCTGCGCTGCCGCCGCCGCGTCGTACGCCGACGCCAGCTCCGCGAGGCCCTCCTTCGCGCACCCAGTTGCTGCGGCCTCCGCGGGCGGCGGCGCGGCGAGCTCCACCAGCCTCGCTAGCACTCGCGCCCGCTGCGCGCCTGCTCCGCGCTTCGGCTTCGCCGCCTCGAGGTTCGCCACGCACGCGATCGCGTCGTCCAGGCACTGCACCCACGTCTCGTGCGCCGGCGACGCCGCGTCCGCGTCCGCGCGCGCCGCCGCGCACTGCGCGATGAGCCCGCTGACGTCGACAGCGGACGCGGCGGCGTGGCCCGTCCGTTGCGACACGGCCTCCGCGGCGATGCGGATCCACTCGACCGCGGCCTGCGCGTCCTCCTCGATCCCGCGCGGGTCCAGCGGCGCGCACCCGGCGTCGCACACACCCCCCCCTGACTCCCCGGCGGCTTCCGAGTCCCCCTCCCCGCCGCGGCCCGCCGCGGGCGCCCACGGGTGGACGTCCGCGAAGATCTGCGCGCCGTCCGCCGCGCCAGTCAGCGCCTCGACGCCCGCGGACAGCACCGTCGCGGCCAGGGCCTCCCACTGCCGCAGGAGCGCGCGCGCAGCCTCGCGCCACCCCTCGGCCTCGACGCACGACGCGCGGAACGTCGCGACCTCGGCGCTGTTGCGGCACGCGCTCTGCCCGCCGCGCGCGCACCGCAGCTCCGCCAGCGGGGGGCGCAGCCGCGGCGACAGCAGCACGACGCGCGCCAGGTCGCTGCCGACCCCGGCGCCGTGCGGGGGCACCGCGGCCTTGAGCGCCGCGTTGAGGCTCTGCTCGTGCTTCTGGCGCTCGCCGCGGGTGAGGTCCGACGCCCTCGCTCCCCCGGGGGACTGTTTCGCCTTCTTGGCGCTGGGGGGGGTCTCCTCGTCGTCGTCGGGCTGGCCGCGCAGGCGCAGGCGCGCGCGCTCGCGACGGAAGAGGAAGAGCTCGTCGACCGCGCTGGCCAGGCGGCAGTGCGACCGTGCTAAGTGCGCCTCCTGCGCGCCCCAGTAGTGCGTGGCCAGCCACGCCATCGAGTGCTGGGCGGCGAGGCGGAGGACGGGGAGGCCCGGGAGCTCGTTGTGCGTCGCCATGTGCCGCAGCTCGACCAGCACGCGCGGGAGACCTGCGGGGCCGGGCCACGCCGCACCGCGCGGTGTGTGTGTACAGCCGCGTGGCGGAGAGCGAGAGATGTGCGCAATGCATGTGATGGGTCGCATGTGTGGCGTTTGCGCTGCAGTGGCGGCGCGTGGGAGGCGAGGCACGCGCGCTGCGGCGGCCGCGGGCGTGCCTGCTGCTGCGGCCTGCCCCTCGACGGAGATTGCGACCTTCCCGCGCTGTTGCGAATCAGCGACGCCGTTGACGAGCCTCACGATCGTCATCGCGTACTCGAGGCGCAGGCTGTGCGCGTCGCGAGCCGCTCCCCCGCCTGCAGAGACGCGAAAACCTCGCCCGTTTCACCTCACGGGCGCGCGAACGCAGCACGAACGCCACAACCTCAACCCTCCGTCCGCGCTGCTCCATCCCAGCGGCGCGTGCGCGGCCGCTCTCGAAGCCGCGGCTGCGCGCTGGCGCGCCCTCGTTCACGTCGCTCACCGTGCGCTCCGTCGTCGCGCGCGCGGTCCCGAATGCCCAGCTCGACGAGCGCGGCGGTCGCGTCGATCGCCATCGCGAGCCTGCTCTTGAGCCGCCATGCCGCCACGAGCGCCAGGCCGCGCAGCCGGTCGTCGAGCGTCTCGGAGAAGAGCCAGCACCGGCACTGCACCCACTCGGCCCAGCCCGCCCACGGCACCGCCTTGCCAGACATCCTCCCCGCGGGGCGATCTGCCGCGTCGTCGGGGCCGCCGCGGGGCTTCTGGCGCCCTGACGCGTCCCTGCGCGTGTCGGACGGGCAGCCTGCAGTCAGCCGGGTAGGTACCAGGTGTGCGTGGCGGACGAGGCGCGCGCGGGGTGGTTGATGGGGGCGCGCGTCCCGCTGTGCGGGACACAGCGTCAGAGGTCCAGGAGAGGCTACGTGAGGGAGTATTCGCCCCGGTTCCGGCACGAGGAAGCAGGAGAGCTCCAGGCCACCGCACAACCACTTCCGGCGCGCAGAGGTCAGGTTTCGTCATGGGCAAGATCAAGAAGGTCACGCTGAAGTCCTCGGACAACCAGATGTACGAGACCTCGAAGGAGGTCGCGGAGAGGTGCGTGCAACGGATGTCCCGCCTGTTCGGTATCCCGCGCTCGTCGCGGACGCAGCCCAGCTCCTGGGCAGCCGGGCGGCCCAGGGTGATTGTTTGCGTTGCCGAGACCCATCGAAAATAGGCTTGCGTGCGCCGCTCTGGCCGGTTTCGACGGCACGCACACGGGTCATTTCAGCGACCCTCTAGGCGTCGTGCTGGGCGCGAGCTCGCGCTGCGACGCGCGCCATCCCCTACTATTGAGATGTCCTTCACGGTCCGCCCGGCAACAGGTCCGTGTGCGCGGTTGCGAGGTCGATCGTTGGGCTGGGGCTTGCAGACACTCAGCCAGCCCGGCCACCGCCCGGCCCTTTGGCGCCCGCGCCCCGCCCACGGCCCCTCCTTCTCACCGACGCGCCGCCCCGCGTCCGATACGCCGCGTTCGACGCGCGCCAGGCTGCCTAGCGGGCCCTGGAAGAGCAAGGGCCTGGCCTCCCCCCGCGGCAGCGCCCGGTTCCCGCGTCCTCCCGGCGCGCCCCCGGTGCCAGACGACCCCCCACATCGACCACGCCGCGCCAGCAACGCCTCGCGCCGTCCAGCCGCGTGGCTCGCGCCCGCGGAGGTCCCGAGGGCCACCAGGCAGCCCACCGCACGGTGCTCCCCGCACGGCGTGTCCGCGGCCCGGCCCCTCGAAGATCGAGCCGTTACGGCGTCCCCGCCGCTGGATCTTCCGGGGAAGCACGCTTTGGCGCGGTTTCGCACGCCAGAGCGGCCGCGCGCGGCCGCGCACGTCCCCTCGGCCTCGGAACGGTCGCGCGCGTCTCCCGCGCGCGCCCGGCGTTCCCGCCGCGTTTTCCCGCGCCCCTTCCGTTCCCCGCGACCCAGAGAGCCGTCCCGCGCAGCCGGACCGCCCGTCCCGCGGCCTCGCGCGCCGCACCGTTGCTGCCTCGTAGCCAGCACGCCCCACCGCCTCCACGCGACGCGCCGCGGTGCCCGCGCAGGTCGGCGATGGTCACGGCGGTCCTCGAGGAGGTCGACGACGCCGAGCCCGTGGTCCCCATCCAGAACGTCCGCGGCGACATCCTCTCGCGCGTCATCGAGTTTTGCAAGTACCACGTCGACGCCGAGGTGCGCACGCCCGCAGCCACGCGCCGCACGGCACGCCCACGCCCTGCCGCGGCCCCGTGCGCGCGGGCGCGCCGTTCGGGCGCCGTTCGGGCGCCGTCACACGGCGTTGTTTGGTTGGTAGCTGAGTCGCGGTGCCGCGGTTTCCGCAGGGTCCGGACGGGAAGAAGAAGTCCGAGGACGACGTGAAGCAGTGGGACCAGAACTTCATCAAGGTGGAGCAGTCGGTGCTGTTCGAGCTGATCCTGGCGGCCAACTACATGAACATCAAGGACCTGCTGGACCTGGGGTGCCAGACGGTGGCCGACATGATCAAGGGCAAGACGCCCGAGGAGATCCGGAAGACGTTCGGCATCAAGAACGACTTCACGCCGCAGGAGGAGGAGGAGGTCCGGCGAGAGAACCAGTGGTCGTTCGAGTGAGAACGGAATGGAACGGCACTCGGAGGGGGGCGCCGCGGGGGGCGAAAGCGGGATGGCGAGGGCGAGAACGGACTCCGAGCACGGAGCGGCCGCCTCGGGCGCGTCACACGGCGCGACACGCACGGCCGCTGCGTGTAACCTCTGCACGCACCACGCCACCGCGCGCGCCCGCACCCGGCCCGCCGACCCGCGAACCAGCATGCGTCTACGCGTGCCGCGTCACGTGCCATCGCGTGGTCCACCTCGCTCGCTGCGCGACGCCCGTCTGCCGCGGAACGTGAGCCCTGATCGCGAGCCCCCGAGCGCCCGCGCCGTGCGCGGTCGCGGCGGCCTCACCGGAACGCCGGCGGCCCGCTCGCGCGCGTCCGCACCGTGTGGCACGTCAGCGTCCCCGCCTGCACCACCGCCAGCCGCAGCACTCCCCCGGGGTGCCGCGCCTCGAGGTCCCGCACGCACCGCGCGTCCAGCACCGGCGCGCCCGCGTCCACCACGACCACGAACGACGCCGGCGGCGCCCCGCGCCCCGCGTCCTGCCGCTTCCGACTCACTTTCTCGCCCTGTTTCTGGTATAAATCAAAATGCACGCGCGGCCCGGGACGGAAGGCCCGCGGATCCGGCCCCGCGCCGCACCGGCACGCGGAGTCCTCGGCGGAGGCCGTGCGGGACGCGAACGGCCGCGGAAGCACCGCGTCGAGGTGGGCGACGGCGGGCGAGGGTGCAACGATGACGCCGGGGATGGCCCACGGCGCGTCGCCGCTGTGCACCGCCGCGGGCTCCGCCGGCCACCACTCCCGGCGCCCGTCGCTCGGCGCGCTGCGTCGCGCGGGCCGGTCCGGCGGCAACGGCGGCACCGGCCGGCCGTCGTGCGGCGGCCGCCCCGCCTGCGCGAGTGCGGCTTGCGCGTCGCGCGAACCGAGCCGCCGACGCTTCGCCGGAGGGCCCTCCGCGTCGGGCGCGGTATCAGCGCCCTGCGGCCGCGTCGCCGCGGCCGCGGCGCCGCGGTCGGCGTCGGTGCGCGCGCGTGGAGCAGCGACATGGAACATCGCGCCGTTGGGCTGCGCGGCGGGCATCGACCACCGCGAGCCGTGCCGCCGGACGAGCCAGCCTGCGCGCACCGTCGGGGCGTGCCGCGGTCCCGTCGTGCCGCGGTGCGTGCGCGCGCGCGCGACGAGAGTGGCGGCGACGTACCTGCGTTGGCGAGGCGCGCGTAGACGATGCGCACCGCCGCCGGGACGCCCGCGGCGTCGGCGAGGGCGTGGATGTCCTGGAGGGACATCAGGCGCAGCGTGAGGCCCTTCCCGGGCGTCTTCGAGGGCCGCAGCGCCAGCAAGACCAGGCCCCCTCTCTCCGCCAGGAACGCCGCCTCCTCCGGGAACAAGAACAGCTGAGAGCCCTGCGGTAGATCGTTCAGCGATACGGCATGGGAGCGCGGTCAGCGAACGACGCGTTCGCGTCTCTCAGGCGCGGCGGCAAGGCCGGGACTGGCGGCGGTGCCGCCAGCGAGGCTCGCCCGTCCGCGGCTAACTCCGGTGGCCGCCTGCGCCGCATTCGCACCTTCTGGACGCCGATCGTGTCGCGGAACGCCCCGCGCGCCAGCGCCACCTCGACCATCCCGAGTTCGTCGACCCAACGCCCGATCATGGCGTCGCTGGTAGAGCAGGCCGACCCCCACAGCGCCACCTCGCTCTCCAGGCGCCGGAGCGTCTCCTCCTTCTCGGCCGCGGCCGCGTCGGCTCCCGCCGGAGCGCGCGCGGCGTCGGGATCCATGGAACTCGCCGCAAGCTAGAGTGCCGCGACAGTGGGAGACTCTGAGCTGCGGCCGTGGCCGCGGAGCTGCGTTGGCGACCTCTCGCGCTTCACAGGGTCGCATGTACCGGCCGTAGCGCTGCCTGGACCTGAAATCCTCGAACGGCGCAGAAACGCCGGCTGTTCGGGCGCGTTTCAGGTTGGAGTCCGGCGACCCCTCCACCCCCCCCGGGACGTCTGTGGGCGCCGGGGGGCCCTTGTGTGCGGCGCGGCGCGCGCCCGGGGCAGTGAGAGCGACGGTTCTGGCCCGCACGCGTCGTACCGGACTCTCCCGCTCTGCTGACGCGCGTTTCAGGGATGGTGGTTGCTCAGGGCGCGGCTCGCGCGCCGGCGCCGTGCGCCGTCCGGGTGCCGCTCGGTTCCGGATGCATTGGCCGCTCGGCGCCGGGGCTCGCGCGGAGAGCGGCTCTGCGCCGCGCTCCGCGCCCCCCCGCGGCGGATCCGTCGGAGGGCGCGCCCGCAGGGGACGACAGGGTGGACGTGAACCGGCAGCTCACGGAGCACACGCGGGAGAACCTGCAGAAGATGGCGGACGACCTCGTGAGCGAGGCCCCGGCGTCGTTCAAGGTCGAGCGCATCCTGGACTGTCCAGACATCCGGTCAATGCTCGAGCCTCGGCCCTCGCCCTTCATGAAACACGACAACTACGGCTCCGGCTTCGTGCACGACAGCGACCTCGTCGCAATGCAGGTGCGCGAACCCCGCGATAGCCGCCGTACGCCCCGGAACCCCCACTTCCACATCCTGCCTGGCTCTTCCTCCGCCCCCACGCACCGCGCCCTCAGGCCACCACACGCTCCCCGCGCACGCGGGATGCCTTCCCCGCGGTCTAAACCCTGCGCGGGCCGCGTGGGTCCACGGAATGTCCCCGCACGCCGCGCGTGCGAGGCGCTGGTGCCCCACGGCAACCACCTCACGTCTTCTCCGGCCCCCGCTCACACACGGGCGCCCGCGCGGGGCCGCGCGCGCCTGCACGTTCGCGATCCGTTCCAAGCCCGCGCTCGCGCGGAAACCAGCCCACCTCTTTCTCGGACCCGCCCCTCCGGGCGTGTTGTCCCTTGCTGTGCGTTCCGACCGCGTCGCGCCCCGGCCCCGCACCCATTCCGCTCCCCGCCGCTCCCTGCCGCCCCGCAGGCGATCCGCCTGGGCTCCGGGAGCTCCACGCCCACGCGCGCGCGCCGCCCGCGCGGGCCCAACCCCAGCCCTGAGACGGACGACGACTCCGTGGGTCTCTGGGCGCGCCGCGCGGGGGCCCGCGAGACCATCTTCTGGGACCCGCCCAAGGTCAAGGCCGCGATCGTCACGTGCGGCGGCCTGTGCCCGGGCCTCAACGACGTCGTGTACGGCCTCGTCAACAAGCTCGAGTCCTACGGCGTGCCCAGCGAGAACATCCTCGGGATCCGATACGGGTGCGTGCGCGCGGGGACGCGCATGTGCATCGCCGTGTGCGTGCGTGTGCTTCGGGGGCTGAGACGCCGGAGGGGGGGGGGGTTGTTGAGGGGTCCTGGAGTGATGCGGGACGTTCGCCGGGCTCGCGTCGCCGCCCCCGGCCTTCCCAGGAGCCTGCCGACGGCTCCGCCGTGTTCAAGACGAAGAGCAGGCACTCGTCCTCGCGAGGCGCGCTGGACGAGCACCTGCTCTTCGTCGTTGCGCCGGTCAGAGCCGTCGACGGGCTTTGAGAAGGCGCGAGGGTTGCGAAAGGGGCCCGGGGGGGTGTGCGCGCCGGGGTTGAACCGTCGCGCTCGACCCGCCGTCCTCCGCCAGACTGACTTGTCCTCGTTGAGCTGGGAGTCTTTGTTTCTCGAGTGCCGGGTTGCAGGTTCTCTGGGTTCTACGACCAGAAGTTCAAGCCGATCCCGCTGTCGACGCGCATGCTGGACGGCATCCACCTGCAGGGCGGGACGATCCTCGGCACGAGCCGCGGGAAGGGCGACATGGCGGAGATCATCAAGCGCATCGACATGTGGGGCATCAACCAGCTGTACGTGGTGGGCGGCAACGGCGGGAACGCCGGCGCGCACGCCATCGACCAGGCGCTGCGCGAGAAGGACATCCCGTGCTGCGTCGTCGGCCTGCCCAAGTCGATCGACAACGACATCCTCCTCATCGACAAGTGAGACACCCAGAAAGCGTTGCGCCGGAACACCTGGTATCATATTTGTCGTTGCGCGCCGCGCAGCCGCCGTTCGCGCGCGTGCCAGGCGACGCGGCGGCCGCAGACGCCGCCCTCGTCTGACTCGACTGCACTGCGCGTACGCCGCGTGTCCGACACCCCCCCCCCCACACGTGGTTCGTTCTCCGCCCGCTGCGCAGGACGTTCGGGTTCGACACGGCGGTCGAGGAGGCGCAGCGGTCGCTCCTGGCCGCGAAGACCGAGGCCGTGAGCGCGTACCGCGGCCTGGGCCTAGTCAAGGTGATGGGCCGGCAGTCGGGCTTTGTGGCGATGCAGGCCTCCCTGGCGTCGGGCGTGGCGGACCTGTGCCTGATTCCGGAGGTGCCGTTCCGGCTGGACGGTCCGGGCGGCGTGATCGAGCACATTGAGCACGTGCTCAGCCAGAAGGGCCACTGCGTGGTGTGCGTGGCGGAGGGCGCGGGGCAGGAGGTGGTCCCGAGTACGCCGGGCAAGGACGAGCGGGACGCCTCGGGCAACATCAAGCTCAAGGACATCGGGAAGTTCCTCAAGAGCGAGTTCCGGAAGAAGATCAAGGACGTCGACATCAAGGTGACATGCCGCGCCATGTCACTCAGCGCAGCGCATCTTGGTTCGACGCCAAGCACCCCTCGCCGCGCGCCTGCTTTTGTTCGGCGGCGGGCACGCGCGCCCCGCTCCCTCATTCGCCAGCCCCGCCCGCTCCGTGCGCCGCGCACAAGACAATACCCCCCGCGTATACACCCCCCCCCTTGCAGTACATCGACCCGACGTACATGATCCGCGCGATCCCGACGAACTCGAACGACCGCATCTACTGCAAGATCCTGGCCCACAACGCCGTGCACGCGGCCATGGCGGGCTACACGGACGTGACCGTCGGCCTCATCAACACGCACTACGCGTTCATCAACATCCCCGCGCTGATCTCGAGCGCGCGCACCGTCGACCCGCGCGGGAAGATGTGGAACCGCCTGCGCCACTCCATCGGCCAGCCGAGCTTCACGTAGACCGCCGCGCGGCCTGGGACGGCACCCGATGGGTGCGGTGCTGTGGGAAGCTGTAAATCGCGCTCCAGGTGCTTGGGGCCGCGGTGGTGGCGCGCATGTGCTGCCCTGAGAGTCTCCCGGGATGGTGCTGCTCCGCGGAGGCTGGCTGGCCGCGCTGGCCGTGTCGCCCACAGGCCCTCCGCTGCATTTCGTATTGAACACTCAGTGTGTCACTCCCCGCCCGGCCCGTGACTCGCCATGCAGCACTGGCACGCACACGTCTGGTACTCTGCCAAGTCGCGACACGCGCGCGGCAGGCGCACATTCCCTCTTCGCACGCTGAAGCTTCACAGCATCGCGCCATGCGCGATCAAATGTGTCACGGCCTCTGCCACCCTTTGCTGTAGCCGCCCCCCGCCGCGTCCGCACACTCACGCAGGCGCCTCGCGAGCGCGTCGGACAGGAAGTAGGGGTCCGTGTGGCCCGTGCTGGCGTCCAGCATCACCTCCAACCCCCCAAAGTCACTCGATTGCGTCGTCGGCTTCCCCCGCGACACGATCCGCGCCCACACCGGCCTCCACAATGTCGGATCCGTGCTGAGCGGCGGCGGACGGGTGTCCAGCACGTTGGTGCGCTCCTTGGTTATTTCCAGGTTCAGGATGCCCATGTTCCATGTTTTGAGGCCGAGGTCGTCGATGAGGGTGCGCAGGGCGCTGTACAGGGCGAGCGTGAAGGCCGGGGAGCACAGGGACTCGCCGAGCACCACGACCTCCATGTCCTGCGCGTTCGCGAGCAAAGACGATCCATATAAAGAAAAAGGAAAAATTAAATATGGATTCTCGAGTCGTTGAGCACGACCTCGCCGGTGCGACCGCACAGCGTGCTACTCCCGCAGCGAACGCCTCTCGGCACGGCCAGCGCGCCATCGCGGCGAGCGTTCCCGTGACCGCTGCCGACCCCACCACTTTCACGCGTCACTGTGCCGCCGCAACGCACCTTGAGGGGACACATGCTCGGGTACACCCACGCCGCGTCCTCCCCGTCCGTCACCCCGTGCAGCAGCCCCGCGCCATCGTGCGCCCTCGCCTCGGCCTCCCACATGCCACGCCCTCCGTCGCGCATCCGCCTGTGGTACTCGCTCTCGCCCCGCCACGCCCGCACCTGCTCGGGCATGCCGTGCGGCGTGAGCATCGCCTGCAGGTGCGGGTGGTACTGCGACGCCCCCGCGCGCTGCAGGGAGTTCCAGATAAGCGCCCCGCACTCTGGCGCCTCTGGACGCGCCCCGTGCTCGTTCACGAACCACTCGCCCGCGGCGCGGATCATGCCGCGGAGCTGCGCCAGGTTCCAGTCGTACGGGTCGTGTGAGCGCAGAATTATAACTCCGTGACTTGAAGTGATCTTGAACAGGTTGGATGCTGTGAGCGCGTGCTCGTTCTCGACCCTGCCCCACGCGTCCGCGGCCGTGAAGCGCAGCGGGTCGCAGAAGTCGCAGCCCCTGCCGGCGGTCGGGTCCGCGGACGCCGCCTCGGACGCCGAGTCGAACGTTTGGGGCCGTGCGTTGCGACGCGGGTTCCAGAACACTTGGCGGTCCATGGAGCGGTGGCGCGCGACGAGCACGGGGTGCGCGTTCCGCCGCGGCACGCTGTACTTCTGCGAGAGCGGCTCCGGCACCTCGCACGACGCTTCGGACATGTATATGTCGAAGAGGTCACTGCGGGAAACAACAAGAAGAGAAACGAAGAGTCAGAGTGAATCAATGAATCAATAAGTGAAGAAGTACCAGACCACAACGGCGCTTGGCTCCGTCGCTGCAGCGCGAGTGCACGCGTGGTGTCGGCAGCGCCAGCTGGAGCCGGAGCGACCTGGTTTGCGAGGTGCGGGCAACGGCGGGGGGCGGGGACGTGCGCGGCGACGGAGGGGCTGTTGCGGCGGCGAGTGGGCCACGGTCGTCGGCGTCGTCGGCCAGGGCGCAGCGCGCGCTGGTGCAGCCACTCACTCTATGTGTTTCAGCCCAAGTTCTCTTTCCGGTGTCTTTGACTGATCACTGGATCGATATCTGGATCGATCGGGGTCCTTCAGGGCGTCGTGGAGCTCGCTGAGGGAGCTGAAAGGTGCCTCGTCGCGCGCCATCGCCTTCGGGTTCGCGTGCGCCACGCAACGTCGCGCCTTGCGCGCACCGCCAACGCCAGCCTCCCCCGCCGTGCCGTGCCGCGGCGCAAGGCGGGGAGTCCGGCACGCGCAAATCATGGACAAACACTCATAGAGTACGCGCCCCGCCTGCCAAGACGAGCCGTTCCGCGAGCAGCAAGAACTCGGCCGCGACAAATGCGCGCCGCTGGTTGATGGCGCGACGCGGCCGCCAGAGCGACGTGCGGATCGAACGGACACCGCCTGCGCGTTCACTGCGCTCAGCTGCGTCGCCCCTGCAGCAATGAGACCCCCGGGGAATCGCTGCGCGGCACCCCCCGCCTGAGCTCCTGGCGCGTCTCACTCCTACCCTCTGGAGGGTCCTGCGCCTCGATGGGGCGCTGCTGGCCGCGCGGGGCGCACTCGGCGGGCTGTGCAGCGATCGGATCTCTGAACCACGTGGTGTTCGTGCCGCGTCCTAGCGCGTGCTTTGCGGCGCGGCGAGTCGACTGTTGCGTCCCTGCTTGCGCGTCCGCGGTCGAGCTCGGCTGCTTCCGTCGATCCTTCGATACGGGCTCCGTCTCTGGGGCTCGACGCGCCGACAGGACTGTGTCTCGAAGGGCAGGAGGCGCGCTGCGTGCATCCCCGAGGCCCGGGCGCACAGAGGAGGTCCCTCTTGTTCGACGGCCTGAGTCGAGATGGACCGGTTGCAGATACAGCGGCTGCTCAACAACATGCCTGGAGGGGGGATGCCCTCGGGCGATAGCCAGCAGCTCGACACATCCGAGCAGATTTACATTTCAAGCCTGGCTCTCATCAAGATGCTCAAGCACGGCAGGTGCGGCCCGCGAGGCCTCCCAGCAGCGCACCCCGTCGCGCATCAGATCCTCCTGGTCGCCGTGCGCACCGGCACGGAAGCACGGGAGGTGCCAGCAGCGCGCGCGGGGGCCTCGTTGCTCCCATCGGCAGCCACTCGTGGCCTGTTCGCGCACGTCCGGCGCCCTCCACGCCACGCGAAGCGCTCCCTGTCGCCCTTACGCCGTCTCGAGCTCGTCCGCCCCACGCGAGGCCCCGGGCGCCCGCCGCCCCCGCCGTGCGCCCACGCTCTTGCTCCCTCGTGGCCGCAGGGCGGGCGTGCCGATGGAAGTGATGGGCCTGATGCTCGGGGAGTTCGTGGACGAGTACACGGTCAAGGTCGTCGACGTGTTCGCGATGCCCCAGAGCGGCACGGGCGTCTCCGTCGAGGCCGTCGACCCGGTCTTCCAGGCGAAAATGCTCGACATGCTCAAACAGACCGGCCGGCCCGAAATGGTGCGCACACCCGCCGCGAGAAGCGCCGTACGCCACGCCCGAGCGCGCCCCGCGCGGCGAGACGACGCGGCGCGCGCCCCCGGCCCCGCCGTGCTTGCAGGTGGTGGGGTGGTATCACTCGCACCCGGGCTTCGGGTGCTGGCTGTCGGGCGTGGACATCAACACGCAGCAGTCGTTCGAGCAGCTCACGGCGCGCGCGGTCGCGGTGGTCGTGGACCCGATCCAGTCGGTGAAGGGCAAGGTCGTCATCGACGCCTTCCGTCTCATCAACACGCAGGCGCTGATGCTGGGGCAGGAGCCGCGGCAGACGACGTCGAACGTGGGGCACCTGCACAAGCCGAGCATCCAGGCCCTCATCCACGGCCTCAACAGACACTACTACTCGATCACTATCAACTACCGCAAGGACGAGCTGGAGGAGAGAATGCTGCTCAACCTGCAGAAGAAGACCTGGGCGCAGGTGCGCGGGCGGATAGGGCGGGCTGGGAACGGCGCGTGCGGCGTGCGCGGCGTTGGTGTGTTGGGTGGGGGGGACTGAATGCGGAAAAAGAAGATTGTTGTTGTGTGTGGTTGTGGTTGCAGGGCATGGCGTTGGAGGACTTCGGCGTGGTGTCGAAGAACAACCGGGAGCTGGTGTCGGGGATGAAGGACCTCGCGGACAAGTACGGCAAGGCGGTGGAGGAGGAGGGCGACACTCCCCCGGAGGACCGCGCGGTGGCCAACGTGGGGAAGATGGACGCGAAGAAGCACCTCGAGGCGTCCGTGCAGCGCCTGATGGCCTCGAACATCGTGCAGTGCCTCGGGACCATGCTCGACACGTGCGTCTTCTGAGGCACCGCAGCGCGCGAGTCCGCCGCAGTGTGATGCCAGCGGGCAGGCAAGCAGTCGCGCGTGCTGCTGTGCTTCGTGCGTGGTGGAGCGAGAGACCTCGGTGCTTCGTGCGTTCGTTCGATTGACAATGTCCAAGTTGATTCATTCTGTTTCTACAGTTGATGAACCACCTATTATGATGTGTTCTGTTTGGTCTCGGTTGAGCCGTCCGAGACGTGCTAGTCCCAGCGGTACGGCAGTACGATCAAGCCGTCCGGCAGCGCCTTGCCCGCCGCGCGCACGCGCCCCGGCTTCTGCGCCCGGCTGCTCAGCGAGCACGTCGCCAGTGCCACCTTCAGCTCCACGCCGTGCAGGTCCCGGAAACACCCCGCGCACAGGTACCCCGGCGTGTGCCCGAGCAGCACGTCCCCGTGGACGATCGCCGCCGCCGACGCCCCGCACCGCCCCTCGCACAGCCGCACCCGCCACGCCGGCCGCTTGCACCGCAACGGATACGCTGCCGCCACGACCGGGTCGTCCGGGTGGCGCAGGCGCACGTCGACGACCTCGAGGAGGTGCTCGCAGCAGCCCTGGTGGCAGTACACGCCCGCGCCGGCGCGCCCGCACGGCGCGCAGATGTCGCCGACGGTCGCGGCTTGCATCGCGCACTTCCGGACGGGCGGGCGGCTCTCGGCGCGGGCGTCGAGGCGCGCGAAGGCGTCCGTGATGGGTTTCGAGAGGTCCGACGCGGCGGCGTCCCGCGTGTCGTCGTAGAACACCCCCCCTAGGAAGATATAGGCCCCCGGGGCGGAGCGGTCGAGGTGCCGGAGGGTGTCGTCGGCGGGGCACTCGATGGCGTCGCGGAGGTCCGTGAGGGGCTGCGAGCCCAGGAGCGTGAACTCCTGCGCGCGCGTCGGACCGACCTGCGACGCGGCGCTAAAACAATAATAACAACAATAATCGACAATGCTCGATCTGAAAGGCGCGATTCGGCGCAGACAGCGGCGTGCACGGCACGCGCGGCCGTCGCACAGCACCCGCACGGCCCTGCGTCGTCCGGCGGCGAGCGCGGCGTCGTCCGCAAGCACATCCATCTGCGCACCTTGATGGGATGGTGCACGGCGAACGTGACGAGCACCTCCTCGTCGCCGCCCTCCGCGAGCCGCGCCGCATCGCTCGCTTGCGGCCCCGCGAGCTGCTCCGCCGCAGCCTCGTCCTCTGGGTCCTCTAAACGCGCAAGCTTCTTGGGGCGCGCCTTCGACTCCTCTTCCCGGCGCACCACGGAGTAGAGCCAGGCGCGGCCCGCCGCCAGACGCTCGAGTCGGCTCTTACGGACGCGGCCTGCCGGTACGCCGGAGGCCTGGCGGCCGCCACGCGCTCTGCCGGGGCCTGAAGTGCCTGCTTCTGCTGTCGGCGATATTGCAGGAGGCACGTCGCCTCCAGCCGCGTTCCCTGGTTCGTGGGGTTCCTTCGTATCTGAGGTTCCGACTCCGCGCTGCGAACGTGTCGTTTCGTCAACGTGCGCGGCGGCAGCGGCGTCCGGAGCTGCAGGAGCAGGGTCGGGGCCCGCTCCCGCGTCGCCCTCGCGGTCCTGCGGCGCTTCGAGCACCGCCTGACGTCCCGCTGTACCCTCTATCGCGAGACCGCCGCCCTGAGCGGCCCGAGCAACGTGCGCTCGCACGCTCTCCCCCACCATTTCGTCCTCGGGCGGCACGCGCAGGTGTTCGGTGTCCGTGTCGGGTGCTTCGCCGCCGTCGACCGGTGCGCCGAACGCCAGCGTGGCGCGCAGCTCGTCTCGCAGCTCGCGGCACCGCGCCGCCTCGGCGCGCACGTCGAGGGGAGCGGTGGAGCCCCGCAGAGACACGGCGGGCGCACGACGCGTGAGCCCGCGCCGGTCCGCGAGGTGCTCCATGTACCGGCGCTCCGCGAACGACATGTTCAGCGCACGAGGAAGGACTACGTGCTGGAGTGCATGCGCGGCGTGCTGCGCCCGTGCACGGCGAAAATGACAGATGGGAATTCCTGGTGTTGCGTGCGGCGTCACGGCAGGCTGGAAACAGCGCAACGACGCTCGGGTGCGCCGCAGGCAACGCCGTGGCGCGGCGCGACGTCTGGCCCGCGCGTGCCGCCCCGGGGCGCAAGGACGCCGGGCGGGACGTCCGCTCGTACCTCGGCGCACGTGTCTGACTGACTCAGGTGTCGAAGTAGCACAGCAAACAGGGGCATCCGCTGCAGATCGAACGATTGGCCGTCGGGGCTCACATCGTGGGTGGCTGACGGTGTTCGCCGCCTTCGTCGAACGATCAAGCTTTGTCACAAGCCTTTATAACCGACGAAAGCTTAAACATCGAGTGAGTGAGTCACTCACTCACCCATCCGCGCAGAATCGTGACCGATCTCGCGTGCGTTGCCCCCCTCCCAGGCTGTTTTCACACCCCCCCGGGTCCCCCTTGCATCACCGCGCCGTCGCCACGTCAATCACCCCCCCGTCTGCGTCGGCCAGCGACAGCCCCTTCCCCGCCGCGAGCCGCGGCATCGGGCCCTGCACCAGCCGCCGCTGCAGCCGCCGCGCCTCCACGAACCTGACCGGGTCTGACGCCACGAACAGGGAGAAGCGTGACGGCACGACCGTGCCCTCCGGAAGCACGTACGCCGCGGCGCCCCCGAGCCGCCAGCCGCTGACGTCCATCGCGAACGCGTTCTCGTTGCGCAGCTCCACGTAAGACACCCCCCCTGAGTCGGCCACGATCTCGCCCAGCGCCAGGCGCGCCCCCCGGGGTTGTGCGTCGGGAATGAGCGGGACGGCCCCGCCGGGGCCGTACCGCTCGTACAGCTGCTGCCGGCGCCGCGGGATCTGCTCGTCGAGCAGCTGGCGGTACCCGCGGTCGATGTCGCCCGCGTTGGCGTCGAACCGCCCGCTGCGCGCGTCCCGCCAGCGCTGCTCGTCGGCCTTGGCCGCGTACCGCACGTGCGCGTAGATCCCCGTGAGGACGCCCTGCAGCCGCCCGCCGAGCCAGCGGTCCATGAGCGTCCGCAGCCGCCGCAGGTACATCTCGCGCGTCCACGGAATATCAAGGATGGCGTCGTACAGGTGGTTGTACGTCCCGGCAGGGCCCACGGGGCTCGAGCCCTGTCGCGGCGCGTCGAAGTCCCGCGGCGCGTTCACGTCCGGGATGTGCGCGGTCCCGTACGGCGCGGCGCCGTTCGACGTTGTGCTGTCGACGGCCGGCGGGGGCGCGGAGGGCGCTGCGACGGCCCTGGACTCGTCCTCGCCGGGCACGCGGTACCGCCCCCACGTCGTGATGGACGCGAGGACGTCGCCCCACGTTTGCTGCAGGCGGCGGCGTCCGAACACGCTAGAGCCCCACGACGGCAAGACAGGACTGATGCCGTCGGCCCGCGCGGCTCGCTCGAGGAAGATGTCCTGCGGGTGGTCTGAGTCGCAGTAGAGCGGGGAGTTCCACTGGTCGCACGCGAGAACGCAGTAGTCGGGCGCGGGCGCCCCCCCGAGGCCCGACGAGATGCCCAGCGAGCTCTCGAGGTCCCACGGAATGCGCATCCACCTCCTGCGAGCACGCCGACAGCGCCGCCATTGCACGTCGCTGAGGGAGGGGACGGAAGGCGCTCAACAACGCTCGATCCGCGGAAGAAAACGGGCACCGCGGCCGCCTGCTTGGACGCACCTCGTCCACGCGTTGTAGTACGAATAAAAGTTCTTGGTGCACCGATCTTGGTTGAGGAGCATGGACTGGACGGCCATCTCACTGACGGTGGCGAAGAGGTCGACGTGGTCGAAGACGTACTGCGAGCGCGTGCCGGGCCCGCGCCCCGCGAGCCCGAGCGTCAGGTCCTTGAGCGCCGCAAAATCACCCGCGCTGTCCCGGCGGTTGCCCTTGCGGTACGACCACCGCATGTCGTCCACCTTGACGTCCCACCGCAGGTTCGACATCTGCCCGGACACCGACTTGAAGAGCATGCCGCCGGCGTCGCCTGGCGCGAGGCCGCGGCGGCGCAGGAAGGTGTCGTCGACCTGTTCGATCATGTTGAAGAGGCCGAAGAACGCGGCGTTCATGTGCACGACGACGTACTGCGACTGCGAGGCCGGGACGCCGCTGTCGCGCATCAGCTGCAGCGCGACGATCTCGCGCATGTACGTCTCCTCCCCGGGCTCCTGCGCGCAACGTTGTTGTGTGCAGCGGACACGGAATGAGCGAAACGCAGGCTCTCGACCAGGCCAGATGCCAGGCATGGCGCGACGTTGTTTTCCGCACGCAGGGCTTGCATACCTCCCAGAAGCTCTGTAGATTGACTTCCTCGACCTCCACGGCGCCGTCCCACATCCCGAACTCCTCGCCCTTGAAGTCGAGCTTGATCTGCGTCGCGCGGCACGGCACCGCCTCCGAAATCGCCCCGCTCTGCGTCACGTGCGCTGCGGGCAAGCGGCGGTGTGGCGCACCTTCGGCTTGGCCCAGGCGAGCGCGGTGACGCCGCGGCGCCGGCAGAACACGTTGTCGTAGAACCGGCCCAGGTAGAGCAGCGAGCAGCGCGTCCCGTCCGTCTCCTGCAGCGCGGTGAGCTTCGACTCGTCCTGCGCGAAGATGCGCAGCACGCCCACGCCGAGCGACTCCACGTCCGGCTCCCACACCGCGGTGCCGTAGTACCGCGGCGACTCCCGCGTCCGGTACTTGGGTTTGCGCTGCACGCAGCTCCCGTCCCGCTCCGTCGCGCGCACATACCACCGCACCATCGACCCCGGCAGAGACGGGGGGATGGTTGCTTTGTACGTGTTGGAGTCGGTGGGCTGCATGAGGACGCTCTGCTCGCCGCCGAAGTCCACGCGCCACGTCAGGGCGACGAACGCGTGCCGGCGGCCGGCGGCGGCGTCGGGGTCGACGTATGCGTGCACGTCGATGCTCTCGCCCGCGCCGACGGGGCCGCGCGTGTTCTTCGTGACGTTCCTCAGGCCCAGCTCGACCACGCAGCTTCCATCTGGACGAAAGACAGACGCGAACGAGGACCTTGCTGCGCACTGCGCGACCATGACAATCTTTGGTGACAACAACGACCCGTCCCGCGTGAAGCGCCGCAGCGCAACCGCGGGAGTTCGGGCGGAGGAGTGTACCTGCTGAGCGGCTGTCTGTGTCCCCGTCCTGCCCGCCCGCATTCGTCGCCAGGAGGCTCCTGTGCGTGTCTGGGTTGTGGTCCACGGCTGGAAGGCTCGGCAGGGCGCGCGCCGTGGAGTGCGCGGCGCCGAAACACGGCACGGAGGCGCAGAGCGCAGAGCACAGCAGCAAGCTGAGGGAGCGTGGGCGCAGGAACGCCATTTCCGCGAACGCGAGCTGCGTTGCTGGTCCGACCTCGCACTATACTGGCCCGTGGCACGGTGCTGGGGGCTGGGCACGCGGACGTCGTGCCAGAAAAAAAAAAGTACCGCGTGGGCCCGGGCGCAGCTGCGTCCGTGCGCGGGCGCGGCGCGTGGCGCGGCTGCGGCCTGCTGCGCCACCTCACTGCCTGACTCGGCCGGAGCTCGCTGGCAGACGACGCATGCGCAGGCGCGGAACGCGACAGTTCAGAGCACGAGACGCGCGATCCATGGCGCGCCGGGCCGGCGGCCGCACGAGCCGTGCGTGGGAGGGAGCAGGGAAGGGGGTCTCGGTCGCTGCGTCGTCACAGCTCGCAGGGAACGCCTCGCGTTTAGCGCCAGCAAACATTCACGCGGGGCGTCGTCCGGGCGTCGGAACCAAAGGCGGGCGGTGGGTACCTGCCCGACCCTGCGCGCACAGGAGCGGCCCCCAAGCGGGCTCCGGAGCCGCCTGCGCCCTGAGCGCGCGCCAGCGGAGGTTCAGTGATGCGCCCTACCACACGAGCGCGAGCTCGCGGCCATGGACTCCGCTCAGAGGTCCTGGACGGTCAGACCTGCGGTGCGCAACAAGGACGCAGGCCCAGCCGTCAGCTCGCTGCGCCTCGGGCGGCCGGGCGGGGCGCCGGCGGGGCGCGCGGTGCGTTGCTGGGGCCGAATCGCGGTCGCTGGCGGGGGACGCACCCGGGGGCAGGGACTGCTTGAGCTTGTCAGCCTTCTCGGCGTCGGCCACGCAGAGAGTATAGAGGTACCGCGAGCAGCGGACCTTGAACTTGGTGACGCTGCCCGTCTTCTTGATCTTGACGGAGCTGGCGTCCTTCCGCCGCGCGGTGAGGAGGAAGTCCTTGATCTCCGTGATCTGCTTGGGCTGCGGGGCAGCGGCGGCACAGCACCGGCGGTCAGGGCGCCGCGCGCGGACTCCAGGGGCGGCGCTGCGCGCACGCGCGTGGTCTCTGGCGACGGAAGGAGCGTCCGTGGGGCCCTTCGTGGAGCGGCTGCCGCCAGGGCGCCGAGGCAGGCGGACGAGGAGTGCTCGCTGGTGTCTCGCTCGCTGGGAGGCCCGCAAGTGGCACGCAAGCGCCGGAAATCGACGGGGCTGGGCTGGAGCGATGCCAGGCGAGCTTGGTGGGGAGTGGCCGGGACGGGGCGGCGCTCGGCTCGCTCGAGGCGCCGCAGGCGGGCGGCAGCACTGCTTCACTGGGCCACCGGGATGCGCCGGGTCCCGGGAAAACGAAACGGCGCGGGAGGCGTTGAAAGACGCAAAACGGCGACCGGCGGGCGTCGTGGGCACGCGCAGAGGCGCTCGCGTGCGGCGCGAGGGCCGATCGACGCACGCCCATCGCGCGGAAAGTGCGCGTGCAGGCGCGCACGGTGCGCGACCACGGTGCACATTCTACCATCCGCGGGGTGGCGGAGCCGCCAACCGCAGAAACCGCGAGCCCGGCCGTCGTGGAGACCGGGCTGGCCCGCAGCAGGCTCTCAGCGCTCAGTTCGCTGTCATCCGCACTGTGGGCGCACCATTTTGTCCACACCTCCCCAGACTTCCGAAAGAGGGCGCGCACGGGCGCAGCCGGACCCCCTAGAGGGCGCCGCGGGCGCCTGGTGCTCAGCACTGCTGCACTGCGCACCAGCCCGCCCGACGCGGCCCCGCTCCTCGCAGGCCGCACGCCGCGCGCCCCGGCGCGGCGGCCCGCATCCTCCCAGTCACGGCAGCGCACTCCAGTCGCGGAAACGGCCAGCGCGTCCCTCCCCGGGCGCGGAGCACTGCACACACAATGATGCCACTGCGGCGACCGGCAAGCGATCCGCAGGCGGCCACGGCCGCCGCTGCTGCTCCGTCATAGCACATTCTTCACAAGTCTTCGCGCCGAACCGCGTCGCGGGCCCGCTGGTCGGCGCAGGGCCCGGCACCCGGCGAATTTCACCGCCCTGGCCCGCGCCGGTCGCGGCGGGCGCGCTCACTCGGCCCGGCCCATGACCTGCTCGCGCGTGGTGGCCACGATCGCAATGGCCTCGTCCACGGTCGCCTGGTCGAGCTGGAAGTCCTCGAGCATGGTGGCGGCCAGGGTCTGCGCCACTAGGTCAAAGTGCTTGTCCGACATGCCGTGCTCGTCGCGGAGCTTCTTGTGCGCGGCGTTCATCGCCCTCCCCGAGTACCGGTTCGGCCCGCCGAACGCGAACGTCACGAAGTTCGTCTGGTGCTTGGCCTGCCTGCAAAACAGCAAGCGGGACACCAGGCCGTCGCGCCCTGCGCGGAGCGCGCCGAGAAGGGCGGATCCGGCGCGGGGGCAGTGTTGAGAGGCGCAGGGAGGTGCGTTTGGGGGCGCCACGCACCTGACCATGTCGGTGTTCTTGAAGAACGGGGCGAGTTCCGGGTTGGCCAGGATACGCTCGTAAAAGGCGTCGACGACGGCCGCGATGGCCTTGTCGGCCTTGCCGGGCCCGCCGAGCCTCTCGTAGAGCGTGTCGGCGGTCATGTTGCTGGAACGGAAGCCTCTGTTCGCGGGACACGGCGACCAAAGCGGCCTAGGGTCGACCAGAGCGACGGCTGGTTCGCGGACGACGGAGGCCTGCAGCGGGAACCGAGCGCGGGCGTGAACGTGAGTAAGTTTCGACATGCCGGATAGCGCGTCCAGATGGCTGGAACACCCCGCAGCGAGCGGGCCGGGGCAGCTCAGGGCAGGGCAACGGAACGCGCCGCGGCGCTCCGGCGGGCGCGCGCGCACCTTCGTAGCGGTCGAACCGACGAGTGCGGCGTCGGCGGTACGCAGTGCGTGGCAGAGTGAACCCAGGGCCCGGCGCATGGCTCCCAATTGCACCTCAGAGCTCACCAGGCGCAGCCAGAGCGAAACGACCACGTGCGTAGGGACCTCCCTCGGATCGCGACGCAGCGCGCTCGGATCACCGCGAGTGGGCGGCGCGGCGGCCGAGCGCGCGCTCGTAGGCCCGCCCGGCGCGCGCGGGGCGGCCTGCCTGTCGGGACACGGTGTCGACGGTTGGGGGGGCGCCGCCAAAGGGCCATGGCCGGGCGGGGTGCGCGCACGCCGCGCCGCGTCGATGCGGGTGCGTCGCTGGGATCGGTATCGTTGCTGGGGGGGCGAATCGGGTCTGATTCTCGGCTTGCGCGCCGCGGGGGGCGCGCGCGAGGTGCCAATGGCATTGGCGTTGGCTGGCGCCGCGTGTGTGCCCGCGAGGGTGGACCAGTGGCCGCGGCGGCGGTCGTGGTAGCTGTGACCATGTGTTATCGCAGTGTGGCGTCGAAGCCGCTGTTCTATGAGGGTTGGTCGTCAATTGATCGAACGATGCACGCAGGGGTTTGTCGTGGCGGTTGGTGACTGAACAGCACGCACAGCCCGCGAGGCGGGGCGCGGTCGCATCCAGCGCGGAGGCGCCATCGGCGCAGGCCGCGCGTGGCGTCGCGGGATCACGCGAGGCCATACAAAAGGTGGCAAAAGCACTGGAAACAAAAACAGCCTCCACAGAGTTGCGCAGGACGACGGCCATGTACGGTGCCCCGCCGCCGACTACCAGCTATCAGAGGCACCTCGGGACGCCGCGGCGACGCCCAGCGGCGTGGTCACACGTGCGTGTTCAATACACGTGCGTGCGCGCGCGCGATGACATCGCTAGGCGAACCCGAGCCCGATTGGTCGCAGCCTGGGGATCCGCTGCGGCGGCTGCATGCCGTCGAGTGCCGCGTACCCGTCCGCGAGTCCGCGCAGGGCCTCGAAGGCCTCCCCGAACACCCCCTCGTCGATGTACTGCGTGTAGTGGTGCAAATACACCCCCCGCTTGTACAGCGTGAACGCGCGGTCCGACATGGCCTGCGGCGGGGCAGCGAGGACGAACAGGCGCTGCGTGTCGGCACGCGCCGCGCGAGACAGCCAGGCATCCTGGTTTGCGCTAGAGGGCGCGACGTCCACGCGGGCGCGCGAGGGAGCGCGAACGCGTCATCGGGGGCCGCGCAGGCGCAGCGTCGCAGCGGGGGCGCGGTGCGTCAGCGGGCGGCGCGCCTGGAAGGTCGACCGGATGGCGCAATTGTTCTGCAGCGCAAGCAGCGAGTAGTTCAGGCCGACGGGGGGCTTGCTGCACATCCCGATCTTGAACCCGTCGCCGTTCCAGTGCGCCATCTTGAGCGCCGGCCGGATGCGCGACGCGACGCAGCGGCTGACGTCGGAGATGGCGACGTCGCCGCGGAGCAGGAGGCCGCACGCGAGGCACGTGGACGCGCGCGGGTCCGCCTTGATGAGCTGGTTCTGGGACTGGAGGACCTCGCCGAAGACCTGGTCCACCGCGCGCGGCGCCGCGGCGCGCCCCACGTCCGCGGGCGCCGCGAGCGGCGACATGGCGCCCATCAGGAAGTGCATTCGCGGGAACGGGACGAGGTTCATCGTGATCTCGTTCAGGTCCACGTTGAGCTGGCCCTCGAAGCGCACGCTCGACGTGAGGTTGAGCAGCAGATTGGCCGCGATGCCGTTCATGCGGTCCCACGGCTTTTCGCCCGTCGCGCCGGCGGCGACGCCGTCGGCGGTGGACCCGGCGCGGACGCGGCCGGTGCCGCGCGCGGCGATGTTCTCGACGACGTCCATGAGCGCCTGGTTCTCGACGGGCAGGACGCAGTCGGCGTGCTCCGCGAGCTTGGCCAGCGACAGCGCTGCGTTGTACGGCGACGTGATGACGTCGTCGTCCTTCGACGGAAACACCGAGCAGTTGAACCTGCGGCCGCAGACGCGAGGGCGGGCGCGCTCAGATCGATCGATCCGGGCGGCGACGACGTGCGTGGGTCGGCGGGGGGGTGTGGGGAATGAAAAGGCGACTGTGCGCGTTCTGTCCGCGCGTTGCATGTGTGCGCACCTGTAGACCTCGGGGTACTCGTCCGCGAGCGCCTCGAGGAGGTATGACCCCACCCCTGACCCAGTCCCCCCCCCCAGCGAGTGCATCATCAGGAAGGACTGCAGGGAGTCGCAGCGCTCCGCCGCGGCCCGCACCGTCTCCAGGAGGCCCTCGCGGTACTGCGGGCCGTACACGTTGAACCCGTGCGCCCAGTTGTTGCCCGACCCGCTGACATCAGTCAGCATCTGTCGATCGTCAAACAACGTGCCCAGCTTCCCAGACAACATGCCGTTCACGACGCCCTCCTCCATGTCCACCACCACCGCGCGCGCCTGCAACGCCGTGACCGCGGCGCACCGCCCTGAGCGCACAGCGAACGGCGGCGCGGCGTGCCACCTGCGCGACCGGGACGGGGCTTGCCTTGAGCGTGCGGATGCGGCCCGTGCCGTCCCCGACCTCGAGCTCCTTCGGCGGGTTGTATCTGTCGTCCGTGTTCCGGAAGAAGCTGCTAATGGGCTCGTCGAAAAGCCCGCGGGGGTTGTAGTGTGCGTGCTCCCGCAGCGCGAGCTCCCAGAACCGCGTCCCGATCTGGTTGCCGCACTGGCCTACTTGGATGGTGACGAGCTCGCGCGGCATGGTGCCGGACCGGGAGGCGCGCGGGCCAGCCGGCCCGCGTGCTCGCCTGGAGCCAGCTGCTCAGGTGGGGTCGCTGGGAGGAATGCGGGGCTCGAATGGATGCCCGGAGTCCCCGAAGTGGGCGAGGATGGAGTGAGTATGCTGGTGCGGTGCGTGTTCCGCGCTCCCCGCAAAGCCAAGCGCCACGGTTGAGAGGGGCGTGGTGTGTTAGAAGCACGTCCCGCCCCTGTGCGCTCGGGGATGCGCGCGAAGCGGGCTGTGGGCACCTCCCGGTCTATCTATGCAATGCGCTCGCAGGCGCGGCTCGCTGCTCGAACTATCGCGGGATCACGGGCCCAAACTGCGAGCAGGTGCGCGCAGGCTTGCGAGCGGGCTCCGACTGGCGTGCGAGGGCAGGTGCGTGGCGCCCCGTGTGCGTGAGCTTCTGCCTCGCACGAGCTGCGTGGCCCGCCGTCGTACCGCGACGAGCGCCCAGGCACGAGCGCGGGGGGGTGTTGCCTGCGTCTGTCATGCGCGACACACGCAGGCCCACCTGGGTCTCGTCGTGCGCGGTGAGACGACTGGCAGCCCCACGCTCGTCAGCGCAGACCGCCCGCCTGCCGTCGAGCGGGTCGTCGTGCAATCCGAGCACAATCGACTTGCCACACCTGAACGAGCTGCGACAGGATTGTGCCGGGTCACGACCGCGGCCGCCACGCCAGCACGGCGCGCGCCCCGACCACCGCGCCTGCGACGCTCGCAGGGACCTCGGCGCACGCAACCAACCACCCCCGCCTCACGCTCGCGGTACCGGTCATGACATACGCCATCAACAGACGAGGATGCGGCTTGGCGGGCGACCACGCGCGCCAGCAGCCCGCTCGCTCGCTCACACATCCCGCGCGCCCCCGCGGCAGTGCGACCGCAGCCGCCGCCGCGGCCGCTCGTCGTCGCTGTCCTCCACGTGCCGCACGTCGACGGGGTCCCCCTCCTCCCTCTCCGGCGCGCGCCCGACCGGGAAGCCCATGAACAGCGCCAGGCTGTGCCGCCGCGCCTTCCCCTTGTTGAACTCCGCGTCCAAGTCGTTCACCGCGTGCTCGAGCCCGTTGCCCTGGCACACCACGTCCCCGCCCTGCAGCCGCGCCGTCCACACCTCGTCCGTCGCCGCGCCGTCCGCGCGCCGGATCGGACGCATGCGCAGCGCCCCCTTCTCCGTCGCCGGGCCCAGCCCGCTGAACCTCGTCCGCCGCAGCCGGCTCCCCTCGCCCGCAGCGAGGTCCGCGTCGCAGTTGAACACCAGCTCGCACCCGCGCCACTCCTCCCGCGGCAGCGCCGGCAGCACCACGAGCAGCGTCCACGTCCCGCCGTCGACGTGCCCGCCGAGCCCCGCGCCGTGCTCCGCGTCCGACGCCGACCGATAGTCCAGGAAAAACCCATCGCAGATGTTCTCGGGACACATGTGCGGCGCCGCGTTGAGGCAGCGCAGGTACGGCGCGATGACCGTGTCGCGCACGTCCGCCATGAAGCCCTGCAGCGCCTTGTGCAGCCGCGCGAGCGTCTCCGCCGCTTGGATCTTTGTGACGCTCGGCCTCTTCGCGCCCTGCCGCGTCATGTCCTTCCACACCTGCGCAACAGGCGCGCCGCAGCGGCCGGGCCCGCTGGGTGAGTGCGGCTCGCGGGCATCGGGCGCGGGCGCGGGAGCGGGCGCGTGTTGCAACGTATGTTTGTAATAGGAATGTGTGTAATAGGAATGCGCACCTCTTCGACGCTGCGCGCCTGGAACTGCGCGAACGCCGTGAGGAACGTGTGCTCCCCGGACGCGTCCTCGTCCGTCGCCTGCAGCTTCCGCACGTCCCTGATGAGTTTCGCCGGGAACCACCGCGCCACGGCCGCGTGCTGGTGGTGCACCACCAGGGGGCCATGGCAGCCCGGGACCGTGTGAACCTCCACCCGCGAAGCCCTGCCGTCGCTCAGGCTGTCCTCCGCGAGCTCCCCGACGTCGCCCGCGAACGCCGACGTCGACCGCATCCCCCCGCGGTCGGCGTAGTGCCGCAGGGCGCGCACCACCGCGCGCTGGAACGTCTCGTTCGGCTGCCCAGGCGTCGGGTTGCCCGCGAGGTCGATCACTTCCTGCCACTGCGAGTCACTGAGCGCGCCCTTGCCCGCGAGCCTGTGCAGGTCGCAGCCCGGCAGCTCCCAGAGCCTGCGCAGTGCCGCCCGGATGCCCTCGTCGGAGACCGTGCGGGGCTGTCGCTGGGGCGCGCTGGCGTCGCGACCCTCCTCGTAGTGTGACTGACAGAGCCAGAAGTGCTCGCCGTCGTTCTCGCGGCTCTGGAAGACGGGCGCGGTGCATGACCGTGGTAGCCCAAAACACCGCTGCGCCTCGCATCTCGCCGGCTCGTGTTTGCGCTTGAGGTGCCCGTCGCCTTCCTTCTCATCGTCTCCGTCCAGCGACATGGCGTGGCGGAAGCTACCGGCCTCGCGAACGCGGACGTGCCGTTGCAAGCACCGCGACTGCTCACTGCATCGTTTCGCGCGCCGTGTGGCGGTCCAGCGCACAGCGGGAGTGGTAACGTGATCTGTTCTGAACCTGAACCTATCGCTGACTCGCAGTTTGTCGCACACAGGTGCAGCGTGAGGGCAGCACTGAGGCAACCGTCCTGTCACTATGCACACACTAGCTGGAACAATGGCAGTACCGGCGGGAACCGGCGCTCGGCAGAAGGAATCGCCTCGCCACGAGCACCCGCGATCCGATGTCCGCCCGGGGCACGATGCTGTAGTCAGACTGGCGGTGCAACCCCGGGGGTGTGCGAGGAAAACCCCCCCTCCTGGTATTATTACGAACCGAAACGCAACGTCTGCGTGATCCCCTGGTGCGCCCCTCCGCGACGAAGACTCACCGCCTCGAGTCAACCTCGGGCGGCGTCCACCAGGCAACGGGTCCGGCGTGCAAGGGGTGGCGTGCGTGATTGGAAGAAGGTGCGGCGGCTGTTGTGCGCGCGTGGCTACTACAAACACGCCACGACGAAGCGACCGGCGCGTCGACGACACGCTCGTCGCGGCGCTCTGCGCAGCCCTCACACCAGCACTTGCAGTGGGTGTTGTGAACGTTGTCGATCACGTGGGTGCTGCATGTCGCGAACGAAATGGCCATCAAGTCGCGGCCCGGCGACTGCCGCCCTGCACCTCGCCGCCGGGGACGGATGCGGAAGTCGTCCCAGCGCCGCGGGGCGTCGGTTGCGCGGCACATCAGCGGTGGGCTATTTCTTCGCCCTGGAAGGACACCACCCCAGTATATTAATATCTGCCGTCACGGCCGAGTCATCATCCGTGCCTCCGGCAGCAACGGACGCGACCGCGCCCCGCCCGAATGCACCTGCGCGCTGCCGCCCCGCTGCGGCAGCTTGCCTCTCGCCGACGCGCGCTACGTGCTCGTCGCGCTCCTGGGGCCTGCTGCGGTGAACATGTGTCATGTTGACTGCGGTGCCGCCCGCGGCCGCGTCCTCGAGCACCATTGCAGCCTGCCTCGCCGGTGGGAGCTGCCTCAGCAGCTCCCTGATCTCCTGCTCGTTCAACATGGTCAGCCTGCACGAGAGGGTGCGTCTCCGGAGTCAGAGCGCGCGAGGAGTGCGACGGGCGACGAATTTGAGGGTGCACCCTGGGAGGGGTAGCAAGGCGAGAGCGCGCAACGGGTGCAGGACACCGAGGCAGGTGGCTGCTCAGAAATCGTAAGAGTCAGGGCTCGGGCTCACAGAGCCTATCTAGGTGGCATCGGGCACGGGGCACGGCAAACTCAGCTCGCTCCCGAGCGGCTCATGAAACGAAACACATGTGGGCGGGACGCGCACACAGGGCGTGATCGGGCGCGTGCGTACCACTCGCCGGGATTCTGCGACGTGGGCATCGCGAATTGCGTGCGCGGGCACGCGCCGCCCGCGGATCCCGCGCTGTTGCGCGCCTTTCTGGTGAAATATACCAGGCGCGCTCGCAGGGCTGATCAACGACCGGTGCGGCACACCAGATTGTGCGCCACGATCTTTGGGCCACGATGCAGCCGCCCCAGGCATTGACGCGTCCCGCGCGCCGTCGCACACCCCGCTAGATCCCCCCCGTTATACCACCTACATAGGCTTTGTGTCGGGGCGGCCTCCCGTGCGCTCGCGCGCTCGTTGCGCCGCCACGCGAGCGCGGGTGCGCATTCGAGCAGGCATCCTGCGAACCAGACCCTTCGAAGCCCAGGTGCGCCTCTCTGGACCGAGCGGCGGCCCTTGAAAGCCTCGCGCGCACACTCAGTCGCGGTCACCGCGGCCGCCGCTCCCTATTCGCTCTGCCTGGACGCCCACCCGCACCACACCATGTCGCAGCGATGCGACGGGACGCTCCTCGCGCGTCTCCGCGGCCCCCGCCGCTCAGCTCATGCAGTGACTGTGGTGTGCTGCTCGGCGACGCAGTTGCCGCCTGTTGACGCTGATATTCTCGACGCGGTGTCCCTCACCAGACCCGCAAGCCACACCTCTCATCTGGCGGCGGGTTCTCTTCGCAGAAGCCTCGCAAACGCTTCCCGCGTTTGCTTTGCCTGGATGTGCGTGGTCGCGAATTGAGCCCTCCACGCTGCCTCCCTGCGCGCATCACCGCGCCTCGCAGCATGTCCAACGCCATCGCGCTGCTGCCGCGTCCAGTTTCCCGGGACCCGCGCGCTGCACGCGCAACGCTCGCGCAGCCTTCCAGACTCTGGCCAGGGCCGACCGCCTCCCGACGCGATCGCTGCATTCGTGCAGGCGCGCTGGCGGCTGCCTGGAGCCTCGAAGCCTCTACATCGTCCGCGATGGTCGCTACGCGGGCGAGCCGGGCGCGCGCGGGCGACGCGGCGCCCCCCGCCCGCTCCCCCAGCCCCAAGACGCGCAAAGTGCGGACGAAGGACGCTGCTCGCGTCGCGTCTCCGTCACGACGAGCAACGTCGCCCAAGCCGCGCAAGTCGCGCAAGGAGAGCGCCCCGGGCTCCAAGTCGAACACCGAGGCGGCACCGGCGGCGGGCGCTGACGTCGCGGGCTGGGCCAAGAGCACGGACGAGCTCGTCAGGTTCCTCGGGACGTCCGTGAGCAAGGGCCTGTCCCCGGAGGAGGCCGCGCGCCGCCTGGAGCAGTACGGCCCGAACGAGCTCCAGAAAGACCCCCCCACCCCCCTTTGGAAGCTGGTGCTGGAGCAGTTCGAGGACCTGCTCGTCCGGCTGCTGCTGGTGAGCGCCCCGCGCGGAGCCAGCGCGCCTGAGGGCGCGGACCTGGCTCGGTGGCGATGGGCTGTGTGTGTTTGTGCGTTTGTGCGTTTGTATTTCGCTGACGTACAAGCACCCTCACCGCGAGGATGCCTGAGCGACCGAGATGGTACGGCATCATTGGCGGTGGGCTGTGTGTGTTTGTGCGTTGCAGATGGCGGCGGTGGTGTCGTTCGCGCTGGCGTACATGGACAGCGCGGACGGCGAGGAGGGTCTGCGCGCGTACATCGAGCCGCTCGTGATCCTGCTGATCCTCGTGCTGAACGCGGTCGTGGGCGTGTGGCAGGAGACGAACGCGGAGGCGGCGCTGGACGCGCTGAAGGAGATGCAGGCCGACCGGGTGCGGTGCACGCGCGGGGGCAAGGTGCTGTCGGACCTTGACGCGCGCGAGCTGGTGCCGGGCGACGTGGTGACGCTGGCGGCGGGGGACCGCGTCCCGGCGGACTGCCGGCTGGTGTCGATGGTGACGACGATCGTGCGCGTGGACCAGGCGGCGCTGACGGGGGAGAGCCAGCCGGTGAACAAGGAGGAGGCGCTGGTGCTGGAGGAGGAGTGCGACATCCTGAGCAAGGAGAACATGCTGTTCTCGGGCACCGCGCTGGTGTCGGGGTCGTGCAAGGTGGTGGTGTGCAGCACGGGCATGGGCACGGAGATCGGCGCGGTGCAGGCGCAGATCCAGACGGCGAGCGAGGAGGACAACGACACGCCGCTCAAGCGCAAGCTCGACGAGTTCGGCACGCAGCTCGCCAAGGTCATCTCCCTCATATGTCTCCTCGTGTGGGGAATGAACTACTCCAAGTTCCTCTCCTGGACGCCGCACGCGACGCTCGCGCCGCTCCCGGACCCGGCGTCGATCCGCGTCGACGTCGCGGGCTGCACGTACTACTTCAAGATTGCCGTCGCGCTGGCCGTGGCGGCCATCCCGGAGGGGCTGCCGGCGGTGATCACGACGTGTTTGGCGCTCGGGACGCGGTCGATGGCGAAGAAGAAGGCGATCGTGCGGCGCCTGCCGTCCGTGGAGACGCTCGGGTGCACGACGGTGATCTGCAGCGACAAGACTGGCACGCTGACCACCAACCAGATGACGTGCGTCAGGCTGGTCTCGCTGGACGACAAGGGGCAGGTGGACTCGCGGACCGTGTCCGGGCAGACGTACGACCCGGAGGACGGCGCCGTCGAGGGCCTGACGGCGCGGACCCTCGACGCCGCGCACCTGGGGCTGGCGACGGTGGGCGCGGTCTGCAACGACGCGCACATCGAACGCGACGCGCAGTCCGGGCTCGTCAAGGCCGTGGGGACGCCCACGGAGGCGTGCCTCGTCACGCTCGCCGAGAAGATCGGCCGCCTCGAGGGCGCCGGGAACGCTGGCGCGGGCCCCGCGCCGTGGGCGGCCGCGGCCGCGGCGCGCGCGGAGCGGATCGCGACGCTCGAGTTCGACCGCGACCGCAAGAGCATGTCCGTGCTGGCTGCGGGCGAGGGCGTCGTCGCGGGCGTGTCGGACGGCGGCAACACGCTGCTGTGCAAGGGCGCCGCGGAGTGCGTGCTGGAGCGGTGCGACCGGTACCTGGCGCCGTCCGGGAAGCCCGTGCCGATGTCCGCGGGCGTGCGGAAGACGCTCGCGGCGGAGATCGAGGCGATGGCGTCGCAGGCGCTGCGGACGCTGGCGCTGGCGGCGCGCGCGGGGTCGGAGATGGGCCCGCTGGGCAGCTACGACGGCGACCACGCGCACCCGGGACACAAGACGATGCAGGACCCGAAGCTGTACCCCGAGGTCGAGAGCAAGATGGTCTTCCTGGGCATGGTCGGCATCCAGGTGCGGCGCAACCGAACCGTGCTCCTCTCTTTTATATTTCTTTTATATTTCTTTTATTGTCTTTCTTTCTCTCCTTCAGGGACCGATCCACGAGCGGATTCACGCACGAATGACTCTTGACTGTGTCGCCTTTCTCGTATCTCTGGCTCATGCGCCGTCCTCGTTCTTCGTGCCCGCAGGATCCGCCGCGCGCGGAGGTGGCGGCGGCGATCCAGCAGTGTCGCGGCGCGGGCGTGCGCGTGATGGTCATCACGGGCGACAACAAGCTGACGGCGGAGGCGATCGCGCGGAAGATCGGGGTGCTCGAGGAGTGGCAGGACGCGGACGAGCACACGTTCACGGGCAGCGAGTTCATGGCCATGGACCGCGAGGAGCGCCTGGAGGTGCTGATGCGGCCGGGGGGCAAGGTGTTCAGCCGCGCGGAGCCGCGGCACAAGCAGGAGATCGTGCGGTGCCTCAAGGAGGACGGCGAGGTGACCGCGATGACGGGCGACGGCATCAACGACGCGCCGGCGCTCAAGCTGGCCGACATCGGCGTGGCCATGGGCATCACGGGCACCGAGGTGGCCAAGGAGGCGAGCGACATGGTGCTCGCGGACGACAACTTCAGCACGATCGTCGCGGCGGTCGAGGAGGGCCGCGCGATCTACGACAACATGAAGGCCTTCATCCGGTACATGATCTCGTCCAACGTGGGCGAGGTGGCGTCCATCCTCATCACCGCGCTGCTCGGGCTCCCCGAGAGCCTCATCCCCGTGCAGCTGCTGTGGGTCAACCTCGTGACGGACGGGTTCCCCGCCACGGCGCTCTCGTTCAACCCCCCGGAGCCGGGCCTCATGAACCGCCCGCCGCGCGACCAAAAGGACGGCATCATCACGCCGCTCGTGCTCCTGCGCTGGTTCACCATCGGGTGCGCCGCGCAGACCTGCGAACGCCACGCCCGTTGCGTCGCCGGGCTATGCTCGTGTGTGGTCTGCTCGATCTGTCGACAGGCGACGGGACAGTGTGGATTGTGCGTCGTTTTGATCTCACGAACGAATGTTGCCCGTGCAGGATCTACGTGGGCCTGGCGACCGTGGGCATCTTCGGCGCGTGGTTCCTGCTCCCGGAGATCCCCCTGGGCCCGCTCGGGCGCATCCCGATCACGCACGACGGGCACACCAACCTCACTTGGCACCAGCTCACCCACTGGACCGAGTGCGCGACCTGGACGGACTTCAAGCCCGCGCCGTACACCGCGGGGTCCGTCACGCTCGCCGACGACGGCAACCCGTGCGCGTACTTCGAGGAGGGCCTCGCGAAGCCCTCGACGCTCGCGCTGTCGGTGCTGGTGCTGATCGAGATGCTCAACGCGATGAACGCGGTCTCGGAGAACAACAGCCTCCTCCGCGTCACGCCGCTCGTCAACCCGCTCCTCTGCGTCGCCATCGTCCTCTCGGTGCGCGCCCCCACCCTCCCTGCCTCGCCGCCGCGCCCCGCCCGTGCCATCCGCCCCGCGTGCGACGCGCTCGCGTGGTGCCGCCCGTGCCGCGCAGCTCCTGGCGCACCTCGCGATCCTGCACATTCCGTTCATGCGGATCGTGTTCCGGACGGTCGAGCTGGACTGGCACGAGTGGATGTTGGTGCTGGCCTTCTCGGTGCCGGTGATGCTGATCGACGAGGTGCTGAAGACGGTCGCGCGGTTCTACGCGAAGCGGGGCGACGAGAAGTTCATCGCGGCGCACGCCCGCAAGAAGAACGACTGACCCCCGCGCCACGACGCGCAACAACACCAGCGCGCCGCACGCGTGCGTGTGTGATCCCTGCAGTGACGCACCCGCGGCTGCCACGCGTCCCGCGATGCGTCCAGGCCCTGCTCACATCTTCGCGCTCCTTCCGTGCCCGTCCGCGCGTCCTAGCAGTGCGAGAGCGAGAATCCGCAGAACATGGCGATGAGCACGTACAGCAGGCCCACGCCGCCCACCCCCATCAGCATCATGTACCGCACCTGCTGCCACCGCATCGTGCGGTGCAGCCGCCGCGCCTGCACACGACGACCGGGCACGCGCGGCGCCTCCGTGTCAGCACAGCACCCACAAACCACAGCGCAGCGCAGCGTAGCATTACGTGGGTGTCGGGGTCGCGCGCTGAAGACGAAATGCGTGCTGTTGGCGCAGATGGCGCGCGGACGATGCGTCGGCGCCACGTCGGGCGAGTCGGAACTCGCGCGACGAGCAAAGCGATCGCGGACAAGAGCGATCGCGACGTCATCAGGCTGCGCGAGCGGGGGGTGTCGACGTCGCGAGGAAGGCGCAACCCGAAGTGGCGCTCGGTTGGCTGGAGCGGAGCCCTGCTGCGGCAACGCAGAACCGGAGCTCCCCGCGGTGACGAGCTCCGTCCGATCTCATCGAGTATCAGCAGATAATCAACTTGCGCTCCAAGTTGATGAATTGCTGATACTTGACCGGATCCGACCGAGCTCGTCACCGCGGGAGCTCCGGTTCTTGTGTTGCCGAAGCAGGGCTCCGCTCCAGCCAACCCTCGAGCGACTCGGACGTCGCGAGAGTCTCCCAACTCGGCGATCGTGGCGCCGATGCAATGTCAGCGCGCCATCCGCGCCCGCAGAAGCGGCGTCGCACCTCGGAGCGGAAGTTGAGCGACTCGAACGCGAGGTGGTCGGTCTTCTCGACGAGCGTGTCGATGCGTTCCCCGCGCGCCAGCACGCGGTCGATGTTGTCCAGCATGATGCTCTTCACGTTGTCGAGCTCGCCCTTGACCATCGCCACGCGGTCGAGGCCCGGGGTCGTCGAGAAGTACACCATGCGCTCCCGGAGGACGGGCGAGAAGTCCGTGTTGAGGGAGTAGGCCAGCGCGGTCGCCGCCGCTTCGCCGTGGGCCTGCATGAAGCGATCGCGCACGTCCTGCAGGAACGCGAACGCGACGCCGCGCGACAGCGCGCTCTGCGTCATGCACAGGAAGACCAGGCCGTCGGACTGCAGGATGTGGAACGAGTGCCGGTCCTGCGCGTAGGACGACCTGCAAGGGGAGAGAGTAGAGTTGGTGGGGCGTGTCGGGTGGGTGGTGCGGCGTGCATTCGAGGTAGGCGCAACCGAGTTGTATGTGTGAGTGGCGTTCGGCGCGTCGTGGGCCCGGGAAGGTCGAGGGCCGCGGCGTCGCGGCCCGGGAAGTGCTTGGACCAGGAGCGCGGGCTCGCGGGCGCTGCGTGGTCGGTTTGGATGGCCGGACTGTGGCTGCGGTGACGCTTCGGTCGCGTGGTCGCAGCCGCCGGTGCGCGGCGCGTGCTCGCTCGCGGCTGCCGCGGCGAACGGGTTGCGCTGGCCGTGGGACGCGCGACCGCGTCCTGTGGCGCGGGGGCCACGAGGGGAGCCTCGCACCTGACGTCCGAGATATCCAGCTGCGTGAGAATCTGCTGGGCGACGACGCCGCAGTTCCCGCTCATCTGCAGAAGCCACGAGGCGCTCAGGCAACGCGGTGAGGCGCGGCGCTCCCGCGGGCTCGCAGGGCCGCGCGGGCGAGGCGCGGCGGGCCGACCGCCTCCGTTCGAGCGCGGTCGAGAGCACTCACCCCGTCGGTCACATGCTCGCACAGCACCGCGGACTCCCTGGCCACCAAACTGTACAGGATTGCTGGGCCCCTGGAAGACCCCGCCATGGCTCTCGCGATCCGCGCTCCACGGCAAACCGCTCCTAGCTAGGTGCCAAGTCGCCGGGAACTGCAGTCCTCGGGCGCACGACCTCCGCGAGCTCGAAACGCGCGTCGAGTCGTGCAACCACTCTCGTGCTCGAGTTCCGAGGCTCACGCAAGACTGGACGTCAGCTGACTAAGCGCGAGGGCTCCTGGCACGCCGAACGCTCGAGAGTCTGCGCGGCGGGCAGCGCCGCACCCCCAACGTGCGCCGCGGGCGATGCGCGAGTCGGACGCCACTCGCCCCTGACTTGGCCTGGGCGTTCCGGGAGCCAGGCGGCACACCAGCCGCGGCACATGGCCCCAGCGGGCGGCGCACCGAGGCACTCGTGCGCCGACCTGCGTGTCTTCGTCTCTGCGTCGACCGGCTTGCACAGTTTGAGCAGCGGTGCGTTTCAGAACCTTGTAGCTTGGTCGAACGCGCCGGGACGACGGCGCGGCGCCCGCTAGAGCGCCCCGGTCGGGAGCTGCTGTGCTGGGGAGCGAAAGTGGTCGGCGGTCGTCGCATGGCTGCGCCCACGGAGGGCCCCTGAAGCCGGAGAGGAGGCGGGCCTGAGCAGGAGCGGGCGCGGCCAGAGCGCGCGAGTAGGCGTCGTCGCCCAGCATGCCGCCGAAGCTGAAACCCGCCATCATCCAGAGCAAGTATGAGCCGGGCGTGTTCTTCGTTCACGGCCAGCAGTGGTGCGCCCCCAGTGCCTGCATTCAGCGCAGCAAGCGCTTCCCCCGCGCGCGGCGTCGCAGAGCCCGCTGGGCCGGACGAGGCCGCGCCCGCGCGAGGAACGTGCACTGCCGTACCCAGCGGATCGCGACGCGTTGCCGCTGCGTGCCGCCAGCGGGCGCGAGGCGGGGCGCCTGTTCTGCGGTCAGTTGGGTCGCGCGCGCGAGCCGCCGCGGGCTCCTGTCCGGCGAAACGCGTCTGGTACGGCGCCTCGCCTGGGCGAGAGGCCAGGGACTCGGCCAAGATCGCACCATACTCGAATTCCGCGTCTCGCACCCTGTTGTGCAATGCACGCCTTCTCTCTGGAGGGCTGTGTCCTCCGCCAGGGCTTGACGCTGCGCCAGCTCCTCCACGAACCACGTCGCCTTGAGCGACTCCTTCGACGCCGCTCCACCTGCGTGTCAGGGTCCGTGACGGGAACACACTCCAGCGCGTCCTGCAGTGCGTCGCAAACGTCCGGAACACTGCCTCCGGACGTCCGGCGACGCACTGGAGGAGGCACTTGAGTGTGTGTCCATCATGGCCTGGACACGCAGGTGCAGCTACGCGAGGCGGCGTCGAAGGAGTCGCTCGTCGCGACACACGGTTGGCAAAGCAGCTGGTGTAGCGTCAAGCCCTGGAAGAGATCACAGCCCTCGGTCTCACCGAGCGCCCCCGCCCTGTCTCCTCCAGACACGCACGCGTTTCGGGGGTGGGCAGCTTCCCCACTGCCACGCCCTGCGTCACCGAGTCAGGCGACGTCAGCCCATGCGTTGCCGTCCCCACGCCCTGCCGACCGCAGGCGCGTGCCGGAGCGTTACAAGCTGGAGCGCGTCCTCGGCACGGGGTCGTACAGCAGCGTCTGCCTCGCGCTCGACCGCGCCACCGGCCGCCACGTGGCCCTCAAGCGCATCCCCAACGTCCTGGCGTCGTGCGAACAGGCGCGCCGGGTCGTGCGCGAAGTCTGCATCCTCCGCAGGTCCGCCGCAACACGACCGCGCGGGCAGCACTGGCCCCTCAACGCCGCTCGGACACACCCCCCCTTAACACCCCCACACCACCATCAACCGCGCAGGCTCTCGCACCCGCACATCGTGGGCCTCCACGACACCTTCGTCCAGGAGGCCTCCACGGGCGCGTGCCACATGGTCGACGGCAAGCTCGTGTGCGAGTCGCTCGACCTGTTTGTCGCCATGGAGGCGTGTCCCGACGGGGACCTGTTCGAAATGCAGGGGCAGCTCCCGGACGTCACGATCCGCGTCCTGATGCACCAGCTCCTCAGCGCGGTCGCGTACCTGCACGACCGCGACGTGTGGCACCGCGACATCAAGTCGGCCAACTGCCTGATCAAGCGCGCCGGCGACGGGCGGCCGCTCGTGAAGCTGTGCGACTTCGGCAGCGCGCGCCACGCGATCCCGCGCGGACACCACGAGAAGCCCCCCGCGGGCCCGCCCGAGGCCGGCGCGGGCAAGTCGGCCCTGACGCGCAACCTCACGCGCCTCAACAAGGGCAGCCTGTTCACGAACGCGCCGTTCGAGGCGCCCCTGACGTGCACCGTGGCCACGCCGTGCTACCGCGCGCCCGAGGTGGTCATGTCGCGCGGCGGGTACGACGCCGCGGTGGACATCTGGGCCGTGGGGTGTATCTTCGCGGAGCTCCTGATGCGCCTCGACCGCGTCGGACAGGCCGCGGTGCCGGGCCTCAAGGTCCAGCCGCTCTTCGGTGCGCGCCCCGCCGCCGGGGACCCGGTCCCCCTCCTCGCTCGCGTGTGTGTCGTGCATCGCGCACGTCTCGCCGTCTGACGGAAACGTCGCGAAGCCGTGTGCGTGCAGCGATCTACGGCGAGTACGGCGAGCCGCCGACGCCGTCGCCGAACCACGCGACCTTCGGCAGCGACCAGGACGACTCGACGACGCGCCGGGAACTCAACGCGCTGTTCGACGTCATCGGGACGCCCGCGTGGGCGTGCATCGAGAACATCTCCGACGAGAACTGGCGGCGCTACCTCCACCGCCTCCCCGGCCGCGCGCCGACGCTGTACCGGCGGTTCAGCCACGCGGGGGAGCCTGCGGTGGACCTCCTGTCGCGCATGCTCGCGTTCGATCCGTCGCGGCGGTGCTCCGCGGAGGAGGCGCTGCGGCACGAGTACTTCGCGCCCGTGCGCGCGCAGGCCACGCCGCGGGCGTCCGTGCGGGAGGCCGCCGCGGCGAGCGCCGCGCAGCCCATCGCCGGCGCGGGCGGGAAGCGCGCGGCGCCCCCGAGCCGGAACGCGTCGTTCCTCGCGAGCGAGCACAGGGCCTCGCGCGGCAAGATCGCGCGCACGGGCGGCTGCTCCGGCGACGACGACGTCGACGTCGACGACCCGCACCTGAACACGGAGGGCCTCCGGGGGTCTCTCGAGAGCATGGCCCTCGACGGCGACCTCCCCGGGGGCCCGCTGCAGCGCGCCGCGTCGTACCTGGACGAGCCCGACGCCGCGCGCGCCATCAGCCTGCTCGAGGGGGAGATCGAGCGGCACGTCGACGACAAGGCGCACCTGCGGGCGCTGCTGGTGCAGGAGTGCGAGCGGTTCGCGGAGGGCGGGCGCGGGGGCGGCGCGGGGCGCGCGGACGCGGGCGGCGCGGAGAGCGGCGACGAGGAGATGGAGGGCGGGCGCGGGCAGGCGGGGGGCGGCGCGTGGCCGGAGTGGGGCTGGGCCAGCAAGGGGGGTCTCGAGGAGGACTCCGGCAAGGCGGGGGACTGCGGGGAGGGCGCGGGGCAGCGGCGCGTGGGCGGGCGGGACCGGCTGGCTGCGGAGGGGCATCTGGAGGACGGGCGGCACCGGGAGTGGGGCCTGATGCGCGGGGGCGGGTGGACGATGGAGGCGGCGCGGACGGCGCAGGCGACGGACGGGGCGCGGTGGGGCGTGACGTCGGTGCCGCCCGGGTGCGACGCGGGCGACGCGGCGGCGTACAACAAGGTCATGTCGTCGCAGCACGCGCGGTAGCGGCGCAGCGGCTGACGTGAGGTGTTACACCGTCGCAAGAGAACTTCCCTCACAGCGAGCCCCTTCACTTGGGGCGACCAAGCCTGGTCCGCTTGAAGCGTTGCGCGTGCAGCCAGGTCCCTGAGAGCGTCCAGCGCGTGGTCCGACGCGCGCCCCGCCTCACGCCGAGGGCTTGGACTCCTTGAGTCCGCCGTCGATGGGGAAGGCCGGCTTCAGCGCCATGTCGGCGCCCTTGCGGCCCTTCTGCTGCGCGCGGTAGTAGTTGACCATGTTCATGATCTGCAGCCGCGGCCCCGGCGGGATCTTGGCCTCCTGCAGCGCCCCGTCGTTCAAAAGGAGCAGACACTGGTCGTCCAGCATGGCCTTCTTCATGTTCTTCTCGTACTTCTCGAGACCGAGCTGCTCGAGCATGTAGCTCACGCGCACGTAGTCCTCGTCCGCCGCCTTGCCGCCCCCGAACGACTGCCCGATCTTGTAAAACACCCCCTGGAAGGCCGCGAAGAGGCCCCCGGTGGTCACCGCGCCCTCGAACGTGATGCTCCCCGTGTCGATGCCGTTCACGACCGAGAACGCCGCGCCGGACGCGAACGCGCCCGTGATCCTGCGCGCGAGAGCGGGATGTGGGCGGACGCGTGAGTGCGGGCGTCCGCCGCAATGCTGGACTGACTCAGGGCGAAGGGTTGTGGCGGGCGCGGCGGCGCGCGGGCACGCACGCGTTCCAGACGTCCTCTACATTGTCCCGGGCGCGCTTGGCCGCGAGCGTCACGCCCGAGTTCACGCCGAGCAGGATGGCGAAGTTGCGCGCCATTGCCGCTGGCGTCGTCTGCACACACGGGGCGCGAACGGTCCGCGCGTGAGGCGCGGCGATCGGGGACGCAGCGCTCCACTCGGAAGCATCTTGCGCGAACAGTGAGCCGCCCCGAACGGCCCCGTGCGGTGCGTGCGTGCGGGGAATCGCCGCCTGAGATGAATCAGATGACGTGCGACGGCGCAGGCGCGTCGACGTGCGCGGCCCGCTGTCGCGAATTCCGCCTGGAACCAGAGGGGGCCCGGTCGCGCGGTTCGCAGGCACTGGCGCCCGCCGTGCCCGCCGGCGTAGCGGAGTTGGTTTCAGCTGCCGGGACGTCAGGGCGCCGCCCGCGATACACGGCGCCCGAAGCAAGCCTACACACGCCGCCACCCTTCGACGCCAGTCCACACGGTTCCAAATCGAGGCGTTTCCGCCGAGCACACGCCCCCCCGAAGCCGGCAGCCCCCGGCAACAGCTGCCCCGCCGGCCTCCTCGCGCGTAGCTCCGCGTCCCAGCGTCGCGTCGCGGCGCGAGGCCGCCGCGCCGCCCGTCTCGCCCCGATCGCCCCCCTCGCGCGCCGGATCTGCCGCAGGCGCGCCTGTGCGTCGTCCGGGCGCACCTGATTGCCCATCATCATGTTAGCCATGGGCCCTATGTCCGCCCCGGACTCCTTCGCGCTCTCCATGAGCTTCTGGTTGAGGAACGTGAACGTGAAGCCCATCACCGCGCCCGTCGCCGCCTGCTGCAGCCCCACGAGGAGGCATTCCACCGGCGGCGGCTGCTTGGCCACCCACGCGCCTGCCCTGTCCCCCAGCTCCGTCAACTTGGCGAACGGCCCGTCGGCCGGCGCCTTCTCCTTCGTCGGCATCGCGTCACGCTCCCTGCTCCGAACCCCTCGAGGAGCAACGGCGCCTCTGCGCCGCGGACCCCGCGCCGCGCGGCGATGTGGCGGGCAGCGGCTGCCTCGCGCACCCCTGGGGGTGTCCTGGCACACCCCCCCGGACTTCGGAGCGCGCGTGGGCGGGCGCGCGGTGCCGCGAGGTATAGAGGAAGCGCCTCGCGCGCTGCGTCTGTGCGCGGCTCCGCGGAGCACTGCCAACACGCCTGAAGACTGTGTCACGACTTGCGGACGACATCACGCGCGGCTATCGCGCCACCGCGCCCCCGCTTCGGAGCTCCAGCCCCGCCGCGCTGTCCGAGGAGCGCAGCTGGCAACCGCGGTGGACCGAGGTGCGCGCGGGGGGATGTCGGGGTGCTACACACACAGTCGAGCGCTTTTACATCCCCTGGCGCGTGCCGCGGCGTCCGGGAGCCCCTTCGGGCCGCTCCAGCGGCGGCTTCGTGCAGGTCTTCCATCGTACTTCGTCGCTGGCGTGAACTAGGCCATCGTTGCGTCCGCACCACGCGCAGAGCGACCCCGCGGCAAGCGCGCTGACGGAGCGCATCGGGCAGCTCCCCGCAGCAGCGCCGCGGCGAGGGGGTCGATTCGTGGCCGGACTCGCGACGTCACAGGCAAGATGCCGCCCCCGGGGCGCGCAACGTCAAAGAAGGGGGGTCTGAGCGCAGGGACGCAGGAGTTCTTAGCAGGTGGGTCTCGGAGACAAGGCGGGCTGTGTCGGACACGGCAGATCGCGTCGTGCCTTGATTCGCGTCCGCAGACCATGCACAGTTTTCGGACCGTCACGTTCTTCCCGTCGCGCGTCCTCGGGAGTCCCTCGCGAGCCCGCTGCTTCGACTCCATCTGACGTGCAATAAGACGAAATAGCGCCGTGTTGAAGCCATTTCAGCCAATATCTCTGGTGCGTCCGCCACTCTCAATGCCGCAGAGGTGCTCAACGAGACGGGGGCGTCGCGGCGACTGCGGAGCGAGGTGCTTACGGGCGCCAAGCAAGGCACGGACTGGGTGGGCGCGCTCAGCACGCGCACGCCGAACCGGCACGTGTCCTCGACGATGCGGCAGTCCGAGACGCTCCGGAAACAGACGATACAGAAGCACCAGCCCCGGATGATGCACGTCGGGGCCGCAAAGCCCGGGAAGAAGATGGCAGACACAATCTTCGAGGAGACTGGACGATACGAGCGGGAGAAGTTCACGGTGCGACGCCCGAGAGGGCCACGCCAGCGCGGTCGACCTCCTGCGCAGCCCGCTCGAGCCGCCCTGTGCGCCCGAAACGAGCTGCGTGTTGCTGCGCGTGCACGCGCGTGATGCAGGGCGGGGGGCCGGTGGTGGACCGGGAGGCGGAGAAGGACCGGCTGGCGCTGGCGAACGAGGTCGGGCGGAAGGAGGCCGCGCGGATCCGGAACGCGCAGCTCGCGAAGCAGCGCGCCCCGCCGCCCGCCGCGTGCGCGCCATCGCCCCCGCGTGACCCGCGCGAGCTCCTGATCGACCAGCTGGTGGACGAGGTGCGGGAGCGGCGGGAGTGGCTCGAGGACATGCGGGCGCGCGGGCTCTCCGCGCCGTACGAGGAGGAGACCACGAAGGAGATCCGGGAACGCCTGTCGCGGCTCAGGACCCTGGGGTACTGACGTGGCGCGTGGGGCGGGGCGGCGCGGCGGCGCGAGGTCTCGGAATCACAGCGGGGACCTCGCGGGCCTCCGGGGCGCCGTCGCGGGCCGACGGCGGCGTCGCTATGTGATGCCGCGCGGGCCGATGCGCACGCGGTGTGTGCGTGCGCGTGTTCAGAGGGGCACCGCCTGGCGGTAGTCCTGCGGCTGCATGCCGCCGTCGTCGAGCGGGGTGAAGTAGTCCTCCGCGGCGCGCCGGCGGCCGAGCTTGGCCCGGATCCAGTCCCACACCCCCACGGCGACGTCCATGGCCAGGCTGAGCGACGCCAGCGCGCGCTCGCGCATCCCGTCGTTGGCCACCTTCTTCCAGAACACGCCGCACGTCACGCCCACGATGCCCAGCACCATCACGAACACGAACACGTCGCGCACCACGTGCCTCTTCCGCCTACCGCGCCGCTTCTTCTTCTTGTTGTCGTCGTCGTCGTCGTCGTTGTCCGAGTCGTCCGAGTCGTCCGAGTCCGCCCCGGCCTTGTGGCCCTTGCCGTCCGTGTCCGACACGATCGCCGCGAGGTTGTCGCACTGGTCCCCCGCCACGAGCCGCTTCCCCGTCGCGCTGGCGTAGTAGTCCTTGTTGTCGAGCAGCGGGCACCACCCGCGGCGCAGGCGGAGCGGCTCGCACGTCCGCGTGCCGTCCTGGTGCAGCACGGGCGTGTGCGTGGGCTCGCACTGCAGGTCCGCCGCGTCGTCGCACGCGCACGCGTCCCCCGCGGCCTTCGTGCGGTCGTACTCGCGCCCGTTGAAGCACATCGCGTCCTTCTTCCGCACCTGCACGTGGAACTGCCGGCCGAGGACGCACCCGTTGGGCGTGTGGCTCTGCCAGTCCTGGTAGTCGTCGTCGCCGCACTCGGCCATCCCGTCGCCGTTGTTCACCCACTTGCGCACGTCGAGCGCCGCCACCTTGCCGCGCGGCGGCGCCGCCTGGTCCCGGTCGCACGTCTTCGCCTGCGGGTAGAACTGCTGGTCCTGGACGCAGTCCGTGCCGTGCACGAGGAACATCGTCGTGCTGCCCATCGGGTCCACGCGGATGTTGTGCACGTCCATGGCCGCGTCGAGCTTGATGTCGTACCAGCACTCGCCGTAGTTGAAGCTCACGTGCACGCGGTCCGCGGGACCGAGCGAGTAGTGCCGCGCCATGACCAGCACGCCGCCGTGGTCGCCGTACTCGTAGATCATGGGCCCGACCGCCACGTCGGTCCACGTCTGCCCGCCGTCGGTGGACAGGAAGGTGCACATGGCGTCCGCGTCGAACGAGAGCTGCGGGCCGACATTGCCCGAGGCCATCACCACGCCCGGCGCGCTGTGGTGCGCGTACACGGGCGGGCGGTACGTCCCGTCGACGCCCGCGCTGCTGGTGTGGTGCAGGTGGAGGCTGCACAGCCGCGGGTCGGCGTTCGCGGGGCACCGGTTGCACACGGGGTACTGGAACGTGTCGGGCGTCTTGACCATGCTCCACATCCCGCCGCTGTTGAAGGTCACGCGGCTCTGCACGAAGTCCTTCACGTCGACCAGCCCCGTGTGCGGGTCGATCACGGACATCGCGCGCGGGTCCACGGCGTTCGCGAGGAAGAACCCCGGGATGCCGTGCACCGCCGCGATGTCCGGCAGCGACCCCCACAGCACCCGCGGGAGGCTCACCGCGAACACCGCGCCCTTCTCCTGCGAGGCGTACACGTTGCCGATCGGCGCGCGCGCCACGAAGTCGTCCTCCTCGTCGTGGTCGACCACCAGCAGCGCGCCCGCGGGCAGCCCGTCGAGGCCCTCGGGCGTCACCACCGTGTACGCGAGGTCGAGGTCGCGCGAGGGCACGCAGACCAGGTGCCACTCGTCCGCGCCCATGTCGGGCGAGACCCACAGCGTGAGCGTGGACGCGTCGGAGCGCGGACGCGGCTTGTGGTATGACTCGGGGCCCTTGCACGTGCTCGGCATCGCGACGTAGACCTGCCCGCCGAGCACCTCGAACTGGTTGCCGCAGTCGAGGAGGTGCACGTTGGTGCCCGCGGGGTTGGCCGGGTCGTCGATGCGGACGAAGTGGACGTCGTCGGCCCACGCCGGCGACAGGCCCTTGTCCGCGTCCTCGTCCTCGTACACCGTCGCGAACACGGCCAGGTCGCCGCGCTGCACGTCGCCCTCGGCCTCGCCCTTCTGCCGGCGCGCCGCGGCCGCCCACCCCCAGTCCACGAACCCGTGGAAGGCGCCGCCGCTCGCGGCCGTGATGTTGACCCACTGCCCGTTCTCGCCGAAGCTGTCGTGGTACAGCAGGTCGTGCGTGCACCACGGCTCGCTGAACGTGTTGGCGTCCAGGCACCCGGGCCGCGGCATCCCGATCAGAACCTTGTCGGCGTCGTACGGGTGCATCGCGAACGCGCTCCCGAGCCCGATGCACCCGTCGGGCAGCTTGAACGTCGCCCACGTGCCCCCGTGGTCGTGCGAGATCCAGTAAAAGGGCCCCACGCCGCGCACCGCCACCGTCTCCGGGTGCTCGTGGTGGATGTGCACCTCCAGGACGCCCGCGAGCATCGGGTCCACGTGCAGGTCGCCCGTCGACACGCAGCCCTCCATCTTCTCCGTGACGTCCACCCACGACCCCTGCGCGCGCGAGCGGGAGGACGGTACAGCGAATTGCGAGCGTGCGCTGCGTGCCGCGGGGTGCGGGCGGGGGCGCGCGGCGCGGCGCGTCCGCAGGGGGGCCGGCGGGCGTCGCACCGCGTCGCCGTGCGCGGGGCTGCGGAAGAGCCGTCCTCCAGCCTCGGCGTCCGTGCCGGTGGTGAGGGCGAGAATGATGCTGTCGTCGCCCGCGTCCGTGCCCGTCCAGTACACGTCGAGCACGTTCCCACCTGCGAGTGCCGTCCGCGGGGGAGGCGCGCGGTCGGGCTGCTGCGGGCGCGCGGCCGGGGGCGGTCGCGCGGTGCGAAGCTCACGCTGACCGGCCGGGGGCGCGGGGCGCGACGCGCCGCGGGAGTGACCGTCGCGGCCCCGGTCGCCGTAGCCGACGTCGTCTCGAGCCGCGTCGCGCTCGGTCGCGGGAAGGCGCCGCCGCGAGGCGCCGCGGCCGCGGTTCCCACCACGCAGGCGGAGGGAGGCGCGCAGCGCCCGGCAGGGGCACGCCGGGCAGCGCACGCGATCGCAAACGCCCCACGGAGACGGCTCCGCCGCGCACGTCGAGGCGCGGGTGGTCGCGGCGGGCGGCAGGGCGCACCGTTGAAGGTCTCAGTGACCAGCGGCACGTCCTTCATCTTGGGGTCCTCGCACTGGAGCGACCTGGCTAGCTCAGGGGACACCGCCCATGCTACAGCTATGACGAGCGCGAGCAGGACGGCCAGCAGGCCCGGGGCCGCCGGCCGCGCGCGCATTGCCCCCGAGTGCTTCCCGCGAGGGGTGCCCGCGTGCCTGAATCACCGCCTCCTGCGGGGCCGTCGTGCGACGCGGGGCGAGGACCGCTCGGGCGGGTCCGGATCTTCGCGCGCGCCGACTCGCGACGCCGCCACGTGCCGCGTGCGCCCCGGGCGCTCGTTCGCCCGCTGCAAACGCCGAGCTCTCGCCACCGGCGGGGTGCTCTGGCGATCCCGCGCCTCTGGTCGGCTCGCGGTGGGTCGCTCTGGAAGCGTGGGTCTCTTCCGGGGGCGCGTGGGGCCGGCGCAAAGACGGCGTGCGGCGGGACAGAGGGAGGTCTGTCAGCGCCCCACCAGGCCCTCACGCGGGCCGCGGGCGCGCGCGACGCTGCTGGCGCCGCGCCAGCCGTGAGACAGAGAACGCGAGCGGCGCGGAGCGGGCAGTGCGGGGCTCGTGGCGCACAAGAGGAGCGGAGAAGGCGCAAGTTGTTCTCACAGTCTTGATTTCTCGGCCCAGCGGACCAGAGGACGGCACCCTCGCAGCGCGCCCCGCGGCTCGACGGCCCGGAGCACACGGCGCAATCTAGTGTTGCCTCTCGACCACCTTCATCGCGTGCAGCGACGTGGGAGCCTTGTATGGGGGGAACTCGGGCTCTTTCGCGAAGTACGACTTCTTGATCGGCATGCCGACGGCATACGCCGTAATGGCTGCGGTGTGCAGGGGCAGCGTGCACGCGTGAGAGGGACGCGGGGCGCAGGCGGCGCGAGGGGCGCACGTCCAGGCCGCTCCGCAACAGCGCGCGCCTCCACGCAGTGCTGTGGGACGCCCCCGGGTGCGGCGCGCGCGCCGTGTGTAGCTCTGACTGTCGCCATGCGAGGGGGGCAGCGCTGGGCGGCGCGGTGGCGCCGCAGCGCGGGAAGTGCGCCGCTTGCAGACGCCAGGTGCATCCGTCCACGGGGCGCCACGGCGCGCAGGGGGCCTGGCGCCCGCTGCCGACGATGCGCGGTGCCTGCGTGGACGACGACGCACCTGCTCCGGACAGGACGAGCGACGTGGTGATCCACGGCTCGCGGTAGAGCCAGGTGACCAGCGCCGACTTCATGCCCATCTTTCTCCGCGCCCGCGCCGTCCCGGCCTCGACCCTCGCGACGCGAACCTCCCGCTTCGCACGTGGATACCGTATGTGGTGTCTCGGAGATGCGAGGCGCGCTCCGCACCGCGTGCGCCCGAGCGTGAGTTCACTTCTTGCACAAGAACACGAAACTCTCTCGTTTCGAACTCCGTGCCTTGACGTTTCGCACGATCCCTTACGTGCCGCGACCTCGCCGGTCCAGCGGGCATTGTTTCGCGTGGCCAGCGCGGCTGCCCAGCCTGAGTCGGCGACACCTCCGCTCTGGTCCCGGTGCGACCGGGGCCGCCCGGCGCCGTCCGCCGGCGTTGCCGCCGCGCATCGCCGCGGCGCGTAGTTTGCGCGGCGTGCATGCGCTTCCGGCGCGGAAATTCCCTCGGGAGCGCATGTCGACGTCACCGTCGCGGCCGGAAGGCCTGCAGGAGGCGACCCCGCCCTTCACGCCCGAGACCGCCCTCGGCGGCGGGCACAGGCTCCCCCTCACGGTCCCGAGCACCGCCATGTTCCTCGGCAGCGGCGCGTACTCGGCGTCGTCCCCGGGGGCGAGCGACAGGACGGGCGAGCTGGAGCTAGCAGGGCGGGCGCGGGAGCCCGGCGCGATGCCGCAGAGGGCCCGGGCGAGCGGTCTCGGGCCGGAGCGGCCTGTATTGGGCGACGACGCGCGAGCGGACAGGCCCGCCGAGGCGACGCTGGCCAGTCCCGGGTGGCTGGGGGACCCCACCGCGGCACGCAAGCTGTCGTGGAAGGCGGGGCGGAGCTCGTCGGAGCGCGACGCGACAGGTACGAGCACGCCGCTGCGTAGCTCCGCGTGGGACCGACGCGCGGCGGGGCTGCCGCCGCGAACATGCGCAGGGGCGGAGTCCGGGCGCGCGTCATCGCCGCTGACCGGACCCGCGCGACCGCGACCCCCTCCGCGCAGACGCCGGCGGTGACGATCCAGGCCTCAGCTTCGCCGGCCTCGGTGCCTCGGACGGTCTCTTCTTCTCGGAGGTGCGCGCCGCCACTTCCTTAGACCTGACGCGACGTGAGGCCCCCCTGGGCGCGCGCGGGGCCGACGCGCCCGAGGCAGGGGTTCCGCGGCGGAGATCAACGTGTCTCGCTCTCCCTGGCCCTCCTGCGGCCCTCTCGCCGTCACGCGGTTGTTCGAGCCACCTGACAACAGGCAGCACGCACCCCCACCGCCCCACGCAGCTCATCGGGGGGCGCGACGCGATGGACGACGCGTTCGAGGGCCTCCCCGAGCCCCCTCCGCTCACCGGCGACACTCCCCCCCGCACCAGCGCGCGCTCCGCCACCGCCCCCGCCCCCGCCACGCGCAAGCTCAAGGCCGCCGTCGCGCACACCGCGCCCCGCCGGCCGCCCGCGCGGGACGCACGCGCTTTCGTCTCCCTCGCCGCGCGGCTCGACTCCGCCGCGCGCAGCCCCCCCGCGGCCCTGCGCCACAGCCCGTCAGAGACGAGACTCCCCACCCCGAGCGCCCTGCGCAGCTCAGCGCCGTCCACGCCGGCGCGGTCCACCGCGCAGGAGCCCGCTGCGCCCGCGCGCCCGCACGCGTCCGCGCGGAAGCCCGCATCCCGCGCGCCTTCGCCCCCGCGCACACGCACCACCCCCGCCCCGGACCGCCGGCCGCGGGTCCCCGCCGCGAGCGCCCTGCGCGCCGCTCGGGCCGCGCCCAGCACGGACGCCGCGGGGCCGCGCAGGTGCAGCGCGTGCGAGGAGGCGGCCCGGAGCGTCGCCGTGCTTGCCGAGGAGGTCGGCAGCCTGCGGGCGGCGGGGCGCGCGCTGTCGGGCCAGGTGGCGGAGCTGCGGGAGCAGATGGCGGCGGAGGCTCGGCGTCCTGACGCCGCGCAGCCGCCGGGCAGCTTCGAGCCGCGTGCGCCACGTGGGCAGCAGGAGCAGCACCCGGGGCAGCATGCGGCGACGACGGGCTCGAGGCGGCACTTCGACTTCGCGGCGAGGGGAGGTGCGCTGCCCACTTGGCTTGCTCGCGGACGTGGCCGCCTCTGCGGGACGGACCCGCTGCGGGTTGATGCGAATGACATCGAACGCGATGTATGTGCCTAACCCGCAACGCGCGTTGCAGACTGGCGGTGGCGGCGGCTGGCGATGGCGCCGCTCAACCTCACGTCCGTCTGGGCGGACCGCGCGTGGACGCGCGTGTGCTAGCGCGGGGCGGCGCCGCCACGGGGGCCCGGGCGCGCCGCTGTGACACTTAGTGCTCCGTTGTCCTTTGCTTTCGCGGTGCGGGCGCCGCTGCGGACCACGCGGGGCCTGCGCGCGCGTGGTCGTCCGGACCGGTGCAGCGAGTTCACGTGCGCGTGATGACGCGCGCCACGTGGGAAAAGGAAGATGGTGTGTCAACGCGGGCACCGCGGGATGGAAGTGAAAGTCGCGGCGGGGTCGGACGCGCGGCTGCCTGTGGACCCGCTGTGGTCGTGGTGCCCCGCGCTTGCTGCCGGACCATCCATGCCGCGTGCGGGCTGCAGCGGGCGGGCGGTCGTTGATGCCGGCTCCTGGTGGGCGCCCGCCCAGTGCGCTCGCGGGGGCGGAATGAGCGACGGCGGTGCGGCGCTGCGGGTACAGTGAGATATCTGCGCCGACTCGCGTGGGCGCCGGCAGTAAGATCCACGGTCCGGAGCGCCCCACGCGCCTGGTAGGTCCCCGTCGGCCCCCCAGCGCTGTCGACGCGGCCTCTCCGGGCCCCAAGACGGGCGCTTCCTGCGAGCCCTGCACAGAATCGTGCAGTGCGCGGCCCATGGTCCCTTGTTTCCACGCAGCGGCATCGCAACGAGCAGCGAAGTCAGAGTACTAAGCACGGGCTCGTGCCGGCGCCGAGCGGTCTGGAACACGCCTGGGAGGCCGCGGACCGTCGTCGAGGGTAATTTTCTAGCGATCCGGTCCAGTCGGGAGCGATGGGGAGGCACATAACGGCGAGCGCCGTGAAGGCCAAACCGCCCTTCAGGTGCGAGATCCCGACCGCGTGCATATGCGACCGGCCGACGGCCGAGATCTTTCGGCAAAGATCCGACCCATCGCCCGCGAGCCTCGACGCCGCCCCCCGGGCCGCCTGGGCCGCAACGAGTGCGTCGCAGTCCATGGTGCATCTCTCCACTCCTCGAACGGGTCGCAGCGGGCCCACACACCCGCGGACCCTGGCGCACTTGATGCCGCGGACGCCCCCGCGCCGGCCCGCGTGCCCGCGGGCTCCCGTGCCCCGCCCCAGCCCCAAACGGATCCGCCTCTGCTGCCACACTTCCCAGCAGCGGCGGAGCGCGCGCCCCGGCCGCACGAGCAGCGCGGACCGCCCGCGGCGCTCTCTGTGCCCGCGGCGACGCCCCGGCGCCGCCGACGCGCCCCCTGCGTCCGCGTCGAGGCCGCGGGCGCGCCACTGGGCCCCTCGAGTGTTGCTAGCTGGCCGCAGAAAGCGCGCGATTCCCGCCCGCCCGTGCGCCCGCCCGCTCCGCAGTTGGCCATACGTCTCGAAGGCATGCCCCGAGGACATGAAACGGGGGGCGTGGGAGCCGGGCCGCTTCCACCAGGTGCGCGGTCGCCCGCCTTGGCCGATCAACTGCTCCCGCCGGCCACCCGCCGCGCGCGCCCGCGCAGCCCCGGGCCCCGCGAGCGCGCCCGAGCCGCCCCCGGCGACGCCCGGGGTCCCCCCGCGACGGACGCGTCGGTCGCGGCCCCGCGGTGCCCGCGAACGACCCACCCGCGCTCGCTGCTCCCTCCCGCCTCCTTCGTCTCCGCGCACGCACGCGACCGCGCCCGGCGCGGACTCGCGGCCGCCGGCGCGCCTCCGCCGCGCGTCGCGGCTGCGGGGCGCGCGTCGCGGGGGCAGATGCCCCGTCGGAGCCGCGAGGCTGCGTGCAGCTGCGCGGCGGTTGGCGGGCCCTCCACGCCCCCGGACGTCGCGTGCGCGCGATCTTTGGCGCCGTTCCTTCGCGCACCGGCCAGCACCAGCCGCGCCCGCGCCGCGCGTCCGACGCCCCGCGCCCACGCGCCCGCCCGCGCCCGCAGGTGCTGTCCCTGGGCACCGGCGCCAAGAGCAAGGTTGTGCTCGCACTCGACCGGGTCACGTCGGTGCAGGTGGCGCTCAAGATCATCAGGTGAGCGCAGCGCTGTCGCCCGGCGCGCTCGGACGCGGCCCCGGCGCCGCCCGCACGCCGCGCCGCCAACCCTACGCGCGTCGTCGCGCCGCCAACCCTCCGCGCGAGCTTCGACGCCGGCCCGCCCCGTTCCCGGCGCCCCCCGCAGCCGGAAGAGCCTGAGCCCCGCGGAGGTGTCCCAGCTGGAGCGCGAGATCTGCATCCACGGCAAGCTGTGCCACCCGAACATCCTGGCCATGTGGGCGGCGTTCTGCGACGACCAGAAGTTCTACATCATCACCGAGCTCGCCGACAGCGACCTCTACAAGCGGGTGCGCGCCCCCGCCGCCCGCGACGCCGCCCGCCGCGCGCCCTCCGCCCCGCGCCGCGCCCCGAACCCCCCCCGCGCTCGCGCCCGCTCCCTGCAGCTCCCGCGCATGCCCGTGTCGGAGGTGGCGCTGGTGCGGCGCGTGGTGCACCCGCTGCTGTGCGCGCTGGAGCACTGCCACGCGAACGGCGTCATCCACCGCGACCTGAAGCCGGAGAACATATTGTTCAACCAGAAGAACCAATTGAAGCTGGCCGACTTCGGACTGGCCATCGACGTGACGCACGACCGCCCGATCACGCGCCTCGGGACGCTCGACTTCATGGCGCCCGAGGTGCTCATGTCGGGCCGCAAGACGATCGAGGGCGTGCGCAACGAGGTGCAGGCCGTGGCGGGCAACGAGATCCCGCGCGAGCAGCGCGCGGCGTACTCGTCCGCGGTGGACTCGTGGTCCGTCGGCGTCATCGTGTACGAGCTCTTCGCGCGCGTCACGCCCTTCTACCGCCCCACGCGCGGCCAGACCATCCAGGCCGTGTACGGCGCCTCCTTCTCCTTCCCCACCAAGGCGCACAAGGACGGCACCGACGTCTTCGGGGCCAACCTGCGCTCCTTCTGCCACGCCACGCTCTCGCGCGACCCCGCCCGGCGCGCCGACGTCAACACGCTGCTCGAGCACCCGCTGATCACCGCGGTGTGCGGGCCGCCGCCGGCGGGGCCGCCGCAGCACGTCGCGTACGGCGCGCAGCCGCCCGCGGACGCGGACGTGGACGCCGCACGGGAGGCGCCGTTCGTCAAGGTGGCGCACCGCGGGTCCGTCGACACGGGGCAGGACCGCGTGGCGTCGGGGGCCATGTCGGCCGCGCCCAACGTCGCGCTGCGGATGCGGCAGTCGCTCGACGTGCGCGGGCTGGAGGCCGCCGCGAGCGCCCCGCGCGGGCACGCGTCGAGCTTCCTGCAGTCGCCCGTCGGGAAGGGCGCGCCCACGCGCCCGCCGGGCGCCCCCGAGGCGCAGCCGCGCGACAGCAGCATGAGCGTGCTCTACGGGCTGTCGCGGCGGCGCATGTCGGTGACGTCGGAGAACGAGGAGAACGACTCGCCGGAGAGCAGGCAGGCGGACTCCAGCCTGCTCGTCGCGGACCAGGGGCAGGTGCCGCCCGCCGCGGGGCGCGCCAGCATGGGCGCCGCCACCATGCGCGCGGCGCCGACCCCCACGGCCCCGCGGCCCGTCCCGCCGCAGCTCGGGGCGCCGGTCGACCACCAGGCGCGCGCGCGGTCCATCCTCGCGGCCGGCAACAGCTCGTCGGCGCTGGGCGTCACCACCGCGCCCGGGCTCTACGACGGCAGCGCGCACAGCCGCGGCCGGTCGTCGGACCCGCACGACCAGGGCGCGAACACGCCGTCGGGCAAGCCCAAGGCGAGCGGGTCGGACAGCTCCGGCGACGACAAGAAGCGCAGCATCGAGTGCTCGCGCGTGTCGGACAACGGCGGCGCGCTGCTCGACGAGCGCACCACGATCAAGACCGACGACGCGACGCAGCTGGCCAAGCTCAGAGACGCCAACACGTCGCGGCTCCTGCACATGAAGCTCCAGGCGGTCGCGGAGGAGAAGGGCTCGGACGGGCCCAGCGCGGCGGTGGCCGAGCCCCCGCCGCCGGCCAAGGCGCAGGACAGGGCCCCGCCGCGCCGGTCGGGGCTGCTCAGCCTATTCGGCCTCTCGCGGCGGTCGTGACGCGGCGTCGCCGGCGACGCGCCTTGCTCGCGCGGGCGGGCGCTGCCGTGATGCACCGCGTCGCGCGCGCCCCGCCAGGCCGCTCTGCGATCCCGGTCCCCCGCCACCCGCATGCTTGTCCCCCCTTGGTCCACAATCGCCCCCCTCCTCTGCCGGGGCGCCCCCGCCCCCGCCCCCGCCCCCTCCACACACGTGGTGTACGCGTACGACAAACAGAAACGAGGCCATCCTGCGCCACGCGCCGGCAAACTTGACCGGCCCGCAGAATCGCCGCGCAGGATGCATAGTGCTCGTGCTGGCGCTCGTGGGTGCCGGCGGCCCGCTACCGGACCGCAGCGAACCGCTTTGTTGCCCCGCCGGCCTGTCGCTGGCCTGGCGCTTGCAGCACGCCTACCTCTCGCTTTCGACGCGCAACGGCGGATCCGCTGTCCCGACACCGGCGCGCGTGCAGCTGCGGGCGCGCCCCGAGGCAGGGGCCCCCTCTGCACGCCCCCGGGTCGGTAGAACAAGGACTCCCCCTACAATCACCAGAACCCCCCCTTCCGTCCCCCACCACGTGAGTCATGCATTCCCGCATTAGTTCTCCCCCTCTCACAGCTCCCTCCCCACCTACGCGCATGGAACCAGGCCCCCCCGGAGCGCCTGGTGTCCTGCGGCGCAGACAGGTAGCATCGGTCGTCCCGCGCCCGGCCGCGCGGCCCTGCCTCTCCAAACGTGCGCCCCTGCGGGCGCGAGAGCTCGGGCGCGGGTGGCGGAGCGAGGAGCCCCCTCGCGTCCCTGGCGGCTCCCTGTGTCTGGTGCCGAGCGTGTGAGCTCTGGAGAACGCCCCGCGTCACAGTCGCACGGTCCCGCCCGCCGATTCGTCACCGCCCGTCGGGAGCGGGGGGCGCCGCTAGTCAGAAGCGAACAATCGGAGCAAGTCGCGCTACGCCGCCTGTGCCCTGGCGGCAATGTACTCCATGGCCGCGGCCTTGACGCGCTCGGCGCTCGCGGCGTCGCCGTGCTTGCGCTCGTAGTCGAGGTACTTCTTGAACAGGAACTTCATCTTCTTCGGCGGCAGCCCGAGCGCCGTCGCGCGGTCAAACAGCGCGCGCGTGCGGGCCTGGTCGCCCTGCTTCACCTCCTGGTCGAGGTACACGCTCCAGAGGTCCGTGCGCTTCGGGTAGTTGCGCAGGATCCCCTCGAACATCCCGCGCGCGCGCTCGGGCGACCCCAGCCGGAACTCGAGCAGCGCGGCCTGCGTGATGCACTTGACGTGCTTGCGCCGCGGCAGCGCCTGAAGCGCGCGCTGCAGCACCCCGCGCGCGGCCTCGCCCTCGCCCTGCCCGAGCAGGTGCTCGATGTGCCGCAGCCACACCTTGCACGACGAGCGGAACTTCTTGCACATGGCGCGCAGCAGCTCCGCGGTCAGCGCCTCGTCGCCCACGCGCTGCAGGACGCCCAGCATGAGCAGGTGCAGCTTCTTCGGCTCGCAGTACGGCAGCGCGCGCCGGAACAGCGCCATCGCCGCGTCCCCCGGCGGCTGCCCGAACTGCGCCTCGAGGTTGATGCGCGCCGCCCACACATTGAACTTCTCCTCCTCCTCGCGGTAGTCGATGCCCTCGAGCGCGCGGTCCGCGACCTTGCGCGCCTTGTCGACCTCGCCCACGCTGCACAGGAACGCCATGTACCGGATCCACACGTACGACGAGTTGGGCGACGCCAGCACCAGCTGCTCAAAGTCCGTCTCCGACGCCGGCGCCGCGCCGTCCACCTTGGCGCGCTCCGCCTCCCGCACCGCGCGCTCCCGCTCCTCCCGCTCCGCCTTCTTCCGCCCCTTGCTCTTGTGCTCCTTCTCGGGCACCGCGGGCGCCTCCTCGCCGTCGCCACCCGCGCCGTCGTCCTCGCGCGCGAGCCGCAGCGCCCCGAACCCCGCTGCGGGCTTCGGCGCCTCCTCCGCGTCCTCCTCCTCGTCGTCGACGCTCTCGTCGTCGCTGCTCTCGTCCTCGGACATGTCCTGTGCCACAGGGCCCTCGTCGCTGCCGTCCGTGCCGTCCTCGCTCTCGCCGTCCGTGGACATCGCGTCGATGTCCTGCTCCTCGTCGCTGTCGTCCTCGCCGCTCCCCGTGCCCTCGCTGCCGCCCACGCCCTCATCCTCGTCGCTGTCAGACATCGGGACCAGACCCCCCTCCTCCTCCGACTCCGACGCCTCCTGCAGGGCGTCGATGTCGCTGTCGCTGTCCGCGTCGGCGTCGAGCATCGCCTGGTCCAGGTCCTCGTCGCCCCCGCTCGCGTCCGCGCCGTCCGCCGCCCCGACCTCGGCCTCCCGCAGCGACAGCGACAGCTGCAACACGCGCACGACACGCGAAACGATCAAAACCCCAAATACCGCAACCTGCAGCACAGCGGCGCGAGCTACTTCGACGCGTTCCGCGCTCACCTTGTTGGCCGCCCGGTCCACCTTGATGACCTTGGCCCTCAGCTTCTGGCCGACCTTGAACATGTCGTCGAGGCTCTTCACGAACCCGTCGTGGCACTCGGATATGTGCGCGAGCCCCGTGAGCTCCGAGTTGTCCAGCAGCACGAACACGCCGAACTTCTCGACGCGCTTCACCGTGCCCGGGACCACTGCGCCCTCCTCCACCTTCTCGATCGTCAGCCACTCCCCCCCGCGGCCCCGCAGGTCCAGCTCCACCCGCCTCGCCCCCGCGTCCACCGACAGCACCCGCCCCGCGACCAGTCTGCCCGGCGGGAACTCCCTCGCGGGCTCCTTGACGAAGCCCAGCGCCAGGTTGCACAGCTTGACGCGGGCGACGACGCCGCGCGCCAGCGTGACGAACGCGCCGGCCGTCGACACCGACTTGACCCAGCCCTGCACGGTCTGCCCCTCCTGCAGGGACGCCGCGTCGAGGTCCTCGGGAACGCCCTCCTGGCCCCTGGCCGGGCGGCGGGGACGGGACGCGCCGAGCGAGCCGCCGTGCGCCTGCGGATCGAGAGCACAGGCGGCGCGGAGAGGACGCGAGCCGTGAGCGACGTCGTCGCGGATGGGGCTGAGTCGTCCGGGTCAGGACTGCGCGTTGGATGGTGGTGCGGTGCAAGGGGCAACGCGGCGGGCGCACCTCGCGACACGACACGTGCACCGTGTTGCCGCCGTCCTCGACCTCGAGCACGCAGCACTGCACGGTCGCGCCCTCGGACAGGTGCTGGAGCGGGTCGTCCAGGTACGCATCGCACACGTCCGCGATCGACAGCCGCCCGCGCAGCCTGTGCCCGAGCTGGACCGTCGCCCCGACGCCTGCGAGCGGAACGGAGCCACGATGGACATTGAGCGATCGGGGATGCGCTGAGCTGGCACTGAGCCGCCGCGGGCGGGAACGAGACACCCCCCACCTGGCTTGATGGACACCACCCTGGCGAGGCGCACGTCCCCCTCCTGCGGCTTCGCGAGCGAGCTGCCCACGTCCCGCCTCGTCAGGTCCAGCGTCCCCCTCCGCGCGTCCACGCGCGCCACCCGCGCGTGCACCACCATCCCCACCTTGGCCGCCCTACCAAACGACGCGAACTCCGACAGCCCCGGCGCCGCGTCGAGGTGGTCCAGCCGCCCGCGCACCGTCGGGGACACCGCCACCCACCAGAACCCGCCCCCCGTCCCGTCCGAGACGTGCTCCTGCAAGACTCCCCACACCGTCTTCCCCTCCCTGAGTTTCTCCAACTGCACCCGCGGCCGCAGCTTCTCGCCGGCCCGCGCGCTCGCGACCGCGCTCGCCCGCATCGAGATCTCCAGCACGTTGTGCGCGCGGCCCTCCTGCGTCGCCAGCAGCCCCATCACGCACCCCTCGACCCCCGCGCCCACGCCGCCCAGCTCCTGCACCGGGAACGACCCCGCCGCCGGCTTGTCCGACACCTCGCACGCGTGCACGCGGCCCTTCCCGCCCCCGCCGGACAGCTCCACGTCCGCGTGCGTCGCGTGGCACCCCGTCACCACCGCCTTGACCACCGACCCCGGCTTCGTGTCCGCCTTCCTGGGCTTCTTCGCGGAGTCCTCCCTGGCCTTCTTGGGCCCGCCCTTGTGCACAAGGAGCGCGAGCGGGCGGCCGCCGACCTCCTCGGCCGTCATCGTCGCCTGGATCTTGCTCCCGGGCTCCGGCGGTGCGACCAGGTCGGGCCGGTGCAGCGTGTTGAAGTCTGCCGTCTGGACCCACACCAGCGCCGCGGACGCGCCGCCCTCGGCGCTCCGCGCGATGCAGTAGTCGCTCGTCGACATGACCACCTCGAGCGACACCGTCAGACCGGCCGCGGCGGGCTTCGCGCGCTTGGACTTGCCTTGCGCGGCCTGCGGGCACACACGCATCGGTACCGTGTGCTGTTCAGGGCGTGGCGAGGCCGGGGCCCTGCGCCGCCGCGACAGCGCGCCGAGCGGTTTGCTTACCTTGACCAGGTCGGGGTCGGTCGACAGGTCCACGCGCCCCTCCGCGGCGTTGTAGTCGAGCACCACCGCCGTGAGCGCCTTGCCGGGCTTGACCTTGCCGCCCTGGTTCTCCGGGCGCAGGAGCCCGACGACGTCCGCGCTGGCCTTCATGTCGACGACGGCGCCGTAGTCCTTGACGTCCCGCACGGTGCCGTGCACCACGCGTCCGAGCGCCAGCTGCGAGCGCCACAGCTCGGGCGGCACCTCCTCCGCGTCGTGCTGGTGCCGCAGCCGCGCGACCACGTCCTGGTCCTCGTAGAACGACCGCAGGAGCGTCGCGTCGGACGACCGCGTCAGCCCCGGCCGCAGCGTGATCGCCAGCCGCCCGCGGTCGGCCTCCACGCGCCCGACGGAACAAATCACCGACTGGTGCGCACGGAACGCGTCCGACGCCTTCGCGACCGGCGACGACACGTCCCCGCACTGCGACACCACCGCGCGGCCCGTCAGCCGCCCGAGGAACCGCACGTAGCACGCGTCGTCCGTCGCGTTGTGCACGTACCCCGGGAACACCGCGCCGCCGCTGACGGCGTCCGCGGCGCGCGGGAGGCGCTCGGCCGCCTGCACCAGGCTTGCCTTCCGCGTCGCGAGCACCTCCTGCTTCTTCCGGAAGCAGTCCAGCACCAGCACGTCGCCCAGTGCATCTCCCGCCTGCAGCGCCTCGCGCAGCTGCGTGGCCATGGCGGGGTGGTCCGACAGGTGGCCCGTGGGGATCCGCGCGGTCACCTCGCCCGCGTCCGTCTCGAGCGCGGCCACCACGCCGTCCGCGTCGACCTCCCGCACCGTCGCGCGCAGCACCGCGCCGGCGTCCACGCGCGCAAACGCCCCGCCGTCCGCGGGCTCGGCGTCGTCGGCCTCGGCGCCCGGGCGCGCCCGCAGCGACAGTCGGAGCCGCCGCGACGCGCCCTCCGCGCCCAGGATCCGGCACTTGACCACCTGTCCGACCTCGAAACAGTCCTCCGGGGCCTCCCCGGCCTCGACGTCCAGCTCCGACCTGTGCACGAGCCCGCGCACGCCGCCGAGCAGCGCCACGAACACGCCGTAGTCCTTGATCCCCGTGACCACGCCGTGCGTGCGCGTCCCGGGCAGCGCGTCCTCGAGGGCGGCCACGCGCGGCAGCTTCGACTTGATCAGCGTCCGCTTCAGCGTCAAGAAGCACTGCCGGCTCTCGGGGCGGCACTCGGTCACCAGCGCCGACACCGCCTGCCCCTCCTTGTACTTCCGCGCGGCCTTGCTCCACCCCACGTCCGCCAGGTGCACCAGCGGACACAGCGCGCGCACCCCGGGCGCCAGCTCCACCAACATGCCGTAGTCCATCACCGACGCCACCTTGCCCGTGACCATCATGCCCGGCGCGAGGTCCGCCGCGGACAGGATCGTCTGCCGCAGCACCGACGCCTTGAGCGACACCGTGCACAGCGCGTCCATCGGCCGGAAGCCCACGACGCGGCAGGCCACGCGCTGCCCGGACCGGAACGCCTTCTCGAGCTTCTCGACCTTGTCGTCCGACACGTGCGCCGACGGCACGTACCCCGCGAACGGAACGCCCCCCTCCGCGCCGGGGAGCTCCACGAGCAGCCCCTGCGCGCGGTCGACCCGCCGCACGACCGCCTCCTCGAATATCTGCCCCAGCGCGGGGAACGACGCGGGGAGCTTACCGTCCACCAGCGAGCGCTGCAGCGTGAGCCCGACCTGCGGGCGGCCGGAACCATGCGCGTGCGCGATTTGATTTGATGTGGGACCCACGCGCAGCGGCGGCAGCGGCGTGCGGGGTCGTGCAGTGCCCCCCGTTTGTGTGTGTGTTTGCGCACCTTCTTGGTCTTCTGGTTGACGAAGAGGATGCGGGCGCGCAGGCGCGTCCCGGGCTGGTAGCGTTCGGTCCAGTCCCCCGGGAGGACTTCCTGGCTCAGGTGGAACACGTCGACGGTGCCGGAGAAGTACGACAGGAAGTCCACCGCGACGCCGTCCGGGAGCAGCGCGGTGACCTTGACGTTGACCAGCGACCCGGGCACCAGCGAGCCGATGGACAGCCCCTCCCACTCCTTCAGGACAGTGCTCCACACGCGCGCCGCGTCGACCGAGACCCGCACCGCGCGCCGGCCCTGCGCGGCCTCGAGCGTGACCACGTCGAGCAGCTGCCCCGCCTGCAGCGCCGTGTCCTCGCCCAGCGCGGCGCGCGCGTCCGCTGTGGTCAGGAAGGCAGACACCCCCGGCACCCCGATGTCGAGCTGGTAGCCGTGGTCCTCCGCGCTGACGACCGCCGCGGAGAGCACCGCGCCGGCGATCAGCGTCTGCGCGGCCAGGCCCGCGTTCACTTCGGACGGCCTGCACAGCGGCACACGCGCGGCGCGCCCACGTCGTGCGCTGTCCAGGGCGGGCGCGGGGCGGAGCGGGCGGGCGGCGGCGGGCGGGCGCGCACTTGAGCGAGAGCGCGACCTTCTTGTCCTCGACCTCCGTGACCACCGCGCGCACCAGCTGCCCAACGTAGTACACGTTGGAGAGGTCGTCGCCGGCGTCGAGGCCCGCGCAGTCCTCCGCGACCACCCTCCCGCGGCGCCCGTGCGGGAGCGACAGCACGACGTCCGCGGAGGACACCTCGGCCACCGCCGCCCACACCTGCGAAGCACCGCCGCACCAGCGTGGGGGGTGGCACACGGAGCGCGCTGCGTGCCGGCGTGGTCGGCGCCCGGCCGAGCAGGGCGCCCGCGCTGCGCAGGCGCGCGGCTCCGCGGGCGGCCGGACGTCGTCGTCGTTCGGCGCGCACCTTGGTCCCGCGGACAAGGGTCTTCGCGGTGAGAACCTCCGCGTGCTTGCGTCCCGCGCGCCCGCTGGCCTTGGAGAAGGTGAACGTGTCCTGCGAGGAGCGGGCTGGGCGCGACGGCGTCAGCGCGGGGCCGGCGCCGCGCGCGGGGGCGAGCCGCAGGAGGTGCCGCGCGGGGCCCCCAGGCGGCGGCATCGACCGCGGCGGCGCGGGGAGGGGCTCCGGCGCCGCGGTGCCTCGCGCGCGTGGCCGTCAGGACCGTACGCGTCGCGCGGGGCCGCCGGGCGCCGGGGCAGGGCGCGCGTGGAGGAGCGCGGTGGGCGTGGGCAGCCCGCTGCGGCAGCGGGGCAGCCAGCGCGCCGGGGCGGCGCGGGGGCGCACCGGGACGACGGAGTCGTCGTCGAGCGAGGCCTTGCGCTTCTTGAGCGCCCGCGGATCGTATCCGTCGGGCACGACGTCCTCTGCGTCCTTGGCGCGCGCGGACGCCCGCTTGCTGCGGGGGAACGCCGTCTCCTCCGGCAGGGGGTGCGCGGCGGCGCGCTTCGTCCCGACCATGGGGAGCCTCGCGGATCGCGCGGCGCGTCGCGCGTGGGGCTGGCGTCAATGAGGGGTTCTGGGCTCACCGAGACGGGCGACCCATGAGCGCGGCACGGACAGAGGGCGTCGGGCGCGAACCCCGGGGCACTTGCGCCTTGATACGTGGCCGAGCGCACGCGCGGTACATGCACGTGTCGCGCGGCGGCGATCGCCGAAGCGCGCGGGGCCGACCGGTGCGCGCCGACCCCCCGGCGGTGTCACGGCCACCCTCCCCCCGCACCGACGGGCGCCAACGGGCCCGAAATCTCCCTCGCGCGCGCACAACGGGCGCCCCTGATCGCTGAGCGGCGGTTGCGCGTGACAGAGACCTACCGCGACCGGGGTGGCGCAGTCGAGCGGGCGGTGGCAGGACCTGGTGGTTTCGCCCGCGAGCCGGGTCGCCTGTCGGCGGAGAGGGGTGGCGCGCGCGTGAGCCATGCCGACTAAAGCCAAGGTGAGGAAACGGCAGCGTCGCAGCGTGCATGTTCCAACCCTCGGGTCCAGGCGAGGTCGTGCAGTTCCCGGTTCGCCCTCCCCGCGTCGGTTCGCGCGCTTTCCCGGTCCGCGTGACGGCCGGAGGCGTCTCGACATTTACGACTGCGCGCGTGTCGCCGCGACAGGGCCGCTCGCGGCCTCCCGGCCTGCGAACGCAGCCTGCAGCAGGGAGCTGGTGCTAATTTGCCCGGAGCCCGCACACCGCCCACGGCGCCCGCATTCCGCCGCGGCGACCGCGCGGCCGCGATGCCCGCCGTCCGTGCCCCGGCCCGACCTGCGCGTCCACCTCGTGCTCCGCCACCTGCGCGCGCGGCCATGCCCGGCACTCACGCTACTGTGCCCGGTCCCGCGCGCCGCCGCGAAAGCCGCAGAAGCCCGTCAAGGCGGAGCTCCCGCCCCAGGAGGAGATGGACAAGCCGTCGACGCCCGCCGGGGGGATGTTCGAGCCGCCCAAGGTGCGCAGGCCCCCGAGGCATGCTGCGCGGGGCCCCAGTCGCGCCCCCGCGCCCCGCACGCGGCCGCCAGCGCGCTGGAGGCCGCTCGGCGCCGAGAGCGCGGCCGTGCCTCGCGAACCTCGCTGCCGCCGCCGCCGCCCCACCCGGCCACTGTTCCACGCCCGCCCTCTGCTGCGTTCCTGTGGTGACCCGCGACTGGGGGCCTCCGCGGGAGGGTCCAGGCGCCCCGCGGATGCGGCGCGGGCCCAGATCGCGCTCTTGGCTTGCCCCGCGGCCGCGTTTCGGTGCATGCGGAGGGCGCCGCACCGCCGCGCGGCCAGCACATGCCTCGCCTGCGTCCCCCCGCGCGCTCCCGCTCCGCGCACGCCGCGCCGCCGCCCGCCCCGCGACGGCCGTGCGCGCCGCTCGCGCTGCCCGCGCGCCTCCGGGCCCGCCGTCGCGCCCGCGGCGTGTGGCGCGGGCCCCGTGCCGACGTGCGGCGCCGCGCCCCCGCGTCGCAGGTGGAGATCGTGCGTCCGACGCTGCAGCTGTCGCTGACGGCGGAGCAGCTGGAGGAGGAGATTCCGCGTATTTTGACGGCGAAGAACCCGGAGGCGCCGGAGTCGGTGGTGCGGTACAACGCGAAGGAGAAGCAGTGGAAGGCGGACGCGATGATCGACCAGCTGCTGGTGCACTTCAGCAGCGAGGGGTGGCTGATCAGCGAGGGGAGCGAGGAGGCGCGCGTGCAGGCGGAGCAGCAGAAGGCGGAGGCGGAGGCGAAGCAGGAGTACGACCGCGAGGTGGCCAAGCGGCGGCAGGAGCAGGGCGCGGACGACGAGCCGCGGGAGCTGCGCAACGTGTTCAACTTCGCGGACCGCGCGATGCAGACGAACAACCTGGGGATGCGCGACCGCGCGGTGATGACGGACCCGCCGCCGCTGGAGACGCTCGCGGGGTCGTGCTCGTTCAACGAGATTTACGACGCCTACATCGAGGAGCAGATCCGGGTGCGGCTGGCGGAGAAGGCGCAGCGGGAGCTGGGGCGCGGGGGCAAGAAGAAGGGGGGCGGCGCGGCGGCGGCGCACGCGGCGGACGCGGACCGCGCGGAGGACGACGACGGGGAGCGGGACAAGGGCGACGGCGACGTGCTGCACGGGCGGGAGATGGGCCTGGCCGTCAAGCTGATGGAGCGCATGGTCAACCAGAACGCGTACAACGACATCTTCCAGGACTTCAAGTACTGGGAGGACCCGTCGGACAAGTACCGCGACGGCGAGGGCACGATGCTGCCGCTGTGGAAGTTCTACCACGAGCGCGCGAAGCGGAAGCACGTGACGAGCATCTGCTGGTCCCCGCGGTACGGCGACATGTTCGCGGTCGGGTACGGCTCGTTCGACTTCGCGCGGCAGGGCTCGGGCCTGATCTGCGTCTTCTCGTACAAGAACCCCAGCTGGCCCGAGGTGGCCATCACCACGGAGAGCGGCGTGATGAGCCTGGACTTCCACCCGGAGCAGTGCAACCTGCTCGCGGTGGGGCTGTACGACGGCAGCGTGCTCGTGTTCGACGTGAGCCAGACGCACTCCATCCCGCTGTACAAGAGCAGCGTGCGCGTGGGCAAGCACACCGACCCCGTGTGGCAGGTGCGCTGGCAGGAGGACGAGGCCGCGAAGAGCCTCCAGTTCTACTCGGTCAGCACCGACGGCCGCGTGCTCATCTGGACGGTCAGCAAGTCGGGCGGCACGCTCGAGTGCCAGAACGGCATGGACCTCAAGCTCGAGGCCGGGGACGAGTCGGACCGCGACGACGACGACGCGCTGATCAACCAGCTCGCGGGCGGGTGCTGCTTCGACTTCAACCAGCAGCAGGACCACCTCTTCGTCGTCGGGACCGAGGAGGGCACGGTGCACAAGTGCTCCAAGGCCTACGCGTCGCAGTACCTGGACACGTACAACGCGCACTCGCTGCCCGTGTACGCGGTGCGCTGGAACTGCGTGCACCCGCGCGTGTTCCTCTCCGCGAGCGCGGACTGGTCGGTCAAGCTCTGGGACCACACCAACCAAGACAGCTTCTTGTCGTACGACCTGGGGAGCCCCGTGGGGGACGCGGCGTGGGCGCCGTACTCGGCGACGGTGTTCTCGGCCGTGACGGCGGACGGCAAGGTGCACCTGTTCGACCTGAGCCAGAACAAGCACGAGCCGATCTGCGAGCAGAAGATCGTGCGCAAGGCCAAGCTCACGCGCCTGGCGTACAACCCCAACGCGGAGCACCCCGTGCTGCTGGTGGGCGACGACCACGGGTGCGTGACCGCGCTCAAGCTGTCGCCCAACCTGCACCGCGCGTGCAAGCCCGAGGAGGGCCAGTCGGTGGCCGAGGCCGACGTGGCGCGCATGGACCGCATCATCGACATCGCGTTCAAGAGCCGCGCCCAGGCCGCCGCCGCCGCGAGCCGCCAGGGCGCGCAGTCGCCCGCGCCGTGACGGGCCGGGCCAGGTGGGGTTGAGGTGAGGTGTCACATTGTTGTGAGCCGCGACGAAATTCTCTGTCGGGTGTTACAGTGTGTTGCTGGGCTGTGCTGGTTCGCCGAGTCTGGCGCGGTGGCGGTGCTCGTCCTGCGTGCGCGTCACTGGAACTCGCGCGTGGGGATGACGGCGCTGGTCTGCTGGAAGTACTCGATGGCCTTGGCCACGCCCGTGCCCGGGGTGATCTTCATGCCCGCGTCGATCATCGACATCTCCACGCCGCAGAGCGCCGAGCACAGCATGAGCTCGTCCATGTTGCCCAGGTGCCCGATGCGGAAGACCTTGCCCGCCACCTGCGAGAGCCCCACGCCGATGCTCAGGTTGTACTTGGCATAGGCGTTCTTGACCACCAGGCCCGAGTCGATCCCCTCGGGCACCTCGACCACCGTGAGCGAGTCCGACGCCCAGCGCGGGTTCTTGCACAGCGTCTCGAGCCCCCACCCCGCGACCGCCTTGCGCGTGCCCGTGGCCAGGCGGTGGTGCCGCTTGTTCACGTTCTCGATGCCCTCCTCCCGCAGCAGCGCGATGGACTCGCGCAGGCCGTACAGCAGCGGCAGCGACGGCGTGTACGGCGTGTTGCCCTTGTCGTAGTTCTTCAGCCAGTCGTCGAAGTCGTAGTACACGCGGTTGAGCTTGGCGCTCTTGCGCGCCTCCATCGCGCGCGGCGACGCGCACACCACGCCGAGGCCCGTCGGGAGCGACAGCGCCTTCTGCGACCCCGTCACCGCCACGTCCACGCCCCACTTGTCGAACCAGAAGGGCAGCGCGCCGATCGACGACACGCCGTCCACCAGCAGCAGCGCCGGGTGGCCCGCCGCGTCGAGCGTCTTGCGGATCTCCGGGATGTCCGACGTCACGCCCGTCGTCGTCTCGTTGTGCACCACCGCCACCGCCTTGATCTGCTTCCCGGAGTCGGCGGCCAGGATGCGCGCCAGCTCCCCCTCGTCCGCGCCGTCGCCCCAGCGGCACTCCACCACGTGCACGTCCAGGCCCAGGCGCTGCATCATGTCGATCCACAGGTGCGAGAACTGCCCGTACCGGAACGTCACGATCTTGTCGCCCGGGGACAGCGTGTTGGTCAGCGCCGCCTCCCACCCGCCCGTGCCCGTGCCCGGGAACAGGAACGGCGTGCCCGTCTCCGTCTGGAACAGGTACTTCGTGTCCTCCAGGCAGTCCTTGAAGAACTGGTTGAACCACGGGTCCCTGCGGCGCGCCGAGCGGGCCGCCCCGAGCGTGGGCAGTTGCCCCGCGTGCCCTAAGCGGGCGCGCGCGCGGGGCGGGGGCGCGCGGGGCCCGCGCGGAGCGGCGCGATGCGGTCGACGCGACCGGGGCGCGCGGGCGAGGCGCGCGCGAGGCGGCGGCGCGTCCCCGCGCGGCGCGCAGCGGGCGGATGACGCAACGCCGTGCGAGCGACGGGGGCGGGCGGGGGCGCGGCGCGCACCGGTGGTTGGCCGACACGCGGTCCATCGCCTTCTGGACGCGCTCGTGCATGTTGACGGGGCCCGGGACGAAGAGGTGCGACCTGCGGCGCGGCGCGCGGGGCGGGGGGAGGATCCGGGTGGGGCGCCCGGGGCAGGAGCTCCAGCCGCGCGGCAGGTCGTCGCGCGCGGGGCGCGCGGCCGCGGGCGCGCGGCGCGCTGGTTGCGGGGCCGTGGTGCGGCGGGCGCGCGGCGCGGCGGGCGCGAGGCGCGCGGGGGCGCGCGCGCGGAGCATGGTAGCACGGGGCGGTGGATGTTGCCCCGCGGTGACGTACCGGCCGGGGGGCGAGTAGGAGTACGGCGCGGGCTTGGACGCCATCGTGCGGAGGAGGCCCGACTCCGCGGCCTGCGACGCGGAATGTTGGGCGGAGGTGGCGGGGTTCGATGCGACCGGTGGAGGGTGGTAGGACATGGATGCCGCGGCGCGCTGGGCGGGCCCGTGCGGCTCGCGACGCGGTGTCGCGGCGTGAATGGGGTCAGGGCGACCCGGCGAGCTGCGGCATCAGCCATTGTGCGCGCTGTGCGGGCCCGGATCACGGCCCCTGTGCGAGCGCAGCGGCTGCGGGCTCCGCGTGCGGGGATTCGCGCGCGCACGCGGTCCGCAGGCGCGAGGATATCCGTTCGCAGGCCGGCGAACGGCCCGCTCGCCCGGCCGCAGCCACGCGACGCGCTGCGGGCCGAGCGAGCCCGGCTCCCAACGGGCTCAGCGACTGCTCGCCGTGCCGGGCAATTCGGGCGGATAAAGGGGCGCGCGCACGGGTAGCCGCACCTGCCCGCTGCCCGCGAGCGACTCGAGGGCGGTGAGCCCCGAACGGCCCAGCTGCCGCAGCTGCCGGGATGCCATTGTGCCTGTCTCTACTATGCCTCTCGACGCGCTCTGCCCCGTGCTTCTCAGAACGTTGCGGCGGCGCTGCTCCAACACTGAACACCGAACTATCGACTTGCCGCGCCGCCCCGCGCCCCGCGCCCCTCGAGCCGGCCCCGCACCGCCATCTGTCGGTCGGGCTGCCGTCAGTACGAGCCCGCCGGGCGGCACGCGCGGCCACGCAGGGCGCCCCGGCCGCCCCGCGCCCCCAAATCCGCGAGACACGTTCGCCGGGACAGCTCCGCCGACTCGGTCCGCATCGACGCTTCCGTCGCCGGCGAGCGCTCGGTGGGGGACAGAGAAGCTTCCCGCGCTGGTCGCCCGCGCGCGGCGTGGCATCGCCCCCCGCCCGCGGGCGCGTTCCGCCCCGTCGCCGCAGCGCGCGGAGCCGCCGCACGCGCCGAACGCCCCCCGCGCGCGCGCCCGACCCCGGCCCGTGGCAGCCGCGTCGGCGCCACCACAGGTGCGCCGCTAGCGCCGCGCCCGGCGGTGTGCACGCCACGCGCCGACGCGGGCCGGCGCCGACCCGCCCTGCGCCGTGCATTCCCCGGGCGGGGCCGGCTCCCCGCCGCGCGCCCCGGGCGGTGCGGAGCCACGGAAACACGGGGCCCAGAGCGCCCGAGGGCGCCCGCGGCGCGAGGGGCGCGTGTGGGCGGTTGCACGGCGCCCCGCGCGCCGTCGCAGTCGAGGTGGCGGCGGCGGGGTGATGCGCGGCGCCGTGCGAGCGCGGGCGCGCGCGCGAGGCGGTGCAGGCGCCCTCGCCTCATGGTGCCCCGCCGCGGCGTGTGCGCGGGCCGTGCCGCGGGACGACCGCGAACGCGGAGTGCAGCTTGCGGCTGGGTCGCAGCCGCGCGCGAACTGCGCGTGCGCGCGCGCCCCGGGCCGAGCACCGCCCCCGAGGCACCCGCCGTGCCTTACCTCTTCGGCTGCGCGCCCCCGCCTCGCAGGTGACTAGCAAGCAGGCGCCGCCCCGGCACCCCCGCGAGTCGTGCGTTCGCCGCCATGGCCCGCAAGCCTGATGCCGCGGACGCCACGGACGTCACCGTCGACGTGAAGACGACGGGCGGGAAGGAGGTCGAAGGCAAGCTCGCCGAGATGCTCAACGGCGAGAAGAAGAAGGACTTCGAGCTCAGACCGGTACGTGCGCTGCTGACGCGTCCTCCGCGCCCCCGAACGCGGCCCCGCGTGCTGCGACCCGCGCACGCGAGGAGCCTGCGAGCACATTCGCCTACTGGGCGCGCGACCCGCGAACCGGCCCCGCCGCCCCCGCTCGCGACGCAGAACCCGAACCGGTCGTGGTTCTCCAAGCTCGTGATGCCCACGCTCAGCCGGCACCCGCGCGCGGGCCGCGACCGCTGGTGCCCCGAGGAGAAGGCCAACTTCCTGAGCAGGCTCACGTTCTTCTACATGTGCGCACCGCCCCGCCCGTGCCCGCACGCGGGCGCCTCGCGCCCCGCCGCCGCCGGTCTCGTCGCCGCGCGGTGCGTCGGTGCGCGTGTGCGTGCGTCGCCGACGCGCGAACGCGCCCGCCCGCCCGCGGCCGTGCAGGAACTCGCTGATGGCGCTCGGGTACTGTCAGAGCCTGGACCAGGAGGACCTGTGGGACGTGGCGTCGTTCGACGCGGCGCCCGCGCTGGCGCAGGAGTACGAGGGCGTGATGGGGAGCACCGCGGACGAGCAGCACCCGTACGGGAAGGTGGCGCTGGGGATCTGGCGGTACCGCGGCGCGCGGTTCCTCTTCTCCGGGCTGCTCAAGGTCATCCACGACGTCCTCAGCGTGGGCTCCCCGCTGGTGCTGGAGTTTCTGCTCAAGTCGGTCCAGGAGGACGAGGCCAAGTGGCAGCAGGCGATGTTCGCGCTCATCATGTTCGCCGCCGCCATGACGCAGTCCTTCCTCGTCAACACCTACTTCCACATCAACTTCCGCATCGGCATGCACGTCAAGGTGCGCGCGCGCGTCCAACAGCAACGGGGGGGGCTGGGCGCCGTGGGCGGCGCACGCGCGGCGGGTGGCGGTCCGGTGCTCTCGCTGGTGCTTCGTCTGACGGCGCCGTGCTGTCCGTCCGGCGCGTGCAGGTGGCGCTGGTGCACATGTTGTTCAACAAGGGTCTGCGGATCCGCGGGAGCGTGCGGAGCGAGTACGGGACGGGCAAGCTGCTCAACCTGACGAGCAACGACGCGATGAAGCTCTGGATGATGCCCAGCTACCTGCACACGGTGTGGAGCGCGCCCTTCCAGATTATCCTCATCATGGTGCTGCTCTTCCGGATCATGAAGCCCGTCCCCGCCATCGGTGAGTGCGCCGCGCCGTGACGTCCCGCGCGCCGTGCCATGCCGCGTGTGCGTGCCGTGCCGCGCGTGCGCCTGGACGCCGTCTGACGGGGCAGCGTGCGCCGCGCGCGTGTGTGTGTGTGTGTGCAGCGGGGCTGCTGACGACGCTGCTGCTGATCCCGATCAACATCGTGGTGGGGAAGAAGATGTTCAAGATCCGGCGCGCGCTGATCGGGTTCACGGACCGGCGCATCCGGCTCATCACGGAGGTCATCACCGGCATCAAGGCCATCAAGCTGTACGCGTGGGAGATCCCCTACACCGACCGCATCCTCAAGCTGCGCGAGGACGAGCTCCGCCAGGTCATCAAGTCGCAGCTCGTCGGCCTCATCAACACCGTCGTCTTCCTCGCGGGCCCCATCCTCGTCACCATGGTGTCCTTCATAGTCTACGTCGAGATGGACTATAAGCTCACCGCGGACGTGGCCTTCCCCGCCATCGCGCTCTTCAACCTCCTGCGCTTCCCGTGAGCCCCCGCGCCGGACGCCCGCGCCGCCCTCCCGCCCACGCAGCGCAGTGTGTGTGTGTCGCGCCTTGGCCCGCGCCCGACCCTCGCGGCCCCGCCCCCGCGCGCTGCAGGATCCTGATGCTGCCGATGCAGATCAACAACTTGATCAACGCCTCGGTCGCGCTGAAGCGCATGCAGGTGCGCTCTTTCTCCACCCCTCCCACGCCGCACCCGTGCCGTCTCGCTGCAGCCCCCGGCGGTCGCAGAGCCGCGCCACGACCGCCCCAGCCGCCCGACGCCCGCCTCGCAGGGCTTCGTGGACGCGGAGGAGAAGGAGGACAGCCCCGGGGACCATATCGGCGAGTTCGCCAAGGACGTCGCCGTGGGCTTCAAGAACGCCTCCTTCGAGTGGTCCTCCGCGCCCCCGGGGGCCTCGCAGCACGGCAAGGGCGCGGGGCCCGGCGCGTCGCAGAGCGGCAGGGGCGGCCCCCCGGGCGCCTCGCAGAACGGCAAGGCCGCCAGCGGGAAGCCCAGCCCTGCGACGTCCCGCGCCAACTCGACGGTGCGTTCCGCGCCTCCCCGCGTTCCCTCCGTCGCGCGCCCCCCGCTGCGCACGCACGCCTCACCGCCCGCCCGTCGCGTCGCCGCCGTCGTCGCAGGCGCGGGGCCCGTTCAAGCTGCAGAACGTCGACCTGGAGGTCAAGACCGGGCAGCTCGTGGTCATCGTCGGGCAGGTCGGGTGCGGGAAGAGCTCCCTCCTGAGCGCGCTCCTGGGCGAGATGGAGCCCATCGCCGGCACCGCGGGCGCGCGCGGGGCGCTGGCCTACACGGCGCAGGACCCGTGGATCCAGAACGCCACGCTGCGCGACAACGTGCTCATGGGGCTCCCGGAGGACGAGGAGCGGTACGCCAAGGTGAGGCCCGCGCCGCCGTGCGCGTGAGTTGGACCGTGCACGTCGCGGGCGGCGGTGCGGTTGACTGACGGGGCTGTCGTCGTCGGTGCGTGTGTGCAGACGCTGGAGATCTGCGCGCTCCTGCCGGACATCGAGGTGCTCCCCGCGGGCGACCTGACGGAGATCGGCGAGAAGGGCGTGAACCTGTCGGGCGGGCAGAAGCACCGCGTGGCCCTGGCGCGCGCGGTGTACGCGGACGCCGACACGTACCTGTTCGACGACCCGCTCAGCGCGGTGGACGCGCACGTCGGGAGCCACCTGTTCAACCGGTGCATCAAGGAGGGCCTCGCGGGCAAGACGCGCGTCCTCGTCACGCACCAGCTGCAGTTCCTCGAGGGCGCCGACGTGGTGGTGGTGATGGAGCGCGGCGGCGTGGCGCACGTGGGGTCGTACCGCGAGCTGGTGCGGAAGGGCGTGACCTTCACCAAGTTCGCCAAGGACGCCGAGGAGGAGAGCGAGGAGGACAAGAAGGCCAAGGACGCGCAGCAGGCCCTGCTCCACGCCAAGGTGCGCGCACCCGGACGACAGCCCTGGCGCCCGGGTCCTGGGACGGCGCCGCGCTCCGCAGGTCGTCGTCGTGCGCGCTGGTCTGAGGTCTGAGCGTCGCGTTCCCGTCGCTGCGTGCAGTCGAAGGACCACTACAAGAGCGTCGCGCGGAGCATCACAACGCAGCGCATCAACACGCTGAACAAGGGCGGGCTCGTGGGCAAGGAGCACCGCTCGCGCGGGTCCGTGGACAAGATGGTGTACTGGTCGTACATCACCAGCTGGGGGCCGTACCTGATCCTGCCCATCCTGACCATCATCTTCGCGCTGGGCGAGCGGGGCGCGCAGGTCTACCAGCAGTTCTGGCTGTCCGACTGGTCCGAGGAGACGTTCGAGGCCGAGATCATCGCGACCGAGGTGCGCGCATGCCGCCTTCCTCTCACGCCGCTGACGTTGCTTCGCATGCGGGCGACTCACTCACCTGCCCCCCCCCGGCGCTCCGCGTGCAGACCGTGGACACGAGGTTCTACCTGTACATCTTCGTGGCGCTCGGCGTCGGCTCGATCGTCCTGACGGCCTTCCGCAGCCTGTGCATCGTGTACGGCTCGAACAAGAGCTCGCGCAACCTGCACCACCAGCTGCTGACGACCGTCGTGCGGCTGCCGATGAGCTTCTTCGACTCGCAGCCCGCGGGGCGCCTGCTGAACCGGTTCGCGAAGGACACGGAGTCGATCGACAGCCAGCTGGCGCAGACGGTGTCGTCGTTCATCACGGTGCTGATCAGCGTCATCGGCAGCCTGGTCATCATGGCCACGACGAGCCCGTACGTCCTGGTCGCGCTCGCGCTCCTCGCCGGCGTGTACCTGCGGATCCAGCAGATCTACATCGCCACGTCGCGCGAGGTCAAGCGGCTGGACAGCGTGGCCACGTCGCCCATCTTCGGGCACTTCAAGGAGTCGCTCGAGGGCCTGCTGACCGTGCGCGCGTTCGGGAAGCAGCGGGAGTTCGCGGCGAAGAACTTCCGCATCCTGGACAACAGCAACCGCTCGTACTGGTCGCAGGTGTCGACCAACCGCTGGCTGTCGATCCGCCTCGAGGCGCTGGGGCACTTCGTGGTGCTCGCCGGGTCGCTCTCGGTCCTCCTCCTCGACGCGCAGAACTCGTCGATCGTCGGCCTGACCATCTCGGCCGCGCTGCAGCTCACGGGCATCCTCTCGTGGCTCATCCGCGTGGCCACGGAGATGGAGGTCAACATGAACGCCGCGGAGCGCCTCCTCGAGTACAACACCGCCGAGACCGAGGCCGCGCAGATCGTCGAGTCCAACCGCCCGGGCGACGCGTGGCCCGACCGCGGCGAGGTCGTGGCGACCAACCTGCAGGTGCGCTACCGCAAGGAGCTCGGGCTGGTGCTCAAGGGGATCTCGTTCCGCGTGGCGCCGAGCGAGAAGGTGGGCGTGTGCGGGCGGACCGGGTGCGGGAAGTCGACGCTCATGCTCGCGCTGTTCCGCATCGTGGAGCCGTGCGGGGGCAGCGTGACGCTCGACGGCGTGGACATCCAGGCCATCGGGCTGAACGACCTGCGCAGCAAGATGGCGCTGGTGCCGCAGGACCCGGTCATCTTCAGCGGGACGTTCCGGTCGAACCTGGACCCGTTCGACGCCGCGGGGGCGACGACAAGATCTGGGAGGCGCTGCGGCGCGTCAACCTGGACACGGTGGTGCGCGAGGCCGAGGGGGGGCTCGACGCGCCCGTGAGCGAGAGCGGCGCGAACCTGAGCGTGGGCGAGCGGCAGCTGCTGTGCATGGCGCGCGCGCTCCTCCGCAGCGCGCGGCTGCTGCTCCTGGACGAGGCCACCTCCAACGTGGACAACCAGACGGACGCCATCATCCAGCAGACCATCCGGAGCGCGTTCGGGCACTGCACCGTGCTCACCATCGCGCACCGCCTGCACACGGTCATCGACTACGACAAGGTGCTGGTGCTCGACGACGGCAACATCCTCGAGCACGACACGCCCGCCAACCTGCTCGCCAGGGAGGGCAGCGCGTTCGGGAAGCTCGTCGACGGGACCAGCGCCAACGAGAGCGCCGCGCTGCGCCAGATGGCCGCGGAGGGCGCGCAGCAGCGCGCTGCCAGGGGGGAGTAGAGCAGCTGTTGAGGGGAGGAGTCTCTTGCATGTGAGCACTAGAATGTCGGACGACGCTGAGCTCGCCGGGGCGGGCCGCTGAACGAGGGATTGCGACGACGTGCGCTGTCGGGCGGGACCACCCCCTTGTCGTCATGCACCCACAGTCACGCCGCGCCGGCCGCCGTTGGCGGTGGACGCCGCAGGCCGTCGGCAGATTCGGGAACAGCTGGACTTGTTCGCCAGCGTGGTGTCATTCACGGTGGCAGCGCCGGCCAGGGAGCGTCGTCTGATGGGGGCAACCACCGCCTGGATTGCTCCTCCCGTGTGACGGGTCAGCGCGGTCGAGCGAACTGCCCCAACGGTGCTCCTCGCAGTGTCCACGTATCGAGCGTGCCGCCTGCGCCGGAGCGACGGCAGGCGAGGTTCTCACGACGAGGTGCGCTCTCCTTCCCTCGGTGGCGGGAAATGCAGCGGGCCTGTGCTCGCCGGGCGGAGGCGTCGCCCCAAGTCCCGCCTAACGCATTCAGCGCTCACATAGAAAGACATTTCCGCGCGATTCTCAATCTGCGTCACCGTCTCTACGCCCGCAGGCTGCAAGGCACGCTTCAGTGGTGAGCCCCGCACCGCGGTGCGAGAAGCCCTCATCCTCGGCGCCCGCAGCGGGCCACGCGGTCCTCACCTACTACCTGTCGAGGGATCGCGGTGTCTGCGCGGGTGCGACCGCCCGGCGAGACAAGAGACGGCACCAGAGGCCATGATGCAGGCCCAGGGCCGCGAGGCCGACGTGGTGGGCGGGAGCGCGGTCGAGCGCGAGTCGGCAATGGTGAGACAGCCCCAGAACTGCTCGATGCGCGACGCAGACACGTTGCTTAGCACGAGGGCTTGCCCACGCGCAGCCAAGCACATCAGGAACAGCAGGACAACCCGCGGCTCACAGTCGGCGCGCTCGATCCGTGGTGTGCAGAGTCGTCGGGGGCGGTCTGGGGACTCCTTCGCGCGCGTCCTCTCGACGGTGCCCTCCATCCTCGACCTGCTCTCGGACGACGACAAGGTCAGCCTGGCGGCGACGCGATGGAGCGTGCTCGAGGCGGTGCTGCGCGGGTGCCGGGCGGTGCTCGTAGTGCGCCCGCGCGACCCGGTCCTGCACGTTCTCGCGCGGCGGATGGATGACGGGCCCTGCGCGGGGGAGCTCCTCTTCTGCGGGCTGCGCTCGCCCGCGATGCACGCCGAGGCGCTGTTGGACGTGATGCGGGAGCTCGGCGAGGACCTGCCGGCGCCAGGCGATGAGAGCGACGCGCGGCACCGGAAGTGGTTCGCGCTGGCGCGGAGGGTGATGACGTGGACTGACGAGGGGGGCGGCCCGCTGCGTTTGACCGGCATCGATGGCCGGGAAGTTGACGGCCGCGCTTTCGAGCGGGATGCTCACATGCGGTTACTTCAGGAGATCCTCCTATCGACTACGGCGAGGGACCACCTGCGGTTCCTGCGCCTCCAGCTTGAGCCGTTCACGCGCGAGGACCCCAGCACCGGCGAGGACATGGTCGCGGCGCTGCGGGACGCCGTGCGCGGCCTGACGGCCCTCGATCACCTGGATGTATTGTTGAACAGGGAAGGCAGCGAGGGATGGGGTCATGTGTTCGGCGAGCTCGGTTCCCTGACGCGCCTCGCTGTGAGGGGCCGCGGCGACGACGTGTGGGACGCGGAGGAGACGCGGGCGTTCTGGAGCTGGATACAGCGGACTACGAAGCTGCGACATCTCAAGGTCTACGACGTCACGTTCAACAAGAGCACGCTGGCGGAGTTCAACATCGCCCCGCCGCGGTGCTCAAAGTCCGGCGACGTGTGCAACTGCTTCAACGGCCATGGCTTCAGATGGCGCGACGCCGTGCACGTCCGCTCCCTGTGCGTGAAGCCGTGGGGCGTCGATACGGCGAGCACGCAGGCGGAGATTGCCGACTTGATGCGGTCAAGCAAAGCGCTGCGACAGCTGCGCCTGGTCTACCACTCCGCCCGGGACGTCACGCACGCGGAGGTCGCAGCTCTACCCCACAGCACGGTGGAGGTGTTCGAGCTCTTCATCTCCCGGGAAACAGCTGCGAATCTCGAACAGATGTCGACACTGTCGTCGGCCCTGGTGGCAGCGCTCAGAGGCAGCAGCGCACTGCGAGAGCTGCGCATCTCCGCCGATGCTGGTCCTGGGCGGCCATGCGTGTACAACGCCGCGGACATTGCCGAGGCTCTGGGGGGCAACACGTCACTGCGCAAACTGGGCTTGTATTGTGGAATTGGCGACGACGACGCCGCGCATTTTGGACGGATGCTGGAACGCAACAGCTCTCTCGTCGCCCTCTCGCTGCGAGCAACCAGCCTGACGGAGCAGGGCGTGCGCGAGATCGCGTCAGGTCTCCGTCGCAACCGCACGCTGCAGCGGTTCGAGCTCATCTCGAGCAGGGGGTTTGGCGCGAGCGGCGCGAAGGAGCTGACCGACGCACTCGTCGGGCAGGACTCGGTGTGTCAGCTACGGTGCCTGGGCCTCGCGTATTGCGATCTTGGCGACGAGGGCGCGGCGCACCTTGCGTCATGTCTCAAGCATCCGCGCTGCACGCTGCGCAGGCTCAGCTCGAAGACTAACAGAATCGGCGACGCGGGTGCAGCGGCCCTGGCCACGGCGTTGGAGGAGAATTCCACGCTGGAGTGGCTATCTCTGTGCAGGGATTTCATCACCGACGGCGGCGGCAACACTCTGGCAGCGGCGCTGGAGAAGAACTACACGCTGCGGACCCTGCTCTTCCAGGAGAAGTTCGTCCTGCGCCCGTGGTATGGCGCGGCGACCGCGTCCACGGACAGGCTGTTTGCGTGTGCGCAGAAGTACGCAAACGCGAAGCGTCAGCTGAATTGACGCGCACGCCGGCGCGCGGGAACCTGCGGGCGGGGGGCTTGGCGCGGGCGCGCGGCACGCCGAGGATCTGTCACTGGAGGAAGCGCTGTCAGGGCAGCGGGGGGGCGCGCAGGGCGGGGGCGCGGTTGCAAGCTGGTGGGCGCGCTGCGAAGCTTGGAGGGGTTTCTGGCGACGAGCGCCCGGGCCACGACGCAGGATCGGGCGGTCGACCTGTTTGCGCGACCCCCGCGTCGCGTGCAGCGCCCGTTGCGTTTGAGTGCGACGGTGCGCGCACACAGCTCGTGCCTTGCAGGGGCCGTTCGAGGCGCGCATGGCCAGCGTCGCGGAGCACAATGTCGCCGTCGCGGCAGGGTCCGCGCTGCGATGTGCCATGTTCCGCCTACACCTGCCGCGGCACCCCAAGCACGACGCGAGCACGGCGAAGCAGGTGCTCGTCTCGTTCGACTTCAGCGCGACCGGCAGGCCCTGATCGCCCGCGACCGCGACCAGCTCATCACGGACCTGCGGGCGGCGACGACCGCGTCGGAGGGCGGCGCTGCGGCGGGCGCCGAGATCTGCAAGGAGGGCGCGGTGTGCCTCGCGACCGTCGACGGGGACCGGGGGGCGCTACAGGTGATCGCGGTGCCGGAGGCGTGTCTCGCCGAGCACCCGCAGCCGGGGGCGTTGTTGGAGGAGAGCTGCAGGTGGCAGGGGGGCCTTCAGCTGGGACACGTCGACGTCGCGTCGCGAGGTGCGCCGGCACGCGCCGCGGTGACGCGCTGCGTGCGGCTGCATGCGCGCGTTTGCCTGGATGCTGACCCTGCGACTGCTGACGTGCGGCTGCCTCCGCAGAATCGGGCGCTGCGCTGTCGCGATCGAGCGTGTGGCATCCGTAGCGCGCGGGGGGGCCTGTGTCTCGTGAGCGCCGCGCCCCGCCGCCTGTCGGTCCTCGACCTGGAGGACGACGAGGACGGCGATGCGTCGGACGCGGACGAGAGCTGATCGGCGGCAGTTGTTGCCTGGAGCGGCGCCATCGCCAGGCTGGCCGTCTTGCTGCTCCCGGGGCCGGCTGTCGAGCTTCGGCGGCCTCGACCCCGCGGCAGCTGGTGGACAACCATTCGGCTGCGTCAGCGGCGATCCATCACGCGAACATCTCAACGACGGGAGCACGTGGCTCCAGGTCGCGGGCGCTTGCGACAACAGGTCGGTCTGGTGTGCGACGGGGTGGTGGTGGTCGTTGCGCGGCTGGTGCGCTTGGGCGACACGAGCGTCGTCGCCGGCGGAGGCGGCGCGGGGCTCGACCCGGCGCGGTCCTGCGCGGCGGAGGCGTCCGCACAACCATGGCGAGAGGCGCAGGGCGACAAGAGGCCGCGCACGCGCCGGGCGGCGGCGGCGCGGCGGTGCGCGTGCGGGCCAACGCAGTGGGACTCGCTGGGCGCGTCGAGTGCTCACGCTCGAGCCGCCCTGGCAATGCGCGCCTGCGTCCCTGCCGCATACATGGGCATGCGCTGGTGCGCGGCGAGGGGGTCCCTGCGGCGTGACTTGTGCGCTTCGACCGTGCACGCGGACCGGCGGCCTCGATGCCTGCGCTGGCAGTGGGCGAAACGTCACAGCGCGGCGGCACGACGCGGAGGCACCTGTGCATTTGGCGCGCTGTTTACGGCAGGAGCGCCGTGCACGGGCTGGCAGCTGGCCCGTGGATGGACATGTCGTCGCTACAGGTGGCGAGGTGAGCTGCGGAGGAAGCGCCGACGATCGCAGCGGGCAGCGGGCAGCGACGCGTGTCGATACGCATCATCGCGGCGCGAGGCGCACGCGGCGGCGACGCCAAGCTCAGGCGACGAAGCTTCGCGCACAGAGCCTCCGTCATCTGCACTGCACGGAGCCGACGACGCGCCTGCATGGGCGCTGCTCGTGCCGGCGCTGGGGGGCGTGCTAGGTGATGACATTGCAGGAGGCGCATGAGCACGGTGCTGACCGCGGGACGAGGGCGGCACGATTTTTAGAGAATGCCCCCAATGCCCCCAAGGGGTACTTTTCGGCCGCTGGCGGTCCGGTGTCCGCGACCCCGGGGCGGATTGTGTTAGCGCTGTCGGCGTCCGACACCGGGACGTCCCACGAGGTGCGCGGCGGCACGCAG